TCTCAGCCCAACCTACCTCACAGGGTTGTTGTTGTGGGGATAAGATGAAGGAGGAGAATGATGTAAGCTGCCTTGAGCCCTTTGTAGGAAAAAGGCAGGATATAAATGGAAAAATAAATAAATAAATAAAAATTACTGTTCTGAATGGAACAATGTTAATATTTCTGTAAAATAACCTTTTAAAACCATTTACAAGAATACATTTCAGGTGCCTGTTGATCATCTGAATGAAAGCTTGATTCATTAGAGTAATTTCTGGTTTGTTTGATGAAGAAGTTAATACCTTCAAAGGGAAATGATTGAAGCAGTATGGAAAATATTACTACAGCTGCAATAATTGTGGCCAGTGGTATGCGCTTATCCCCACATCCAGTATATTATCCTTATACATCCAGTTCCAAAGGTATGATAATGGCAAATCTCTTGTTTCAACTGGCCCAGTGTCTTACGAAGCAGCATATAATTGAATCCACTATTGGCATAATCCTGTGCAAGGTTAGGCAGCAAAAAAGGGCTGCAATTCCCAGCAGGACTTTTTTCCTATCTAAACTTGCATAGGATTGTGCCTTTAGGCTCTTTTTTCCCAAACTGGTCCCTTCAGATCTTTTTGGTCTACAGCATTCCTGACCATTGGCTATGCTGACTGGGGCAGTCCCAAACAGCTGGTGGCTCAGGTTGGGGAAAGCAGACTGAAGCATACTTGTTCTCTGTCCATTCTCTACTAATGGCCCTGGCTGCCTATCAGCTATAAAGCCACATTCAAGGTTATGTTATGTAAAGCTTTACACAACTTAGGACCAGGATACCTAGCAAGCTGCCTTCTCTTATATAAATATACCCAACTGGCCATTAAGATTATTTGGAGAGGGCCTCTCTGATCATTCTAAAATGAGTAGAATGCCACTGTGTATTCTTGAATTGTTCAGCCAACAATTATACTGGTCCATAATTACGTAAATTCACCTCGTGGCTGCATTTCACAGCTCCTGTACTGCTCTGTATCATATATATACACACACACACATACAGAGAGAGAGAGAGAGAGTTTTTAATATTTAGCACTACAGAAGTAATAAATACAATAACATAAATAATATAGTCCTTGAAAGAGAGTTCAGCAATCTGTTGAAAATGAAGAAAATGGATAAATATTTCACAGGCTAATCTTTTTAAACACACTCAGGACAAAAGGCTCTCGCTGATGCTGGTGTTCCTTACTCAGCTGTGGACCAAGCTTGTGTAGGCTATGTTTATGGTAAGTAATCTCTAAGTCTTATCCAAGTCCTTCTTCCATTCTTTTGTCTCTTCAAGATGACCTAAAACATCCCTACAGCAGAGCTTAAGCAGCAGTATAAACAGTCTTACTAAATGGAGAAGCTCAGGGCTTGGTTCTAGCTCTGCTGTTCAAACTCCGCCCTAAGACTGGAAATATAGGAAAAACTGACAAGTTTATATAACCATATCAAAAGTGCTAGACAATATACATAGTTTTACTTAATAGTTTTTACAAAAAATAGGCAACTTGATTGAAATAATGTGCTCCTGGGTTAATGCATGTAACTGGTGATAAAGATCTTACCTGAGCAAATATACTTACATGTAGGTGGATCATAGCACTATGTTGTTAAATCAGTATATGATTGCATATTCATGCCTGAGAATATGAGTGGATCCCCAGAATTTCAAATGAGAGTCTTTCCAGTCCTGCTGGGAGATGCCAGGGATAGAATCTATTGGTCACAGGGAAGGAATATGGGTTGAAAATGGGATGTCATTGAACTGTGGGCTGTTGTGGAAACATGTTATTGAATTGTCTGAGCCCATATGCACTAACAGGACACGGTTTGTTAACCTCTAACAGCCCAAAAAGAGAGCCCATGGTTTGTTTTAAGGTTATGAACTGTGGGTTGTTCATCATAGTTTGTTATTTCAGTTTTGCTTAGACAACACAACTAATGTTACAATGACAACCCACATTTATTCCTTAAGTGTGGGTTATCATGACCACTGAACTCAGTCATTGGGTGTATTCAAGTGACACAAGATCCACGCTGCAGAATGAACCACGCAGAGTGAGTTGGGCACAATTTCCTACTTCCTTCCCCCCTAGTCCTCTTGCAGGTATGCTAGGGGGCATCACAAGAGTGCTAAGGGTGCCCACCTCCCTGCCATCGGCTTGTTTCAAAAATGGAACTCTGTGTTTGATTTGAGTTTGAGAGCACTTCCATCTGGGGAAATCTCCTATATTGTTGCATGTTCTCCTGATGCTGGCATTGGGGGGAATGTTTGAGAACTTAGGGGCCAATAAGGATACCCGATTTCCCCAATGAAATCTGAAGATCATGGTACAAAAAGGGGTAGGTACTATACAGGGTGAGTACCTGCTGGATTTAGCCCCTTGGCATGATAGGTTAAAAAAAAAAAAAGCACAATTATTTGCATGTATTATGAGATTCTCTCTCTCTCTCTCTCTCTCTCTCTCTCTCTCTCTCTCTCTCTCTGTGTGTGGGTTTAAGGGTAGATTTTGGGCTCCATGGAGAGGTAGCTTGTGGATACTCACATGGAGATCATGACAGCACCTTAAAAAATTAAAAGGAACAGTGAAGCCATAGCAGCCCAAAATTGCTCATAGTGGTCAAGAGCCAGGGGAGACTTTGCCAGCCACTTAAGTACCTTTTGGGTGCTTTGTGGGTAGGTGGGCTGCCTTTGGTGGTTGCCTGCTAACTACTTGGCAAAAGCAGCAAAGGTGTTTGGCCACTCTTGCCAAGCTGCTTACTTGCAGTCAGATCCACAATGTTGTCCAGGTTCGGGCAATAAAACGACTCATGTAGCAGACAGACTGAGTTATAAGCTATGGATTTTGGAAGTGGTTTATGATCCAAGGATAAATCACCATCCTGGGTTTGTGCAGCATAACAATCTTTTATAGCGTTTAAGCCCGAAGAGTTGCCATTTTATGTGAACTAAGTCAGCATGTGTTTGGAAGCTCAAAGTGCAGTCCTATGACTTCCCAACATTTCCAAGAAGCCTTTGTCTAGAATTGCATCCTAGGAATAATTTAAACATTTCAGAGGGTGGAGAAACTATATGATACTTTTTTGTCAACTGAGCAACTCTACTTCTTACTTTATAAAGGTGATTCGACCTGTGGCCAATGTGCTATTTATCACAGTTTGGGATTAACAGGTATTCCTATTATAAATGTTAACAACAACTGTGCTACTGGATCTACTGCTTTGTTTGTGGCCCGACAGCTAATCCAGGGAGGTGAGTTATGTTTACTTGCCCTGTAAATATGTATATACCTAATCTAATTTGTTGTGGCTTGACTGCTTTAAGGCAGAATGAGAGTGGCCAGATGCATTCTGGATTGCTGAGCACTCCTCAGGTGATATACCCTCGCATCAGTGCTGCTCTGGGTTATTGATGTTTGATATTCCATCCCACTGCAGTCCCCTGACTACAAAGTTTATGGAAGGAGCTTTGCAAAATTTCTGGGAGGGGAGTGACTATTCTTTGTTTTCTCTCATTGCATAGGAATAACAGTTTTTTTCCAACTTTTATTTTCTGCTACTAGTATTGTGCATAGCAGAATCAACAAAAAGAAACAGCACTGTTTTTATTACAAAAATGTCCCTCACTATTTGTTGCTGACTTCAGACATAAGTACCAGCCAAAAGATAAGTTTTTGGATTTAAATTAAACTCTGTGTATGCATATATTGCGCAGTATTAAATGATGATGCTTAAAACAAGATTCCTTGACCTGATGCTCTCCAGCTGCTTTCAATCCCAACTCACAGAATTTTTGACCACAGCACATGTTGGTTGAGATGATGGGGGTCAACATCTCCATTGTTTGGAAGGCACCTGGTTGGAAGATGCTCTTGTAAGACTTCTTTGCTGCCACAAGAGTGTCCAGACAAAATGGTCTATGCTTAAGTTTTGTGTTGTGGGTCCTAATGTTTATGCACCCAAAAAACCAAGTTGTTCTAAATGAATGTATGGATTGAGTCCGTGCAGCTGAAAAACAGCTTCCTCCCTGCAGTACATCACAAGCTCTCTTTAAAGCTGTAGGGAGTTTTAAACAACTACTAAGAAAATGAACAGCCAACTTTTAGCATAGTGTGAGGGTATATTTACTAAAGCTTTGGAAAGTTTTGCTGCTCATGTATGCCTTCTGCCTGAATTAAAGTCTATCATATAATACTAGTTTTTTTAAAAAATGTAATGTCTACAGTGTCAGCATTTAGTAACTTGTATTTAAGGCTTGGCTAACTGTGTCCTGGCTCTTGGATTTGAGAAGATGAAATCTGGGTTCCTTCCAGCAACTAATGTAAGTGCCTAAACATTTTTTATGCATTAAAATTGAGAGTGTTTCATTTTTCCATTGCTGCATACATCATTTTACAACAATCATGGACTTTTTGTCCCTAATGATACATACATTTTGTGGTGTATGTAGTACATTTTTTAAACAGTTAGTGGAAAACTAAGGGATTTCTTAGGCTTTCTTTCTTTTGTACTAAAAATTGCTCTTTAAACTGTAGCAAAAGTGAAGCGGGCATCTATATGCCTACTCAGTGTGTTTGGGACGATGACATCCAAAGTTCTTTCTCCAACAATTTTAAGGGAATTGTGTTTGCTCAGTACTCAGAGCAGCTAATTATTGCTAGAAATGTGTGACATTTCCAACGAGCTACATGCCCAAACACAGTCAGATCACTTCCTAGCAAGAACAGAATTTATGTGGTAAAGTGCACCCTCATAAGGAGGCTGTGTTCCTCTGCATCTACATTGCTTTTGCAAATGAAATAAAGCCTCATTAGCTTACCTGACACTCCCCCCCCACACACACACAAATTCCTGTTTGGTTGATGCTATCTGTTTTATAACAGGTGGGCAACTTGTACACCACATCATCTGGAGGGCCACTGTCCTGCCCTCACCCTTGAGGAATTGCGCTCTAGGGAGGAGTGTAACTTAGCTGGGTCAGGGGATGAATCAGAAGCAACCATCCAGAAAGAGATCAGGTTTGTCCCTGAGTAGGGGACAGGGCCCTCAGGGAATCAGGGTGGCTCTGAGTCTGATCAGCAGATAATGTGAACAGCCCTGCTGACTCCTAAAGGAAAGAGCACAGGTTTTCCATCTCAGGTGAAGTGACAGTTTGCAATCTCCTTAATTACCTGCAGCTGGGTGCTCAGGTGGCATCCTGGCTGTTTCACTTTGAAAAGCCCGCAAGCATCTGAGTTGGTTGCTAGAAAATAATGGACACATTTGCATGCCATGTCTACCCACTGTGACAATAAACCATGATAGGTTAGCTGTTGTGAAATAAACTATGGTTTGCCTGGCAGATAATTGGGTTCACCATGGGTTGTTGGCCCCATTCCACCCCCTCATTGTCCCTCAGACCTTCTGAGGGTATCCCAGGGAACACTGTGGGAGGATCAAACTAACGCCCCTCTCCTTGCCCTGATTGCAAGCTGCTCTAGGATCATTGCAGGTTTTTTTCCCTTTCACAATCCTCATTTTGACAGCTATGAAGTATCCATTCAGTGTCTCTTAGTGGCTTTTTGGCGGGGCTGCAAAGCTTTTTTCTAGTTCTTCCTCCTCTGTTAATTTTTGTAAGAACATGCAGAAAAAAATGTTTACCTGCACTGGTACAACTTCATACTGGAACAGTTATGTGGGTAATTGGGAACCTCAGGGGAAAGTTGAGCAGGTACCTACCATGAGGATTGCTCCCCCAAAAAACATGCAGGTGAGGTTTGTTTTTGCATTTTTCTTTTTGGTCCAGTTACATATGACAGCTTTCTAAAGGTGCCTCTCCTGAAGTTCAGCTATGGAAATTAACCAGTCTTAGGGCTATCTTTAACAAGCCATTTTTGCTGAAATCTTCATTAGCAAAAGAGTTGGCTTGTTTTCCAGCTGGCCAGTCTCTTTGCAATTCAGATCCGATCTGAACAGGACAGCTACAAGTTACCCACCCCTGATTTATAAATGCTCTGTCTCCCTTCTGCTGTCTTCCTGTCTAAGCAGTGCTACCTCACTGCTGAGAGCCAAACAGGTAGTCTTCAGTGCCTCTTTTGCATCTGTGATGCACCGCCAAGGCCTGCTTCAACATCACCTCATTCTCCAACAGGACTTAACCTTCAACATAAAATCAAAACCATTTGCACTGATCCTTTATCCACTTCCCTCAGTGGTTCTGTTCCCTTCCAAGAATATATTCGTCATCCTCCTTTCTCACAATGTATGCTTTCTTTATTCAGTGACAGTTCCACAATCCACCATAGTGTGTAAAATATCCAATTCTCTTTCAGTTCGAAGACAGGTTGAATCCACTAGACAAGCATTTGGAAGTAATGATAAATGTGCATGGGTTAGCAGCGGCACCATTTGCTCCACAGTTTTTTGGAAATGCTGCCAAAGAACACATGGAGAAATACGGTAGTATTTATGTTTGTGAAAAATAATACCATTGCAAATAAAATAATCTCTTACCTAAATAACAGTAGTGTTTAGGTATTTAGGTGCCATTAATCTGGTTCTAATGGCTATCGGAAGGTCTGTATGCAAAAGTGTTGACTTTTCGGTTGCATGATTTGGTTTATTGAAATTCTGTGAATTTCTCTCGCTGGCATTACTTCATATAATACTTTATGTATTCAAAGCATTTTTATTCCCCCTTTTGGTCAACAGACTCTCAGAATAGCCTATAAGAATCTGTAATTCCTGTGATTGCCCTCAGGCTTGAAATATGATTAGAAAGGAGAAGGAAATGTCACTCCTTCTTCCACTGCTGTATGCTGGTTTATGAAGACAATCATTAAGAATTTTGAAGCCTATCCAAGGTTAACATCATATTCTTCTCTCATTGTTTTGTTTACCTTTTTTCAGGGACAAAACTAGAACATTTTGCAAAAATTGCATGGAAAAATCATAAGCATTCATGTAATAATCCGTAAGTATAGCGTTATGTATTCTTGTGAGAATCAAGACTAAGATCAAGTTTTGTAGTATATTCATTCAATTAATGTGTATCCAGCTTTTCCATTGAAAATGAATATTAAAAACAAAGAGGTGCTCCAACATGTTTTGTGGCACTGAGCTATGTAGGGCTTTACAGATTAAAACCAGCACCTTGTCTTGATCTTGGAAGCATATAGGAAGCCAATGCGAGCAGGTCAGAATGACCATCTGGTCCCCATATTTTGCACAGGCTTCAGCTTGTGGACATCAAGGGTAGCCCAATGTAAAATACAGTAATCTAGTTTAGAGATTACCAGATCATAAATGACTAATAGCAAGCTACCCCTGTCCAGATAGGGGTATAGCTGAGCCACCCATCAAAGCTGGTGTAAGATACCCTGAGTCACTGAGGCCACCCAGCCCACAGTGACAAAGATGGCTGAAGCAATACCTCCAAGTTCTTAAGGGGAATGCAACTCCATCTAGAACTGGTTGAATTCCTCCCATCCAGTCAGAAGAACTACTCAGTAACAGCATCTCAGCCTTGTCCAGATTCAGCTTCAGTTTGTTAGCTTTCATCTTGTCCATTGCTGCACTAGTACATCCATAGCCCCACCTGCTGAAGGTGAAATGGAGAAATAGAGCTGTGTGTCATCACCATAGTGATGACAACACATCCCAAAACTCTGGATGATCCCAGTCAGCTTTTTCATGAAGATGCTGAACAGCATGGAGGATGAGACCAGCTCCTGAGAATCTCTAAGAGGGTAGAGCAGTCTCCTTCAAGCAGCACCTTCTGGAGTTGGCTACCCAAGTAGGAGCAGAACTGCTGTAATGCAGTGCTTTTTACTCCCAACTCAGACAGTTACCTTAGAAGGATATTATGGTCAATGGTACTGAAAGCCTCTGACGGGTCCAGAAGTACCAACAGGGTTACATTCCCTCAATCTCTCTCCTGGTGTATGTCATCATATACTTGATTCACTTGTTGCATAAAACTGATCCTAGTCAATCATCAGGTGCCAGTGTTCTAGACCAGCTGAAGTTTCTGAACACTTTTCAAAGGCAAACCCATTGGCAGCATGTTAACAATCACTTAAATCGGCTGTAACTAGGGCAAATGTCACCATGGCCTGATCTGACATCTCCAAGAATGGGCACAGGTAGTGTGTTAGCTTCAGTATACTCCTAGCTACTGCTGAGACCTGGGCATTCATGTTCAGAGCTGAATTCAGCAGCATAGCCAAACAGCAAACCTGACTTGTAATGGGGGTGTAATCCTGCCAATGCCAGGGGAATTCCCTGTTCCCACCTTTCACCTACCTGGGAGCCCGTCTATCTTGTTTGGGTTACTTTTCAAGAAGTTCACCTTCATCTAATCTCTTACTGACATCAAGCACTGATTGGAAATTAGAACAGCTTCCCTGGATTTAAATGGAAAGGTGGGATATGGTTGGGAGTCATCAACATATTGATAGCACCAAACCCCAGACAATCCCTTTTAGTGCTTTCAAGAACATGTTAAATTGTGTGGGGGATGAGATGAAATCCTGGGGGACACAACAGGCCAATGTCCACAGTATCGAACAGGAATCCTCTGGCACCAACTGTGTGTATACAACCCTGTTTTGTAAATGTAAATATATGATTCAATTCTTTTTCATTGTGCTGGATAGTTTGCCAATTAAATGACATTTTTTCGGTTCCCTTCTCCCATCTTAGGTATTCTCAGTTTCAAAAGGAATATACTTTTGATGAAGTATTGCAGTCTCGCAAGATTTATGATCTTTTGACACTCCTACAGTGTTGGTAAGAACAGCATGCTAGCAATGCTCATTTCTCTTGACTTATAACTTCCAGGTTCCCATTGAGACAATGCCAGATAAATAAAAGACCCCACCGGCTCTGTTTCATTAGAATCCAAAAGCCATTTTTGCTGTTTCTTTTTCTTTTCCTTTTAGCCTCAACTACCTGACCCTACCTAATCTTTGAAGCTAAGCAGGATCTGGCCTGGTTGAAATCTGGATGGATGACTTAAGTGTTGTGAACCACCCAGAATGCTTTTGGCTATGCATGATATAGAAATGTAATGTAAAATAATTTCTAGGAAAGATCACCACTTTTGATTTCAAGCACTGAACTTTCTCAGTCATCTATGCAGCCCCATCTGTGTAGTAGACAGTGAGATCAGGTCATCTACATGTAAAAGGATATTAACCGATCTGTCCAGGATCTTTGGCATATAGCATTTTGACTGCAAACCAAAGAAACTGCATCACTAATTGAGAAATTAAAAAGAAATGGAGTGAGAATACAGCCCCGTTGAACCCCTTTATCTGTGTGAATCTTACTTGTTACTCCAGTTCTGACCTTTTAACTTGTATCTGACTAAAGTGCCTTTATAAGCAAAAGCAGTCTCTTATCTACACTTGCTTTCAACAGGTTTTTTCCATAGAAGTTTTTTGTTCATAGAGTCAAGGGCAGTACTTGAAAGCAATAAATGCAGAAAGAGCTATCTACCCTTTGCAGCATATTTTGATAACAAGTGAGACAAGATAAAACAATGATCAATGAGAGGCCTTCCCTTTCTGAAGCTTGCCTTCTGTTCTGATAAGATGGAATTTTTTTCAGCCTAATCCTCCAATTTCTGGAGAAAAAACTTGGTTTTTGCTGGGAGGTCAATTAAGCTGATCAGCCTATAATTTCTAGAATCTTCACTACCTTCTTTTTAAATAGTGGAATTACTATGCTAAGCTACAATCCCTTAGGAATACATCTGAGTATTTTTCTGAGTAAAAAGCCAGCTAGTAAGGCAGCCCATCAATCTACACTAACCTTAAAAAATGCAGGTGGCATAAAGTCTTTTCCTGGAGCTTGGAGCTTTATTATTCCTTAATGACTGGATGAGAGGCTTTATTTCTGCTAGCAGGATTTAGAATTGTTTTTGCTGGCTGGATTGTGTCCATTATGTTCTATAGCAGAGCAAGAAAAAGAGCACTTATAGGGAACCTTTCTGGTATGAAGGTAATATGGGAAGTGTCTTCTAGTCTGTCTGAAACTCATTAACACTGTGGAAGGCCAATCAACTTTACTTTAGTTGCAAATGCTCACAAGACACAAAAGTACTCTTCCCTTTAATGGCTAGATATATAATTGGTATATTGTTCATCTTGTATGAATGCAGCCTTTCCCAATCTGGTGCTCTCCAGATGTTTCGAACTACAGCTCCCATCTTTCTATACCATTAGCTGTGCTGCCTGGACACTGAAATCCAGAATAGTTTCAGGGTGCCAGGTTTGGGAGGGCTGAAGTATATTTTACTATCAGGCTGGCCTTTGATATGATGCCATTAGTCATCTTTGGGCCATTTACTGACTTTGCTTTTACTCCACAGTAGCTGTGCACAATAGTCCATTATTACATCATCCCTTTCATTTCAAAGGCAAATGTATAATGAGTAAGTGAACCTCTTTGTCTCTCTTTTAGCCCAACATCTGATGGTGCAGCAGCTGCAGTACTGGCTAGTGAAGAGTTAGTGAGGAAAAATGGATTGGAGTCAAGAGCTGTCGAAATCACTGCCCAAGAGATGTTGACTGATCTTCCAAGCTCATTTGGGAACAGCTGCATCAAACTGGTAGGTCTGATTTCTTAGTATGTGCGGAGGCATATGACTTCTGTAAATCTACAGTAGGTTCATATTACTTAACATTTATAAAATGTCTAAATGTTTCTAAACACTGTACAAATGTTGAAAAGGCCTCAGAGGGCAATGTTAGGAGGCAGCTGCTAGAGCGGAAGCCTCAAATCTTTTACTTGGAGGCTGAATCTCTGGGAGACCATCTGCCCCACCACCATGCTGTCCCTGGGCATTTGCTGAAACAAATGTACCAGGGCGCTTAGGATCTCTGTTGTATCCAATCCTCTTCAGTTAGCTGGCTTTTCCTACACATGTGCTTCATCTCCTGCTTTTCCCCACCCCCGTTGTTCTATCGGAGATTTTTTCTGAACCCTAAGCATGCCCATACATCCTTTTGTTCTTTTTACTGTGTAAGACACACAGAGGCACAGACCTTAGAGTGTTTGTAAATTAGCTTATGCATATTTGTGCATAAATCTGTCCTATGGGACTTAGCCTTAAATCATTTTGGTGTGAAACGCCATTCCTGTCCTGCTCACAGGATAGAAGCAGCCATGGATTTGTGGGAGGGAGGTGACAGGGGCAATTGCTCCCCTAGTAACCAATTTACACACAACAGCTATAAAAAGCTAAAGCATGTATTGAAGCAGGTCCTTTTCTGGACTAACTGGGCTTCCTCTTGTAATGAAGTCTAGGTAGCTTAAGGAAAGGTACCTGCAGCTGACACATGTACCATACAGTGCTAGCAACTAGCCATATGGTCTTTGGGAAAGTGGTAATATATGGATGTTTAACACGTGATATAGTTGCCTAAAACCCATCATACGTTTCTAGAACATTTAACCTGCTCCTGCTTAAAGGAATCTATTTTTTGCCTTTGTAAGGGTAATTCTTTTACATTTGAGGCAGTACTTGAATGGAGAGATACACCAAATGCTTTTCAGTTATACCTAAAATTATCCTGAATGTACTAAATTGTAGGACAGTTTGAAACTAAACATGATGACTCCCCCCCCCCCACTTTGATCACTGAGCTGATATGCTGAGTATCTGGGCATCTATTTTCACTTGTTACTTGAGGTACATTTATGTATATATGTATTTTTAATGTAAATGGAATGGAGGATGTGCATATTATGGCATGGACAATGTGTACAGCTATGCACATATAATGCGGGTCCTTTACCATCTACACTGGCTACCAATTGAAGTCTGGGCCCAATTTAAGGTGTTGGAGATAAAACCCAAAACAGCTTAGGACCTGGGTATCTGAAGGAGCATTTCCTTCCCTATGTGTCTGCCTGCCCCTTAAGATCTGGGTCAGAGGTCCTTCTTCAGCAGCCCATTTTGAAGGAGATTAAGAGGGTGGCTACCTAGAGAAGGGCCTTCTCTGCAGTGGCACCCCGGGTATGGAATACACTTCCTAGAGAGGGTTGCCTGGCACCAACACTTTATTCTTTACAGCGCCAGGCCAAAACCTTTTTATTTTCCCAGTATTTTAAAGTTTAAATTGTGATTTTAGTTGGGGTTTTATTGTACAGAAATGATGCTGTGCTTTATTTTGTTTTATTGTAAGACCATCCCAAGACTATTTGGTAATGGATGGTATAGAAAAGTTTTAAATAAATAAATAAATAAACTTGCTTGTTTTGTGTAGGTTTGGATTTAGACCTCATTATACATAGGGTCGTCTCACTGAAATTGATGGGGCTTAAGTTAGGTAGAAAAGTCCCATTGATTTCAATAAGCTGACTCTTAAATTTAACAAAGCCTTGATCCAACACATTATCCACAAGTGCATATCTAGTTGGCAACTTACAAAATCTCTCAGATAATCTCCTGTCTTGCAGCATCACTTGAGAGTTATGCATCTTGACTAGGGCATGTCTGAATATTGAAATGTCTTGTTTATGGGATCAATCTGTTTGGTGCCACTGTTCAATTATTACAGCATGTTTAATACTTACAAATTGTTGCATGCATAAATTTCCTTAATTTGAAACTTCCGAAAACTGTTATCTATATAATATTCAGCAAGTTGTTTGAAGTTGAGAAAACAAAGAATTCAAATTGATTGTGGTTCTGTTTTGTTAACAGGTTGGGTATGATATGACCAAGGAGGCTGCAAATAGATGTTTTTCAAAAACAGGCCTGAAACCTGAAGATGTGGATGTGATTGAACTTCATGACTGTTTTTCTCCAAATGAATTAATAACCTATGAAGCTCTGGGACTTTGTCCTGAAGGTATCCTTCAAACATTCAGAAATATTAAACATCTTGTCCACAATCCAGCATATAACTAAGCACGCTTTAGGCCCCAGTTGATTCTTCATAGCTGACTTCTCAAGGGAAGAGAAATTGCAAGAAGGATACAGACACCAAACACCCTACCTCACATGCGTTGTGGAGTCTGACTCATTTTCTCCCTGGGTAAAGGCAGCCAACCACCAGTGCCTTAATAACAAAGTGGTCCAGGGGAGGTGGTGGCAGATGGAGCCCAATCCCTCAGCTACTGTTTTAGATGGTTACAGAAAGGGGTAGGTGTAGTGAAGAAGCCTTTCCCCATAATTCAGGCACTGTGTGCTACTGTAAGGCTGATGTAAAATGTTGTCCTTGATTCATTTTAAGTTATTTTAAAAGTTATTTAAAAGGGAGGTTGGCATGCTGTGAAATTAAATGATGGCCTTTGGCACCATGTGGGCCCAGAGGCCTTCTTAGAAAATAAAAATGCTGTATTGTTGCAGTGCAGTTTCCCTTTTACTTGTAAAAAGGAAGGTCAAAAGTAGTATAGGATGTCTTGGTGTAGAGGGGAGCTTTAAGGTTAAAAAACACAGAGAGAAAAACAGTGCCTGTTCCTTTTTTGCATGTATATGGGCTTGTGTAGTGTATATTTGGACTAACCTTTTTATGTGGTCTGCTTTTATTCTGTATTTGTAAGGATGTATGAGTGCTTTGCTTCTGTGTTTGTATGAGAGTTAGTAGTTTGCTGCCAATTAAATGTTGTATTTGTGGAGGCAAATCTGTGATTTGCCATTGATTTATTTATTAAAACATTTTTATGCCGCCCATTCGCCGAAGCCTCGGGGCGGCTTACAACAATAAGTTAAATAATCATAACCATAAATTAAAAATATAAACATACAATATAAAATAAGCCGCCCTGGCCAGATAAAATTCAATAATATTAACATTTAAAATGCTGCTTAAATAAAAAGGTCTTTGCCTGGTGCCGAAAAACAAATAACGACGGCGCCAGGCGGACCTCTCTGGGGAGCGCATTCCATAACTTAGGCACCACCGCTGAGAAAGCCCTCCTCCGAGTACCCACCCTCCTAATTTCTTTCACGGAGGGTTCCCGGAGAAGGGCCTCTCCTGCCGATCTCAGGGGGCGGCTGGGCATATATGGATGTAAGCGCTTCTTCAGGTAACCAGGACCCAAGCCGTTTAGGGCTTTATAGGTCATCACCAACACCTTGAATTGGGCTCGGACTTCAATGGGAAGCCAGTGAAGCTGACGGAGAACTGGAGTCATGTGAACATAACGTCCAGTCCCCGTCAGCAGCCTGGCAGCTCTATTTTGAACCAATTGAAGTATCCGGACCGTCTTCAAGGGTAGCCCCACGTAGAGCGCGTTACAGAAGTCAAGATGGGAAGTCATCAGTGCATGTGTCACTGTCGCGAGGCAGTCGTACTCCAGGTAGGGGCGCAGCTGATGAATCAGCCGAAGCTGGAGGAAAGCGCTCCTCACCGCTGCTGTTACCTGAGCTTCCAGTGAAAGCTCTGGGTCGAGGAGCACTCCCAAGCTGCGGACCTTGTCCCTAAGAGGCTCAGGGCCTCAGACTCAGACCTCCCCCTCTTCCATTTACTTATAGTGAAGTGATTTTTCTCTGAGCCTTATCAGTTTTTCTTCAGTGAAATGGGTGTTGGAGCAAAAGACTGTTGAGTCAGAAGAATTATTTTGTGGTTTGAAACTCAAAGTCAGCTTCTGACTTGTGCTACGGTTCTTGGACAGGTCACTTTTCTTTTGGTTTCCCTTGCTTGTCTTCTGGAAAATGTATATTTTTTGATGAACTGAACTCACCATGACCACCATTTTGTGTGTGGACAAGTCTCCCATAGAAACCATTTTGTAACAGTGCCCACTCTTTAATTTCTGAATGTGCTGACAAGCCCAAAATGATTGAGGACTCTTACTGTAAAAATGTCAGGTCTTGGTGTGGAAGCTTTGTCTAAAAATAAGGCAATTAAAAGAGCTCAAGGTCCATCAGAAAGAATTTGGGAAGCAAATTACCAAAGGCAGAGGGATTATATGTTTCCTTAAATATATCATGACAGGAAGGTATAGCTGAAATGGGTGTTATAGAGAGTTCTTTAGGAGAAATCAAACAACTTCAGTTGCTGAACTTTTAAATAAATATACAATATATAGTTGAAATTAGCTTCCTTATCAGAATATTAGAAGGCATCCAGTAAAATTTCTCTTCTCTCTCCTCTCCTCTCCTAAGAGCCAGAAAATGTTCAGGCCTGTTAGTCTATTTAAATTTATAGAACACTCCTGGAGGAAGAAATCAGCATGGCTTCTGTATGTTTCTCCTCATTAAACATTGGGAATTCCTTTGAGAGGTTCAACAAGCATTTAGAGAAGAATGATCTGATAACCATTATGACCTGTTTAAGACAACATGCTAGTTCATCTTTGTTATCATAGGTGGGTTGTCACGTTGTGCAAATGGACTGATTCACCAAGGGTGTTCTGGTTTTTCAGTCATGCCACACTGTAGTGTTTATGGGATGCTCTAGGCTTGTTGCCACCTATGATGGGTTGTTGTATCATCCAAACCAGGGCTGGGGGGAAGAGATATTGTAAAACGATTAAAGAAGGCAGATGATAGAGATAAATAAGTAGCTTTCATAATCGGGTGAAGTGAGCAGTGAAGACCCCAAAGGTTACTGCTGAGGGAATGTAGACCTTGGAGGTAAAAAGGTTACTCTGGTGTGGAGAAAGTAGAAAGTAAACAGATAATTTTATCTCCATAATCATACTCAGACTTGAGATCACTGCATGATATTGATTGGCCAGAAAAGGCCAAAGACCTATTTCACCCAACACAGTTTGTTGCCACAGGAGTTGGTAATATCCACTGGCTTTCATGGCCTTAAAAGGGCATCGACCGATTGATGGCCTATAGATCAGTTAAGGGGCTTTGAATTGTGGCAGCTAAACTGCTGGGAAAACACATTAAAACAAGATGGCCTGTTAATGCTTGAAGGCTTCCTTTAGGTATCTGGGCACTTTATTTCAGAAGATTTCTATGTCATTTATCATTTTTAAGAATAAACAAATACCAGTGTGGTTTCCAAGATAAACACGTGATAAAATAACTATAAACATTAAAATAAAATATTAAAATGACTAGGGTAGTTGGCAATCCTTGTATCCACGAATGCTTGGTGGAAATTGCTGGTGGAAGAACTCCATACTAGGAACCCTCCTGATCTTGTGAGTTCATTCCACATGGTAGGTGCCACAGCAGAGAAGCCCACCTTCTGCAGCATAGCCAAGCAAGCAGAGTGCTAGACTAGATGCGTCTTCACTCTGACCCACTAGTCCTGCTGTTGTGTTTCTTGTAGAGGGAAGGGCAAAGGGTGCAAGCATTTGTACTTTGCTACCTTGGTCCACCAAACAAACACAACTGTGCTTTGTGGCTTCATAGAAACATGGGGCTTTTCTCACACAGTCCCCAAGCACCTGCACATCGCCTGATGCTAAGTGTTTTACAGAGGCTGTTAAAGCTGTAGTTGTGGTTTCAAATCTGCAGGTTTCAGTTGGAATTTCTTTGAAGATGTTCAATGTGAAAGTAGGAGTGGGGTAAAGTAGCAGTGTTTGAAGTCAGGATCAAGACTGGGAGAACTTTAATCCGGGATACCATGAAGGAAGAGGGCTGTACCATGAGGGGTATGCATGTTGGAATCTGTATCAAGAAGCAGTTTAGATCAATTAGATGTGCTAAGTGTTGTGGAGAGACTATAGGTGCTGCACCAAAGGGACCAAGGTTTGAATTTCCACATAGGCATGAAAGCCTATGTCCCATTTGCAGAATTATTTGTGCATATCATGTTAGGGCTGTGTGACCTGTATTAGTCGTGGCCAATGATCTCAATAGGTTTGCTAATGATTGTATGGATATAATTCCTTTGTATGGCACTAGGGCGTGAATTAAAAACTTTAAGAATCTGGGAAAGGGAAAAATGCATAAATGTGATTTCCATTGCTTATCTTCGCTAATTTTCAAGTGTCTTTTTCCCACTGCATTCCATCTGGGGAGTGTGTTAATAGTCCTGTCATTTTGGTTCTGTTAGTTTTGGGGAATAATAGATAATGTTAGAATTAGCACTTCATTTCATACATTTTGTTTTGGATGTCTTCAGATCATTGCATCTTTGGAAAGGAAAGACCAATTTTGGTAAAATTGAAAGGAAAGACCAGTTCTGACGTTGACTTTGCATCCCAAGAACGTTTTCACACACATTCATCTAACCAAAGTCTGGTTTCTGCTTTTTTTTTCGAGGAAAGTTTTGGGAATGAGCCATCTGTAGCAGAGACAGTTTGCTCTGAGCAACAGTTTTCCTGTTTCTCTGTCCCAGTCCCCCCCGCCCCCAAAAGGTCTCCTAATCTGATTTGGAACAGGGAAGAGAAAGGGGTTGAGCACCCTCTCCCTTTCCCAAAAGCTTTTTTCCTTAAGCAAATCAGCCATCCGGCTTAGTTAAATCGTCAAGCACACTTACTTGAAAGTAATTTCTACTGGAAAGCAACATTCTTTATTGCTAAGAAAATCTGTTCACAGGATCAACAGGTATATGCTTCAAATTAAATCCATTGCATCATAGAGGCCAATGGCTATTCTCCATCCCATAATGTTCTGTGAATTGTGAAAGTACTAGTTATTTTGTTTCTCAGGGATTTTTCTTTATGCAAAATGGCAGTCAAAATGTACATGGAATGCAAATAGAAATGTGATTGATCTAGTCATGGATTGCATTGCAAAAGTGTGTTATGATTGATTTTAACTGGGTAATGTTTTTAACAGTGTATGTAAGGGAGCTGTTTATTATGGTTTTAGAAGCAGAGGAATCTTATAATTCTGTTTTCCTTTTTTCTTTTAAGGAAGAGGTGCTGAGCTGGTTGACAGAGGAGACAATACGTATGGTGGAAAATGGGTCATAAATCCAAGTGGTGGCTTGCTTTCAAAGGGACACCCACTGGGTGCTACAGGTAGCTAATATGATCTTTTTCTAAGGCATTTAAAAATAGGAAAAGGTTTTATTGAGCCATATTATTTATTTATTTATTTAGAGTTTTTGTATGCCATCCCATCGCTTATAGCCTCGGGACAGCTCACATAAATAAATAAACATGATACAAAATACAATTAAAATCCAGAAACACCCTGGCTGCACAATTAAAACCTATAGATATTAAGCGTTGTTAAACTATTTTTTAAATTAAAAGATCTTAGCCTGGCACCGAAAAACAAATAATGACGGTGCCAGGTGGACTTCTCTGGGGAGCGCATTGCACAGATGCGCTCTATTGATGCAGCCTTTCCTAACTCACTGAACTCAAGATTTTTTGAAATACAACTCTCATCATCTCCAGCAATCATGGCCAACAACAGATTAGTGCTGCTGTCACTTAAAAATAATAATAATGAATTGCTTTGATACAATTTTAACATTTTAAAGTTAAATTACAAGTCATCTTGAGAACCCTATTTAGCCTGAAGGAAACTCATACATGTAAGTTGATTTGCCCTTCTCCTTGACTGGAGGCTGGATAGTCAAATAACCTGGTGCTCCATCAGTAGTTCATGCTGGAAATGTTGAGGATCACTGTACTTCAGCATTCTAATCTTTAAGAGCTACCATGACCAGTGTCACAACTATCCTTTACGTTGTGTTTGCATGTAATGTTAACCATAGTCCTAATCGGCATTTGATCTAAATTTAGAACCCATGGGTTGGATTTAAACCTACACATTCCAGCAAATCCTTTGAAATCAATGGTACTTGATCAAGTCATAACTAAATTAAGCCCATATAATATAGTTTTCTAAATACTGCTTAGCCTGGATCCAACTCAGCAGTAGATCTTTATAAAGAAAAGGGTTTTTTTTTAAAAATAAATTTAGGTGTACACATGCAGACCATGTCTTACAAACAGTCTAAATTGGGAATTGATTCTTCATGTACTTGGGCTAAGGTCTGTTGTTCTTTGCCTTTCATTCATGTGTGGTACTCAATAGGTAATGTGCATCTCTAGTTCTCTATTTTAAAAGAACTTGCAGGAATTCATTACTTAAAATTCTACTGATGGACTATTATGTGCTGGCAAGTCTTCTCTGACTTACGGTGATGCAGTGAATGAATGCCTTCCAAAATGGCTCTCCTTGATACTCCTCCTCAGACCTTGTAATCTCGAGGGTGTGACTTCCTCTATGGAATCACTCCATCTCATAATGGGTCTCCCTTTTCTTCTTCTGTCTTCAACTTTCTCTAACATAATTGTATTTTCCAGTTAGTCTTCCCTTCTCATTATGTGCCCAAAGTACAGCTTTGGTTTCATCATTTTTGCGTCCAGGGAAAGTTCTAGGACCCATTTGTTCACCTTTCTATTGATCTGAAAGTGAGCCACGTTTCTGAACAAATGCATGAACTGCCCAGAATTACTCTTTGACCTTGATGTCTGGCATGGGACAACTTTCTTTGGGCTGATGTATAGTTTAGACACTGAGGGCTAAAATATTGGGATGTCAAGGATTTTTTTCCATTTGAACTTAGCCCTGCAGCTCTAAACAAACAAGGGTTGATTTTATTGTTATTAGTATTATTTGGTCAGAGTGATGAAATCCTCTGTGCTGCTGTTGCCAGATTCTGCCAGCACAAATTGCCCAACAGGTGAACAGCCTGAAGGACTCCAGACTCATGCCAATCAAGATTCTAGAGACAAGCCTGTGAGCAAAGTATGAGCTTTATTCAAGGTGTGTCCAGAAAGCAATGAGAGTGGTATTTTAAAAATTATTTTATTGAACATTTTACAATTGAACATTGTCTCCTTCAAAGTATGCACCTTGTGAGTGCACACAATGCTCCCAGCAATTTTTTGATTCTTCATAGCATTCCTGGAAGTCTTCAAGTGGGATGGCGTTCAGATCCTGCATAGTGGCTCTTTGAATATTACTCACACTACCAAAATGGTGTCCTTTCAAACCATTCTTCATCTTTGGGAGTATGAAAAAGTCACAAGGAGCCAAGTCAGGGCTGTAGGGTGGTTGGGGAAGCACCATGATGCATTTTTCAGCCAAAAGCTCTCTGACAGCCAAAGCACTGTGACTCGGTGCATTGTTGTGAACACAGCTCACTGCATCCATATTCTGTTCCTTTTTTGACGAAGAGGGGCATCCTAATCTTTGTTCGTTTTCAACATCTTCTCATCCTTTCTTGAAGGCCTTATACCATCAGTACACTTGTGCAGATCACAGTGCAGCTTCTCCATAAGCTTTCCTCACCATTTCCAAAGTTTCTGATGCACTTTTACTGAATTTTACACAAAATGTTATTGCGTACCACTGTTCCGAACTTGCTTGCATTTTTCTTAATATGAGGCACTTGAACAGGGTGACAAAAGAGAATGTCTCGACCGACAGGGCTGAAATACAACTGATCCGTGTTCTACTGTATACCTGGCACCCCACCCCAAGTGACCTTGGCCAGCTTCACAGAGCCCTTCTCAAGCTTAGGGACTTCATTCTCATTACTTTCCAGACACACTTCATATACCTATGTAAGCAACCTGATAAACTAATGGCCCTTCACCCTCTGCAAAGCTCAAAGGCCCTTTCATCCTCCCAAGGACTGCTCATCGCTTATCTTTGCTGATGTACACATGTTCGCCGCTTGAACTCCCCATAACTAACAAGACAAATGGTTGTTTTCACAGCATTATCAGAAAAACCAGTTATAACTTTTACAGTGGCTATAACTGGTTTTCACAGTGACTCTTTAACATTCATTGAGGTCACACCAACTGTAGATTATGCAGCATTCACCTTATTCCCTCGCCCCTCCCACCTAGGACAAGAAGTCCAACATGGCTGCAGTGCAGACAATAGCAGATCTGCTCACAGTACAACCCTGATAACACTGCCAATGTCTTGTCCATCTCTCATAGCTAGGAACAGCTTTTTATATTGGTGGCAATTTCTGTAAAGAAGAGGTGAGTGACCCACATGTTGCCCTCAGCCTCCCTCTGTATGGCCCTAACGTCCACGTACATTTGTGCCATCACAGTGAGAAAGAAGAATTGGAAGCTGGTGACCTAACCACACAGCATAGTGCCTAGAACATCTTCCCTTAGCTGCTCTGGTTACAGGCAGTCTGACTGCAGAATGTGGTTTGTGCAATTGTGAAATGATGGGGTATATATGCATGTCTCCAAGTCAGGGAGCGAAAATATGGCTGGCATGCCCAGTGTCCAGGGTGTGGGCAGCTGACTAGCAGACAGGAGCACCAGGACCTGGGCAACTGGGGTGAGACACAAGGGTCAGTCCAAAAGCACAGTAAAACAGTCCAAAGGTAAGGGCTGGGAGTTGAAGCACAAGGCAGAGTCCATTCAAGAGGCAAGTATGGTCAGACAAGCTGGGAGTCAGGGAACCGAGAAGACAAGCCAAGGGAAACGGGTACCCTTGAAGGCTGGAGTAGGAAAAGGAGCAAGCAAGGGCCAGGAAAGCAGGCAGGATCTAGGAGCAGGTGTGGGATTACAACCTGGGTTCAGGAACAGGAGCAAAATACAAGAGTCCACAAACCAGGAGCATTTAAGCAACTCAAAATACATGCTGGAATTTGTCTCCGCACAGGACAATGTCACTTGCACCCACTTCTGTTTCGGGGCCAGCATCAGCAGGAGATCAATAGGGACACTTTTCTCTTAGAGTGGAACAGGAGCTTCTTTTACCTACTCCCCCCACTTCCTGAAATTTGTAGCAAAAATCTACAGAATCGTACAGACCTGTCATCACATCTTGGCAGCCTTGGTTCCCCCATCTCCTTGAACTCTTCAACAGAACCTTTACATGCCTACCTCCAGGGCTTTTTTTTTTGTTATAGAATGTGCCGGAACAGCGTTCCGGCACCCTTTTTTCCAATGGATTTTACGAAGTGATTTTGAATGGCATAGCAGATCAGCAGCAAACATTATTAACATAGTGCCTGCGGGCTGCTTTTGTGTCTGCTATCTGATAGTGAGATAGTGAGGGCACTGCTCGGCTTGGAATTGGTGTGTGTGGTCGCGCACTGAGTGCTTACTGCTGGCAGCGACGTGAGTTCTGGCACCTTTTTTTTTTTTTTACAAAAAAGAGCACTGCCTACCTCTCTAACCCAATGTCACCTCTCAGGATTAAAGGACAGTCCTCCATCCAGACATAGATACCCTCCACCTTACAGCATGAAGAGTTCAGCCATTTCTATCACTATAACTGACATGTCCCACAAACTCCAACAGATCCTCGATGCTTCTCTGAAACCTGCCACTTGTAGTTCATAGAACTCAAAATAGGCAGCCTTCTGTACCTTGGCAACAGAACCTGGCTTTCCACCAAACACAGTTTCTGCTATGCAGATACTCTTGTTCCTCAATTCCTTGTATAAGAAAGGACTCCAAACATATTCTTTCAGTGTCTATGCAGCCGCCATCTCCGCCTTCCACACTCCATTCCAGGGCCATTCCATTTTCTTGAATCCTCTTAGCAGAAGGTTCCTGAAAGGCCTCATTAAGCTTGCCCCACCAGTTCAGCAACCCACTCCAGCCTGAAGCCTCCGTATTGTTCTTCACATGGTTATATAAAAGCCATTTGAAATCATGGCATCCTCTCATGGAACCCATGTAAGGCAGCCTTTCTGATTGCCATTACTTCTGCTTGATGAGCCTGTGACCTAGGCACCCTACGCTTGGACCCGCCAACCTCAGATTCCACAAAGGTAAGGTGATGCTCCAGCCTGATCCCACATTCCTGCCAAAAGTAGTCTCTGCCTTTCTTATTAATGAGACTATCATCCTTCCAGCTTTCTTCCAGTCTCCCTCCAACACTGGCAAACTAGCCCTCCATTCTTTACATGTTTGCAGCGTCTTGACCTTGTACAGCCTATCAGGCAGTCCCAGAGACTTTTCATTGCCTGGGGGGTGCACATCAAGGTACCCTCATCTCCTTAAAAAGACTTGCCAAATGGATTGCTGATACCATACTTTTAGCATATGACCTCTCTGAACTTCAACTACCTGGCCCTGTCAGAGCTCATTCCACCAGAGGACAGTTAGCTCCACAGCCATATACGCTGTAGTGTCCCTCACTGATCTCTGCGGAGCTGTGACCTAGTCAGACCCTTAACCTTTGTCTTGATGTTCAGGCCAGAGTAGACTGTGTCTTTGGCAGGGCTGTTCTCTTTTCTGTACTCCATTGAGCCACATCTCCGTTCTCCAAGAGGTAAGCTTGCCAGTTGCTCATGTGTGTGATACACAGAGACCACAAAGAAAGGCAGGTTGCCTTCCTGTAACTGTTGTTCTTCGACTGGTCATCTGTACGTTCACATATACATGCCTGCCATCCCTACTAGTGTTGCATCTTCACATGGGTTGGGAAATGTTTCCCTTACCCTCATGGGATGGGGGACATTCTTCTGATGGCAGTCTTATAACTCAAACCATTGTGGTGTGGTGGTTAAGAGCATGGAACTGGGACTCAGATGACCTGGGTTCTAGTCCCCACTCAGCCATGGAGCCAACTGGGTGACTTTGGGCCAGTCACAGACTCTCAGCCCAACCTACCTCACAGGGTTGTTGTTGTGGGGATAAGATGGAGGAGGAGAATGGTGTAAGCTGCCTTGAGCCCTTTGTAGGAAAAAGGCAGGATGCAAATCGAAAAATTAACTAACTAACTAACTAACTAACTAACTAACTAACCAACTAACTGAGATCTCAGTGGGAGCCCCTCCCTGCACACGGGGCATGCCGAGGGGCTGGACTTCCGCTGAATAATAATTAATCAGCTTTGGAATCTTCCTGAATGAGTTCCATGCATGCGCACACAGCCCCCCCCCCCATATGCGTGAATGCACAGATGACCACTCGAAGAACAACAGTTACACAACCTGCCTCTTTTCCACAACTTCCATTTGTATTACCCATTGAAAAAAATAGTAGAACAGCAGCACAATGCCTTCTAATTGATGATACTAGGAGCCCTTCTATCTGGAAGCGTCTCTGGTCTGCTGGCGGTATGAAAGCTAGAAGATGTCATGAGAGGATGGTGGGGACTCCACAATACACTCTGCTTTATGAATGCTGCCTGGTTTTTGGACTTCATAGAAGACACAGACCATCCATGCAGTAGAAGGAGGTTGCCACTCCAGAAACAGAACTCAGTGTTATCAGGAATGGACAGCTTTGTCTATGTGTTGCAATTAACCATTTTGAAAAGGCAGTCTGTCTCAAGTCTGTTAATAATGGTCTTTGTGGGTAGTTCTGGGAGGAGTTCAAGCAAGAGCATCTGGGAGGATTTGTAAGGCTCTGGATTGTTCAGGCTCAGTGTACTTAGCCATTATACTTCTGGGCTCATACTCTTAGGGTGCAATCCTTTATAAGTTTAGATAGAAAAAGTCTCCCATTCTCAGTATTATATGTATTAATTTATATTTAAAACTTTTGTATACTGTCCCATCACAAACGTCTCGGGATGGTTCACAATAACAACAATAAAACAGGATAAAAATAAAGGAAAAATAGCACAGTATCCAATATTAAAGTAACTGTAATTGTAGGAGTTGTACAACTCTTTTATATCTGGACATGTATGGGATTGTACCCTTAATGAATCAGAGATTGAGCTTGCATAAGGAAGCAGGCAAAATAGCCCTTTTAACCCTTCCTATAACATGCAAGAGTACTACAAATAGTGTGCACATACCCTAGCATCACACTCTTTACATTGCAAAATGCATCAATGTCAAGGAGAACATACGTTTATGTGGCCAGGCTTCCTTGTGCAAAATAGGAAGTAACCACTAAAAAAAGAATGCATCTTTGCTATCATGCATATTGAAAGAAGCCATGCCATTTAAATTCTGATTGGTTATCTTTTGCAAGGGCTTGTATCAGGGACCATCAGGGACTAGGTTATTGCAAAGATCTCCCCTCTGCACGGGGCCCACTTCCAAAATCTCCTGCTGCATCTCTTCCTCTTCATGCTTGGTTGCTGCCTGTTTGCACTTATCTACCCACCCTTCTGGCACAAAGAGGGCAAATGAGCAGTGTTGGGGAAAGGGCAACTACAATGTGTTTGCTCCCATGACAGCATTCTTTCTAGCTAGTGAAAAGGCAATAGTGATTCCAGAAGGGGAAGAGCCTTCAGAGTGGTGGCTCCCTTTCTAGGGCGTTCCCAGGCTCTGGAAGACATGCAGGAAACTGAACACCCATCTGGGGGTGGGTGGAAGGGTTTAACTTGGTGTCCTGCACTGGGCAGGGTTAGGATTAGGGTTAGGATGGATCCAGTGGTCTTCCGGCCCCTTCCAACTCTGCTATTCTATGATTCTTGCTTATTGGTAGCTGCAGACAGTGCTTGTCTAGAAACCTACAGGAATTTATGTAAACTGTTCTGCAAAGAATGAGGAATTTTTGTGAAAGTTCTGGAAAAAGATTAATTAGCTAAGCTACATTCAGATCAGTGGTCTTAGCATTATGAGTATGGTGCCTAAAATAGTTTACTTACTTTCCAAGCCTGCTGTGTTTCACAAGACACTCCTTTGCAGAGCTCTTTTGAATTTACAGAGGTTTAGCCAATTAACATAAAGTGAATCTTTTTGTTCTTTCACAGATGGGTAATCGTTGTATCTTAACCAAAATTATTCATCTTAGGACTGAGCTACAGGCAGAGCTACAGCCCACCTCTCTTCTCTTCCTGCTTGAAGGTTGGGTGAAACACACAGCATGGCAATGCAGCTCAATCCATGTTCTCTGTGTTCGATGCATTAGGTCTGGCTCAGTGTGCAGAGCTCTGCTGGCAACTAAGAGGAGAAGCTGGGAAGAGACAGGTTCCTGGTGCAAAGGTTGCTTTGCAGCATAACATAGGCCTTGGCGGTGCTGTAGTTGTATCTCTCTATACCATGGGTTTTCCTGAAGTGGCTAGGTGAGTGCTCAATTTCCTTTGCATGCTGCAAAAACAAGCCTATGAAAGCTATTGTGCATGTTGCTACAGTGGCTGTAATCCTCTCGTCTCATGCTTTGAATATACTATTGTTATCAAGATGAAAATAGCTTGACAGGCCATGATAGCATGATCTTACCAGCCTTAATTCCTACCAAATTTAAACAGGCAGTTGGGAATCAGAGGGAGAATATGGGTTGTAAATGCCATTTTTTAGTATTTTTTTAAAGGAATAACTGCTTTGGTTTCTTTTGCTACTGGAAACTTTCATTGTGGTTTTGGTCACAGAGGTAGGAGGCTTGTCTTAATTGTGTTTGCTGAAGTCTGGTTCCATGTTAAAATACATACGCAGAGTAAGCAACAGTTACAGGAATGTGCAGAACTGGCATTTTTAATATGATGTAGGAAACTAAAAGCAGGGAGAAGAATTGCCTAAAAGAGATGAAAGCTTTAAGCTGGGTGCCTTTTGAAATGTTGGAATAATTCTGCATGCTTAAAAGGAAATTCATATTCAGATTACTTATCGTTTACTGCTTGTGGGTTTTTATTTTATTTGGCTACAGAGAAAATCCAAGTAATATCCTTAAGTTTGTGCTCCAAGAGCACTGAAATTTGAATTATTGAAAATGTACCCAGCCAGCAGTTTCTTACATTCTAGTGCCCCTTTCTTGTGTGAATATGCCCATTTCAAGCAACCCTATTTCCTGACATTTCCCAACATTTGTTGAAGTTCTAACATTTTTGCAAAAAAGAGTTTCATAAATTTTAGCATATTTTCATGCCAATAACGAGGCAGGTGTGTGCACCATGCTTTTATGTAGCAATTTGGGATTAATAATTTCTGTATTCAAATGTTAATTTTGTGGCAATAACAAAGGGAGCTTAAGAAGGTTTATCCACTTAAGAAGTAGTTTTAGCTAATACGGAAATTTCCACGTAACTTCAGAAATACATGTGAGCAAGATTAAGAAACTCAGTCATCAGACTAATGAATGATATTGGTATTGCTGAGGCTGTTTAGATTTTCTTGTTTCAGGGTTGTCATTGCCATTTTTACATTGACTGGAAGGATTTGCATTTGCACTTTCTCATACAGCAGTACATGCTCACACGCATGTGCATCCATGTGCATGGTCTGTAATGCCTCCCTCCCTCCCTCTGGATGGGCTATTGAACAATACTTACAATACTAGGTTTTCAAGGATTTGCTGTACAGTTTCATGTGGTAATTAATTAATAAATTGTATCCTTTCTTTCATGGAGCCCAAGGAAGGATATGAATTATTCTTCATTTTATTTTCACAATAGGACTATGAGGTAGGTTAGGCAGAGAGTCAGTGACTGTCCCAAAGTTGCCCAGTGATTTTCATGGCCAAGTAGGGACTTAGAGCTTGTCCCAGGTCCAGCTCTCTAATCATTACATCACACTTGTTTAGTTTATAATAAAACATCTTATATTGCTTTGAAAGAAATGGGTTAACAATTTCTTAGTAGCTTGCCCATCAATTCCAGTAAATCAGTTTTTTAAACAATGCAACAACACAGATGTGTTCTGTAGTTTAAAAAGTGAGATTTGCTCTCTGAGCCAGGTAAAATTTCAGTGCTAGAATTCTATGAGAAGCTAATACTTTCTTATCCATCTTCATTTTCATATCTATATTTATGGGGAAAATGTTGGAAGGTTTGTTGTAATACAGCTTTGGCAGCTAAGTGCTGATTAAGGCTTCTAAATAGTAAATGACCTGTGTTAAAACCAATGCTTTGAAGCCTTAAAGTTATTTGGTTAGAGAGTAGGAATGGAAAAGGGAAGACTGGGTGGGTAGATCTGAGACGTATGAAATGCAAATATGGTATGATGTGCTAACGTACGTACCAGAAAAACTACTAGAGAAAGATAGCGAAAGGAGTGAAAAGCTCTCTTTATTGTGATGGCTGCTAAAATCTAAGCCATTGATGTCAGAAGTATTTTTCTGATGTTTAATAGCCCAGGAATGTATAATAACTAAAATCTGTTAAATTTGGCATGTACTGCTGTTGGTCCCATTCTTCCCACCCCTGAAGCAGCTGTGGTTGTTGCAAAATTGTAGTGTTAATATCTTATATAATTGTTTGGAAGAGTTGCACAACTGAAGTGTTGCATGAGGCTATTGGGTAATTAGGTAAAAGGTAGCTTTGTTTCATAAGCTTCATTTTACATGCTATAATTCTGGTATCTGGGAGCTGATGAATGCTGTTTTAAAAACCTTAGACAGGGATTGATTACCTCTAGTAATTTTAACATGTATAAAGTACAGGATTTGATTCATTCCTGCTATATAAACTATCTTGTATGTCTCCCTACACCCTGCTTATTGGTTGAGTTTGTTTCTCAAGTGATACAAACTTCCTTAATTATAGCTATTCTTCCCATTTTTTTTCTGTCTCACCTTTCCTGTGAGAGAGGAAAAGCTCTAGGGGATAAAATCCCCATTTTGCAGGATCATAAGCAATTATTGTATCATTATAAGAGAAAATAAAAGAAGTACAGAATTGCCTCTCAATCTTTGGCAGGGTCTTGACATGGGTTTTTCGTGTGTGTGTGTGTGTGTGTAAACAATATTCAGAAAATTGTAAATTTGTCTGTGACTCCACTAGTTATGCTTCTTAGCCACTTTACTTGTCTGTCCACATTATCATGGAGACTTCTGAAATAACCAGAAAACGCATATTCCCCTGCACATACAAATTGCACAAGAGGTAGGTTGTGTTAAAGACTTGTTTTTAAAGTTATGTTTACTTGACTGAAGTTGCATGACTTTCTCGCATTCCAGGAATCGGCAAATCCAAGCTATTCCCACTAGGGCGGCTGTGGAAGGGTTTAAGGCAGATCTTGTTTTCAAAGAAATAGAAAAGAAACTTCAAGAGGTATGTAACTTGATAAGTCATACTTATGCAATAATTTGTGAAATAATATTCTTAAGGCACCAAAATAGTGATAATCATACGAACAACTTCATTCCATGAAACTAGCTTGCCTGCCACTTATTATTCCACCAAAAACATATTTAATTATACACACACACACACACACACACACACACACACATCCTTTTTTAAATTATCTCTTTTCTCCTCCCCCCATAAGTTAGTGATCAAACCCAAGGCACAAGGCATATCCATGGTTGCTTGTTTTTGCTTTTTTCTAAATATAGAAAACAGGTCTTTGAAATAAAAGGTGAAATTGCAGTTTTAAAAATCAAATATTGGAATGACAGCATGCTTCCTTAACATTGACATGCCAATACAGGCCCTGGAGGATGGGAGTTGAAGTGAATCAAGTGTAACATTTCTTAGGGTTTTTCTTCTTACTCTCAGAAACTATGTGATAGAAATTTTTCTCCATATTCAAACATCGAATCTGTCCTTGAAGCATGCTTCTTCCCCCACAGTCCAGAAAGCATCTGCAAATAGTCCTTACCTACTTTAATCTCACTCATAACTACATGATGGGCGCAGTGGAAAGGCTCATGAAAGATGGCTGTATCCAGCATCCCCATCCTCTGTGGGCCTGACAGTAGGCAGGCTGCTTTCTAGATGAGAATTAGAGAATTAGATTAGAAATTTCCTAGCCTCTGGGAAACACGTTAGGTTAAAGAAAAGCTATTCTGTTTGTTTGTTTGTTTGTTTATTTATTTATTATTTAAAACATTTTTATGCTGCCCCCATCGCAACAAAGCCTCGGGGCGGCTCACAACAAGAACAAAATATACAAATATAACAAATTATGCAATAAAAATATTAAAGCCCGGTGCATCTCGGCTTAAAAGATTTAAAATCCTATAATAACCAATAAATTAACAATTAAAATAAGTTTTAAATAAAAAGGTCTTAGCCTGGTGCCGAAAAACAAATAACGACAGCGCCAGGCGGTCCTCTCTGGGGAGCGCATTCCATAGATGGGGTGCCATCGCTGAGAGAGCCCTCCTCCGGGTACTCGCCCTCCTAATATTCACAGAGGGTTCCCGGAGAAGGGCATCTGTTGCTGATCTCAAGGGGCGGGAGGGCATATATGGATGCAAGCGTTCCTTTAGATACCCAGGACCCAATCCATTGAGGGCTTTATAGGTCATAACCAACACCTTGAATTGGGCCCGGACTTCAGTCAGGAGCCAGTGGAGCTGACGGAGAACTGGGGTTATATGAGAACGACGCCCAGTCCCCGTCAGCAGCCTGGCAGCTCTATTCTGCACCAATTGAAGTATCTGGACCATCTTCAAGGGTAGCCCCACGTAGAGCGTGTTACAGAAATCTAATCGGGAAGTTACCAGCGCGTGTGTCACTGTCGCCAGGCAGTCGTTCTCCAGGAAGGGACGCAGCTGATGGATCAGCCGAAGCTGAAGGAAAGCGCTCCTTGCCACCGCCATCACCCGAGCTTCTAGAGACAGCTCAGGGTCGAGGAGCACTCCTAAGCTGCGAACCCTGTCCCTCAGAGGGAGTGCAACCCCATTTAGGACAAGGCCCAAGTCCCCCATCCCAAGGCCCAAACCACCCACCAACAGGACCTCCGTCTTGTCTGGATTGAGCTTCAGTTTATTGGCCCTCATCCAGCCCGTTACCTTGGCCAGGCACCGGTTCAGCACAGCCACTGCCTCATCTTTATGCTTTTAGCAATGAAAACTAGTACTATCACACTTTTCCACCAGAGTTTAAAATGTGCAAAAGTGACCATTACTAGTCTTATCCAGTGTTTTTGTTGAAACCCAGAACATTTGTTCTGCAGCAAAAAAAGTAAATGAGTAAGAAATTTTGTACGTAGTCCAGAGACAAAATATATTTCTCATGTACTTAATTTCCACTGACCCCATAAGAACAGTTTAGCATGTTAAAGTGCCAGTGTGTATTATTAAAAAAGTTTAAAACTGCTGCTTCAAGCTGCTGGCATGCGTTAATGGCACCTTGATTCATTTTATAATGTATCTGGAGTATTCTTGCAATCTCATGGTCATTAAGGGGAAAGATTGCATGGGTTTTCCTAGGCTTAGTGCCCACAAGTACTGGAAAAGTTTGTAATGTTCAAATATGAATTTTCCCCCCTCATAGATTATGAAGTTACATTCATACCTAGCAATTGGTAAACATCAGGTACAATGGTTGCTTTGGATGCTTTTCTGTGGTTCCTAGATGCTGCCTAGGTGTCCATAGGAAAGGTAAATGTACTCCTCCCTTAGAGCATCCATCGTCAGACCTGCTGTTGTTCCTTCTTTGGCAGCTGTGACTTTAAGGTTGGAAGAGTGTCCTTGGAGTCAGCACTAAGGGAGCATCCAAGGGGCAAGGGAGGAGTGAACTTCTGGCCAGAAACAATATATCCCGTGGGGGCCTCAGTCTCTTTGACTCACAAGCAGGTGTAAAACACTGGTTTGGAAGGCAAGATTAACTCTGAGGTAATTCTCACCTCCATGTTCCTTCTGCCCCCTGCTGAATGCTTGTAATCCTCAAAGTTCAGAGGGTTATGGACATCCACATTACCCAGCACATATACAGTGCTTGGTTCAGCCATCTTTGGGCTGTATCACTTTAGACTGATAGTGGGGAAATAGCATCTGAATGCTGCCCCATGTGAACAAACTCCACATGTTGAAAATCCTTAACGGAGAAGTTTTTTAAGTTAGGTTTAATCATCTGCTTTGCAAGCTTGCAAGAGATTAGGCTTATTTCAGGGCTCAGAGAGAATCTGGAGTTGAGAAAAATGGAAATAAACTACCTGGTTGTAGATCAGCATAGTGGCCATAATCCAGATAATCAGCTATTTAGCAGTGAAATTCTAAGTTACATACATCTCCATGGAGCTTGCGCCTCAGTGAATTTCCATGCTGAGCTGCAAGACACTCTTTGATGGCTCCCCACTGCATCTCCTGAAAGGGGCTTCTCAGAAGAGTTTTATGGTGTATCATGAAAGGTGAGAAAGCTGTTGGTCCAGAAAGAAATAGTGGTCAAGTGACCTATGTGGTTCATGCAACCCTAACAGAATGCTTGGGGCGGTGACTAATGTCTGCAAGCATACAGGTTCTTAGCACTGTGAAAATATTTGGTGCATAAATAAATTGAAATTTAGGCATTTCAGCTGTAATAAGTAACTGTTACATAATGATTACAGGAAGGGGAACAGTATGTCAAGAAAATTGGTGGTATTTTTGCCTTCAAAGTGAAAGATGGCCCTGGAGGTAAAGAAGCAACTTGGGTAGTTGATGTGAAAAATGGCAAAGGCAGTGTGGATATTAACTCAGGTTGGTATATCTTGTTTTTTCGACCTTAAAATATTCTTAAGTTGCTAGAATACAACTATGCAGATGGTAAGTTCTTTGTTGCCAAATAGCAATGAACTTAATTAGGAAGTTCAATATTAGAAGGGCAAAGTAAGCTAACAAATCATGCTGCAGTGTTTTGGTAAGTATGTTTTTAAGAAGATCATGAGCTGCGTGTTCCGTGAGAATTACATTCTCATAACATTTCATTCCAGTTCAAAAATCTCTTTTGTGTAGCAAAGTCTTTGGAATGCAAGAGGTGTTTTTTTGCTTTTAGACTTACTCAAGTACTAAAAACAAGTTAGGAAATATGCATGGTATAACCCTGAAGCTAAGGAACCCACCTAGCCCTTTGAACTACATTGAACAAATTGAAATGAAAAGGTTCATAAAATTGTAAGATAAGCCCTTTTAACCTTCTTGACTACTAAAACCATACTCTTGAGATTTTTCAGGAGTTGTCACATGAAGAGATTAAGTAACTGGTGCTTAGTTATGCCCAGCCCACAGTTTACAAAATAAAATAGGTGTTGCAGATGGAGAGCCACTCATCATTCATCATTGACACCATAGAATAGCATTATGTTGGAGCTGGTCCAACCCTGAGCAAAGCCAGAAACTGACCAGAGTTTGATATAAAAACATGATACCTTGCTCATACATAACAGAAAACCCAGTGAAATGAAACTGAAAGCAAATGCTGGCAGCGTATTTATCCAGACCATGCTGGATTAAGAGTGTGTGGCTTGTTCCAGCTAATGCACATGGCACTGATCTTAGTGATACCAGCAGACCAACAAATATGCTTCGCTGGAATAGGAAAGCTTCATTTTTCCTTTCACAAAATATTGTGACTTGTTTATTAGGAAAACATTGAATCTCTGCAGCACAAGATCTAATTTGAGGAAGGACTTGAGGTTCTTCCACAACAAGTAAACAAACTGCATTTTAATCATGCATTTGATTTAGAAGAATCTTGGTACTGGGAAAGCCTACTAGCCATTATCATCATGATGCTTTTTTCCTTGGGTTCATCTAGTAGAGAATCCTTGTATGTGGCTCAGTTGAACTGAATTCATATTGGCAAGATGGCATCTGATCAAGCAAGTGGCTTCAGTCTCAGATGTTTATACAATGCACTTCTTAAGAAATAACAGTATTAGGGGTTTTTTTTATAACCCTGTGCTTACTTTAAGAAAGTAAGTCCCACTGAAATTAAGGGCTTAATTCTGAGTAAACATGTGGAAGGTTTTACTATGACTCTAGAAATGGAAGACTTGAAACTTATTCTGATTATTAATGTAGATGATGTAGTGTACATGGCAATAGTTAGCTAAACATTGCCGTTTAGCTTTCCAGCCTGTGAATAAACAGTATCAATAAGGACATTTGAAAAATATGCTCATGCTTGATCTTGACCTCTTTGTAAGGCTTCTTTGTAGAGAGCAAAATCTCCTTAAAGCAAACAAAGTAAAAAAGAAAGGTTCTTTGTCGTGGCCTCTGTGCATCACACATATGGGTGCTGCGCCTGTGCAGTGCCTTCGGCCGGAAGATTGCTAGCTAACGGTTTTTGGTGGGAAGCTCTGCTCCCCCTCCCCCCGCGGCCTGTAAAGAGCAGAGCATCCGCCATTTTGTTCAGTCTTTGCGACCGCCATTCACTGTGCCTCGTGCCGCTTTCGACTTCCGCTCTGACTGTTACTCGTTAGCCTTTTCTTCTCGATTGTTCCAGTTCTATAGCCCCGTTTTTTTTCTCCTTATTCCTGCTTCGTATAGTTCCTGTAGTTTTTTCGCTATCATTCTACCTTCTTTCAATCTATCTATAAACAAAAAAAAAAAATATACTTACCCTCTGCACTATCTCTCTCTTCTTCCTTTTTCTGCGATGGTGCAGCGAGCGGCTTTCCGGAAATCCGCGGAGTGCGGATCAAAAATGTCACCAACCGACCCGCATGACCTATGCCTCCTCTGTTTGGGCGAGGGGCATAGGACTGATAAATGTGCCCACTGCCTGGCCTTCTCCAAGCAGACCAGGAAGAATCGTGAGAACCACCTCCAGAGGCTCCTTTGGGATTGGGCTCTCATGCAGTCCGATCCGCTGCTTTCTGCTTCAAAGCCTGGCTCCGCTTCAGTGGCTTCATCTTCACGCCCTTCGGACAAAGGTGCGTCTGCTACGGTGGCTCCCTCTGCTTCCCCCAAAAATAAACATGATAAGCGGAAGCATGCCGAACCTGAGAAGTCGGCAGGCCATAAGAAGGCCAGGAAGGAGAAAGTCTCCAAGCCTTCCAAAAAACCGAAGGACTCGGAGCGTCCTCGTCACCGGGATCAGATTCGACGGCCCCCTCAGTACCGGCGGCGCTCACGGTACCGACTCCACCCGACCCGGTCTTCAGGAGGCTATGCGGGTTACCCCTCAAGGGTCCCCGCGCTGCGTGGCCGACCTTCCCTCTGGACCCCTTCCAACTCTGCAAAGGGGCTCGATTTCTGATGGGGAAATTCAGGACTTTCCCCCTAGGGCTCGGTCGCCTACACCCATGCCCGCGGCCACTATGGAGGCGGATGTAGGGATGTCCCCCACTGGGAACTGGAGGAGCCGCTCCGTGGAGCGACTTTCGGAGGGATGGCGTCGCCCCTATTACCACACCTGGGGTGATCCGCTCTACGTAGGATATTACCCCGCTCCGAGGGGTCAGTCCTCTCCACCATCCCGTGACCGACCACGTCCCTCGGACCCGAGATGTGCATCTCCACGATCCCCTCGGGATGGAAGCAGCCGCTGTTTTTCTCCGGCGGAGTCTTCGTCATTGGCTCCACCATACTACAGTGCCGATTCCGATGATTCGGAGGTTGATTCAACCTCCCCAGACGTCGCCGTGACATCCCAGGGTCCTACGTCACTGGACGAATCTCACGTCTCCTTTGCGGAGCTGATGTCCAGACTTATCCAGTCCCTCGACATCGACGCCGTCCAGTGTCCGGGACCGACAGTGGACAAGTTCTACGACATCCACAGAGAGCAGTCGACATCGATCGTCCTGCCGCTCATAACCACTCTTCGGCAAGCGATGACGCAGCCCTGGGACTTGCCCTCTCACCCTCAACCCACATCCAGGAGGTACGAATCTATGTACTGGGTTCGGGAGGAGGACATCCCCTTCCTTCTCCGCCACCCCAAGCTGAACTCAGTCATAGTGGAGTCCTCCCAGGGCAGAGAGGCAAGAGGGCATACGGCACCACGAGACAAGGAGGGCCGAAAGATCGACTCCCTGGCTAGGCGAGTCTGCGCTGCGTCAGGCCTGGGGCTGCAGATCTCAAATTACAAGGCGACATTGGCGAGGTACCAGTACTCCATCATGCAGCGCCTCCACAACGTCGCCTCGACCCTCCCGGACCACCAGGGTGACCTGGCTAAGGTCCTTATCAAGGAGGCAATGCACGTCGCTGTTCAGCAGTTTTCCATGGCCAGGCACCACGTGGACACAGACTCAAGGGCCTTGGTTGGTGCCGTTTCACTCCAGAGACACGCCTGGCTCAGAAACAGCAACTTTCCGGAGGAAACCAAGCGCCGTATAGAGGAAATGCCCTTTGACGGGTCCAGGTTTTTCCACTCCTGCACTGACCACAAACTAAAAAAGCTGCACGAATCCCGAATGATGGCACGCAGGATGGAGATACAGACCCAGACCAAACGTAAGTGGTCATGGAATCGCCCATCTTACAGGCAGTCCTACCAGCCAAGACAAAAACCCCAGCACTGTCAGCAGCAGCAACAGCAGCGCCGCCGTCCGCAGCCCCAACAACGCTATCAACAAGGCCGCCGCCTTTTCGATGATAGGAGGCAGCATTGACGGGACTGGCGAACCATTCCTCCAATTCCTTCTATACCCACCCCCCTCTCATCTGGGGATCGGCTCCGAAGCCGACTCCCCATTTGGGAGTCCATCACATCTGATCGGTGGGTATTGTCCATCGTTCAGCACGGCTGTCGGATAGAATTCGACATCGTTCCTCCATCGAGTCCCATCCGATTTACATCATGTTCACCGGTATTGCGCGATGAAATATATCAGCTTCTTCGTAAAGGAGCGATTCGTCAAGTATTCCCATCTGACGGACTTCACAGATTCTAGTCCAGATACTTTACGGTCCCGAAGCGGGATGTTGGTTTACGTCTGATTTTGGACTTACGTAGCCTGAATCAATTTATTGTACCGAAAAAGTTTTGGATGACCACCCTTCAAAACATCTTGCCATTGCTAAGGAAAGAGGATTGGTTCGCCTCATTGGACTTGAAGGACGCCTATTTTCACATTTCGATCCACCCGAGTTATAGACGTTTCCTTCATTTTGCTGTTGCACCCCATCTCTATGAGTTTACAGTTTTGCCTTTTGGACTGGCCACGGCTCCGAGGGTATTCACCAAATGTACGGCCCTTGTCTGCGCTTTCCTACGCCTCCAAGGCATACAGATTTACCCGTACCTCGACGACTGGCTGCTAGTGTCCCAGTCTAGGGAGGGACTCCTTGTGTCTATCTGTACAACCTGTGCCTTATTGAATGACCTGGGCCTGTGCATTAATACCAAAAAATCTTCTCTTCTTCCGATGCAGACGCTTACCTTCATTGGAGCCCGCTTGGATTTGACATTGGAGAAAGCCTTCCTTCCTTGGGACAGACACCAGACTCTTGCTTGCCATATCCATCGAATGCGACAAGACAGGACGGTCCCGGCAAAGTCCATTCAGAGGATCCTGGGGCATATGGCTTCCTCGGTTGCTGTAGTTCCACATGCCAGGCTTTGGCTTCATCCGCTACAACTTCTCTACAACAAGGTGTACCATCCTCAGAGAGATCCATGGTCGAAGTTGATTCGAATCCCATCTTCCGTACTCCATTCTCTTCTTTGGTGGTCAATACGAGCCAGTCTGACTGTTGGAGTCCCCTTCAGGGTACGGCCTCCTACGATAACCCTCGGTACCGACGCATCTCTTCTGGGATGGGGAGCAATATGCTCCAGCCTATATACCCAAGGCACATGGAATCTTCGAGAATCCACGAATCATATCAACTTCCTGGAGCTATTGGCAGTATTCAAAGCCCTGCATTCTTTCGAGGACATTCTTCAACATCGGGTCATTCAAAACTTCGGACAATGTAGCTACCGTCTTCTATCTGAACAAGCAGGGGGGAACGAAGTCACCGACTCTGGCCAGACTTTCCATGAAAATTTGGGACTGGTGCATTTCGAGAGACATCACGCTGATGGCTGTTCATCTCGCTGGTGCAGACAATGTGCAGGCAGATCTTCTCAGCAGGCACATGTTCACCTCTCATGAATGGGAGCTAGATCCTCGCACACATGACCATCTTTTCCAGCGCTGGGGGTTTCCCGACGTGGACTTATTTGCCTCCCAAAAGAACAGGGTGTGCAATGCTTACTGCTCGAGAGTGGGAATCGGACATGCTTTCATGATTCCATGGAACAACATGATTTTTTATGCCTTCCCCCCAATCCCTCTTATGATGTGGGTTATAGCGAAAATAGTGCACGACCGAGCATCGGGGATACTAGTTGCCCCTTAGTGGCCACGCCAAGCTTGGTTTGCGACACTACTCGACATCTCTTATGGGGAATAACTTCATCTACCATCGCTTCCATACCTTATAACCCCACAGGACGGTATGCTTCGCCACTCAGACTTGCTCTCATTGAACCTAACAGCATGGCAAATCCGATGACTACCATTGTCCCCCCAGTACCGACGACAACTTCAGCTGAATCGAATCCAGTCATCAAACCCAATCACTCTGGCGCTTCCTCTTCCTCTTCCTTTGTTCATTCCGTACCATTGGATTCAAGACACGACCTGTCGAATTTGACAGCTTTTCACCCTGATATCCAACATATCATCAATTCTGCCTTAAAGTCGTCCACAAGGAAATCGTATGCGGCCAAATGGAAACGGTTTTCCACCTTTGCCGAGTCTCATTCGTTCTCTCCATTCATGTCATCTATACATCAAATCCTTCAGTTCCTATTAGAACTGCACCATTCTGGATTAAAGCTGTCGTCTGTTAAAGTATATACGGCAGCGATAGCCTACTATCGTGGCTTAGTTGACAGATCACCTCTCTTCTCAACCTATTGTCAAGAGATTTCTTAAGGGCCTATATAATCTTAACCCATCAACCAGACCGGTAATGCCTAGCTGGAGTCTTTCTGTCGTTCTACAAGCCCTTACGAAAGCCCCCTTTGAACCATTGGCAACAGTGGATTTGCGCCTGGTTTCATGGAAGACAGCATTTCTCGTGGCGGTCACTTCAGCCCGAAGGGCCAGTGAACTTTGCGCTCTCCGCATAGACCCTCCTTATTTGAACTTTCACAGGGAGAAGGTCGTTTTACGCCTCGACCCATCTTTTCTGCCTAAAGTGACTACACCTTTTCATATGGGGCAAGATATTGTGTTACCTGCCTTTTTTCTGTCACCGTCGACTCCACTAGAGTGTTCTTTGCATTCACTTGATGTTCGGCGTTGCTTAGCCTTTTACAGATCGAGGACTGAGTCTATTCGATGTTCAAATAGACTGTTCATTAAGTATTCCACTAGAGATCAGGGCGATCCAGTCACGCCACAGAGACTTTCCAAATGGATAGTCCACACTATAACCTTATCTTATCAACTGGCTAAGATCGATTTCCCTACGGTCCCTCGAGGCCATTCCACTAGGGCCGTTGCAACCGCATCTGCCTTTGCATCCGGGGTCTCACTTGATGATGTATGTCGAGCTGCCACTTGGGCGAACCCTTGCACCTTCGCCAGACATTACCATCTCGATGTTCGGGCTCGACGGGATTGCTCCTTTGGCAGAGCCGTTCTTTCGTCTGTTCTTCACTGAGGACACCTTCCCTCCTCCTTTATGGTAAGCTTGTTAATCTACCCATATGTGTGATGCACAGAGGCCACGATGAAGAAAAGCAGGTTGCTTACCTGTAACTGATGTTCTTCGAGTGGCCATCTGTGCAGTCACACAACCCACCCGCCGGCCCCACTCTGTGTCGGTGCATGGACACATCTATCAGTACCAAAAGTTCCCTTTTTTCTGGTACCAACCCTCTCTTTTCCCTAGCTCTAATTACAAATTTTTTCACGAGGGGGCGCACGTTCGGTCGTCAAAGACTGAACAAAATGGCGGACGCTCCGCTCTTTATAGGCCGCGGGGGGAGGGAGAGCGGAGCTGCCCGCCAGAAACCATTAGCTGGCAATCTTCCGGCCAAAGGCACTGTGTAGGCGCAGCACCCATATGTGTGACTGCACAGATGGCCACTTGAAGAACATCAGTTACAGGTAAGCAACCTGCTTTTTTTTAAAACTTACATGCATTAAGTTAAATACCCTTAAAATTTATTTAGCCAGTTGCCTAGGAATCTTCTTCAGTCTATGAGTAAGAGGAAACAATGCTTGAAAAATGAAGTGCATACACTGTGTCTTAGCTCTAGAAGAGACTGTTTATAGTTAACTAACAGGTGGCTGGTATTTTGTTCATGAATGAGGCACTTGTAAGCCTGTCTTGCTGTTGTGTGGCATTTGAATTTGGTTTGAAGCAGTAAATGTAAGTTGCCAGTTATATTTGTTCTGTTCAGCAATATATTGAAGTATGAATGGGATGGTATTGAGTCCAGGTTGCATATCAGTGGTTGTTTAAAAGTTCCTCTTGATTAGTTGCTGATGCTTCTGTACTAGAGATTATTTACCTCCTATAATGCTGACTCCTCTTGTCTACAATTTAAGTTGATCTCTGATGCCTGTTTTTGTTATTGTTTTGCCCAGTTATTTACCAGTGGAAAGCAGAACATCTCCAGATATGGAGTGCATACTTAAGCAATTGTTGCTGTATTCTGTGTGAAGCTCATTCTGTTTTAAGGAACAAGTCGTAATCTCTTTCTGTCTGCTACTTTCAGATAAGCGAGTTGACTGCACAGTTACAATGTCTGATAATGATTTGCTCGCTCTGATGACCGGCCAGATGAATCCACAGACAGTAAGTAAAACACAAAGAAAATACTCCTATCTATCTAGTTTAATTCTACAGTTGTATTTAACAATGAAAATAATTCCTATTTCCTTCCTCATAGTTACTTTGGACTAAATGTTAACTTAATTCTGGATACAGTTGAGTACCTGTTTGTTTCAAAATTGCTAAATATGGCAAATAGAAGCAATTTTCACTAATATGTTTATCAAAGTAGCTGGCCAAATTTTAAATGCAGAAAGAACTTTTCCTATTTGAAAGCCTTTTAATTGTGAGTTATAACATTGTTCATAGTGAAGAAACCACCATTTGGAATAACTGCATGATTTTTGAGATACATAAGGACTCTGGACAGTGGAGAAGCACCTTTTCATTATGTATCACATTTAGAATTTCTACATCATAGGCTACAAATGTATATGCATTTCTTATAACATTTGACTTTGCACATGTGTGTACACACATACATTAAAGGTTTCACATTTTAAATTAGTAAATGCTTATAATATCTTGTGTGGCAGTTTCAAATTGCTTGGTTTTGAACATAACCATTTGAAGAAGACAATCTTGGCATTTCCAGGCACACTTGTGAACATTTCTGTCTGAAACCCACTGGCCACTGCTGCCAGTCAGTGTTGACAGTACTGCACTAAATGGACAAAGGGACTGACTCAGAATGAGGTGGCAGCTTATGTTCTTACAGTTCACTCTGAAATAATAGAAGCATTAGCCAAAAGAATGTAGTTCAATGCCTTTTCTATTTCTTCTAGGCTTTCTTTCAAGGCAAATTGAAGATTTCTGGGAACATGGGCATGGCCATGAAGCTACAGAATCTACAGCTTCAACCAAGCAAAGCTAAACTTTGAACCAATTTGACTTCAGGATGTAATCAAGACTTTAAAAAATGAGTTCTTAAAAACTAGGCTGGAACTAGATGTTGGAAGTAGCATGATACAGGTTTTCTGAATAGGTGACCCTAGCTTTCCTGCAGACTGTTTAATGGCAATTTCAGCATTGCCTTCCATAAATTGTACTAAACTGTTGCAGAGCTGATAAAATATTAGCAGTTGATAGCCCTAAGGCAATGTATAATTCTTAAAACCAGCATGATGTATAATGACCCCTAATTTTAATCCAGCTGAAATTGTTTTTAACAATTCTATAAGAGTTCTGCTGTCATTCTTGTGAAATTTTAAAAATAGGAAAGGCAATGGGTATAGAGATATTACCTGTCTAGCCAAAATTCTTCCACAATTTCATTTTATCTTATTTTATCTCTCATAGTGGCCCAAGAAAATGTTGTTCTACATTGACTGAGGTCCAGAGAGCTATTTTAGCTAGCCCCAAGGACTTGGGCACACTTAATGAGATATTTTTCTTTGAAAAGCAGACCTGCCATATCATAAACAGCTTTTGAAAATGCATTTAATTTCAATAATAGTTTGCTGGGGTGGTGGGGCAATATTGGACAACAAAGCTACCACAGGTGAGCAGACACAATGTTTTTCTTTGAATTCTAGTCTTTGTCTAATAGAATTTGCTTCTTATTAAATTAACAGACTGGGGCATCTTTTATCATATGCAAATCAAGTTGTCTGTATGCATACAAAACGAATAACATACCATTAATTGTAGTGCTTTCCATCTGAACATACATTTATGAAATCAAAGGCTTTTTTAAACACTTGGTTTAATTATGATATACATCATTCTAGAAACTGGCAATTCTTTAATAAATTCCCATCTGAAATACCAATTTTAATTCTGTTTTGCATTCTGATTTGAAAGCTTTATAGTAAATATTGATTCTTCACCTGGTGTTTGTTTTTTTGGTCATAATTATAGAGTTCATCTAATTTTGGATAGCCTAGTAATATCAGATGGCCCTAGTATGTGCACACCACATATAGTATTATAAAAACTGTTGCTTTGTATTAAATGAAAGAAACAATGGTGTTTTGTAGACTAAGTAGACTTCACTTAAATTCATGGAGTTTTCTCCTTAAAACCAAAACTATAGTATAGGTCAGTGAAAAAGATTAATTTCTCCTTCTGTCTCCTTTAAACAACGGCCAAGGGGCAGAAGTCAAATGAGCTTCTTAAAAATTGTTCCACATGAAAGTGCCTTTTTACATTTTATGCTTTTAACAAAAGCATTTCCCTGCTGTAGCCTTTTGTTTTTATTTATTACATTTATATCCCACATTTTATTATACGGGATTTGGAAGAAGAAAAATAAACTGTACTTAGTAATAACCATATATTATACTAAATTAGAAACAAATGTTCATGAAAGTGCTGCTTAAATGGGATATATAAACACAATATTCTAGCAGAGAAACACATTTCCTTCTGTATTAGATAAAGAAGGCCATGGAACCATGGATCAGTTTAATAAACTTTTTGTTGTATACTTAGGAACAGGATACAAATTCCATACGTAGTGTGTCACTTAAGGAAATCACACATGCATAGAAATAGCCATATACCTTCTATTGCAAGAATAGGTCACTTGTGTCTTCCAGGTACTGTTAAAAACCGCATTACACATCATTGGCTTTTTTGGCTAGGGCTGGTGAAATTGCAGTCCAACATTTGAAGATCACAGGTTGCTTTCCACTGGCCAAAAGAAGCATAAAAGTAAAGACCAGGCCTCCACTTCCATGTATTTTAATAGAAACATGGATAGTTTTGACAAGTGCAGTTTTCTCTGCTGGTGCGTTTTGTATGTGATTTGGGCTAGCCTATGTGTAGAGCATAGTGTGAAGCTGCAATAAAACAGTGCTTTGGGATGCTGCAATAAAATTGTCTGGCCAGCTCTCAGTTTAGTTGTTGTTACTTAATAACACAATTAAGACCCAGGTAAGTAAAGATGGTGTTCTTAGACCAGCTGAAGTTAAACTGATAAGAGGTCTCTTTATAATTCTATATTCATTCTTTCAATTTTTTAAAAAATGAATAAATACGTGTTTCTTAGAACAGTGTTTCATTATATTGTTGGATGGAGAGAGAGACCACAAAAGAAAGGCAGGCGGGCAGGGGAAAAGGTAGCTAAGGGGGTGGGTGGGAATTTGTGGAGAGAGAAGAGTGGAGGGCTGGAGACACCAATAGGACAACGGAGAAAACTGGTACAGGGGAAGAACAGGTGGACAAGGGAGGAGGCTGTTGTGGTGAGTCCTGAAGGCTCTGAGTAGAGCAGACACTTTGATCAGAGACAGGAAAGGAAGATCCGGGGAGGGACTTGGGCAGCATTGCCAGGGCATAGCCCTGCTGCATGGCTGTGCAAAGCAGAAAATGCCAGAGGGAGGGGTTGGAGTGAACCAAGAGACATTTGGAACCCACTTGAATGGGCTTTTGGGTGGTGAAGGGTCTGGGGAGAAATGATGAGTGGGAAGGAAACCTGGAAAAAGCATAAACATGCCAAGTTGCAAAGCAAACTAATAGAAAAAGGCAGCCAAGTATGACAATGAACCAATAAGCAAAAACCGATCACATCACAATGCAGCAGAACAAGAGACACTATTTCTGCCACAGATGCCTAGGGTGCAGGCTGCCATGCAGTGAAGGTCTGAGGGGGAGGGAGAAGAACACAGGCAAAACTAATCCAGAGAAAGTAAATCGATTGTTGGATGTTCCCATGAAGAAACCTAACTGGCTTACTAGCCCAGAAGGCTTGCCGTGTTGTGTTATGTCTAAAAATGCAACCTCAATCAATCAATCCTTTATTTGGTCATTGACCAGCCAATAAATAAAACACAAAATGACAGTTAAAAATAAGAAATATACAATACTGATAAAGTTACAGTAATTAAAATAAGAAAGTAAAAGCATTCTGGTAGAATCCAACAATATTTAGGGTTAATTCTACCATGCACTGTAGAAACCACTGAACAATATTTGGCTGTAGTCAAGGAGATAAAATTGGATTGAACAGATAAAAGTAACTTAAGGTAAAAAGAATCAGAGTAACTGGGATATTTAGAAAGGAGTGGGGATAACAATTCCCAGTGAGCACCTGTATAGAGAGGGCAGTAAAGAATCACATGCTCTAGTGATTCAATTATTTCTCCCCCATATGGACACAGTCTCTGTTCAAGGGGTGTTTTTTTTAATATCGCCCTTTAGTAATAGCTGTTGGGAGGGCATTGAATCTGGCTAGAGATAAAGTCCTTCTAAATTTGGGGATAGTTAATGCTGCTGAGATATCTAGCTGGTTGGAAAAGATGCATGGGATGGTTCAGGAAGGTATTTCTGGATAAAACTGGATAATCTGTAGCTCTAGATCATGGGTCCTCAAACTACAGCCCGTGGGACGGATCCGGCCCGCCATGGCCATCCATCCAGCCCGTGCTGCCATTTGCTGCCCGGGCATGAGCTTCCTGCATGGGCGGGGAGGTGGTGGCTCGCTCACTCGGAGAAGGTCTCTGAGTGAGCAAGCTGCCGCCGCCACCTCCTGCCTCCCGTATACACGCGCTCGCCGCTGCCTTGCAGCACAGGCAGGTGGTGGCTTGCTCGCTTGGAGATGGTTTTGGACTCTATGGAACATCTCCAAGCGAGCAAGCCACCACCGCATGTGCCTGATGCCGCCTTGTGTGCACCCGATGCCGTGCACATGCCTGACGGCACCTCACCGGCCCGCACCCCCAGGCACCCCCACCTCATCGGCCCACAACAGTCACCGCAGCCTTTCAACTGGCCCCCTATTCAAAAAGTTTGAGGACCCCTCCTCTAGATCAATGGCCCTCTGTTTAAGTTCTGCTAACGCCCATTCATAGCCCATCAAGGAGATAGCTGGCCATGAATAACAGTATAATAGCAATTTGGCCTGTATTGCCTGGTTCCATGAACTCTGAAAGCTGTCAGTCATTATTAGAGGGACCAAGCCAGCTGGAAAAAAGAGGCGCTTGAGCCAGTAAGAAAAGATGTGAATCCAGGCCCAGGTTTCAATTTTAAGAAGGTTGGATTCATGTTGTAGGACCTTGTTTGGGATGCAGCATGGTGCTTGGAAGATAGTCCTCAGGAACTTAGACTGAACTCTTTCCAAGGGAAGAAAAGACCTGTAGGGTCCCAATTGGGCTCCAAACAGGAGCTGGGCTCAAATCTTAGCTGAGAAGACTTTAATTTCTGCGGGTATATATTATGCACCTTTGGAGAAATAAAAAGTTTGTAAGGCTGACACTGTTTTTTGTGCATTAAAATGACATAGTCGGCATGAGATTTGTGGTTACCCATAGCATGGAAAACAATCCCCAGATATTTGAAGGATTTGACTTGCTCAGTTAGATGGTTTTTAAGTCACCAAACATGCATCTTAGGGCATTTGGCAAAAACAAACGACTTTGGTTTTAGAGTAATTAATTTCTAAACCATCTTGCTGGCAATGCTCAGCTAATACATGGAGTACCTGTCTCAGGCCAATCTGCGTTTGAGAAAGTAGCACAGCGTCATCTGCATATAGAAGAGCAGAGATGTTTCTGTTTCCCAGTTTTGGCAGATGAAGGGAAGGGCTGTTGAGTTTGTCAATAAGAGAATCGATACATATATTGAAAAGCAGGGGCTAGTATACATCCTTGTCTCACTACGCTCTTAACTGGAATGTCTTCAGTGCAGTGTCCTTGGATATTGCAACATACCTTCATCCTAGAATTCTCATATAATTTATATATAAGCACAAGTAATCTTTTGTCAATTGAAGAAGAGTTCAGTTTCTCCCAAAGTTTGAGGGCAAAAGCACTTCTATGGTCAGTGAATGCTGTGTAGAGTGAAGAGGGCTCAAGAAGAATATTTCTCAACCAGTTGTTGAGACCATGTTGGTGCATGGTCAATGACCGAGCACCTTCTCTAAAACCTGCCTGCTCATCAGCCAAAATATCCACTATAACGCAGTCCTGAAGCTTGTAATACAGATGTCTAGCATAAAGTTTACTGACCATACTAAGGAGACCAATAGGGTGGTAAATGGCGGGTAGATCCCTCTGTCCTTTTTTGTAAATTGTAATCACCGAGGCTAACCCTAATCCTCAGGAACCTTAGTATGTTTGTCAATGTAGGTGAATAAGGAAGCCCGAACAGGTACCCTTCAATCTAAATTGTTTTGGATAACCTCCACTGAGATGAAATTGTACCAGGAGCTTTGTTTGGTTTCAGATGGCTAATCAGCTTTGTGATTTCAGTGCCTGATACAGGAGGCCAGGAGGGGAGCAGATAAACTTCATAATCTAGTTTCCTCTTTGGATAACCTCTATCTGTAAAGTTTGATCTTTACTGAATTATGTGGGCCTGTTTCAAATACTGTTTGTTTATTTAACTTCTATATTTTCCAACAGCCAAAGTTCTCTGGGCGGTTTGCAACAATCCATTAAAACCCAATCTTACAATACACCACAAAATGCATTAAGGGGGAAAAATTGCCATACAAAAAATTAAAACCACATTTTAAACAATAAATGAAGCAAGACAAAACTCAGTTGAACCTGATTAACCAATGAACAAAGCCCCAGCTGATTAAGGGGAGTGCAGTCCCATCTACAACAGGTTGAATTCCCGCCATCCAGTCAGAAGAACTACCTGGTAACAGCATCTAGGTCTTGTCTGGATTGAGCTTCAATTTGTTAGCCTTCATCCAATCCCTCATCACAGCCAGGCACTGCTTTAGCACATCTACAGCCTCACCTGTTGAAGATGAAATGGAGAAATAGGATGTGTGTCATCAGCAAAGTGATGGTACTGCACTAAAGTTCTGAATGTGCTCACTCAGTGGTTTCATGTAGATGTCAAATAGCATGTAGTCATTGTCTTGTCCTGCGTTCATTTCCACACAAAAATGATTAAATCATCCTTTAGCAACATTTGTTGCTGTTCTTGGATTCTCATGACTTTTGATAAAATGCTGTCTTGAGCAATCTCTGCCCAAATGGCTCTCTTTTTACAACATGTGATGGTTGTCATACTGACCCTTCCTGATACTTTGGTCCACATGTGATGGGGTGATCCAGGCTCTCACGGTTTCACTGCTGCTCTGTTTTTCCTTTGTTTAATATCCTATAAAAACTCCAGTTCCAAACCCAATTGGTTCCTCACCTTCCATTTGCTCTAGTGTTGGCTCCAGGTTTTTGAGGACCCTTTGGCAAGAAACCCTCAGTGCCCCCCTCCCTCAGTAAGTCTACCTTCTCACCACTGCTTTCACCAGCTGCTATCACTCCTCATCCTTGTTCTCATCTTTGCTACTACTTACCTGCCTGACAAGCAGATAGCCAGCAAGCAAGTAGGCCATAACTTTTACTCAGAGGAAGGTGGTATCTCCTATGTCTATATCCTCATCCATCGCAGCTTTATTTTCAACTTTCTAAGAGCTCTTCAGGGTGGAGAACCCATTTTGAGGATGGAGTTCCACCAGGATTGCTCCTGTAAAGCTCAAAATGAAAGCTGCATGTGCTCATATTATTGTTGTTATTGATTAACATTCTTTGATCATCTCTTTCAGTGAGGCTATGGCTGAGTCTGTGGTACAGAGTTGTCTTTTGCTGGCTTGAATGAGGAGCCCTGTTAACCTGGGAGACACCAGCCCCAACAGATTCTCACGCTTCTCCTTTTCACTACCACTGTTGTCTGGGGCAAAGGGAGAGAGGCAGTGAAGAAACAGATTGTTATAGTGAAGAGGAGACACAATTCCAGGGGTCTCCTATCAATAGACCTCACAGCCCTGCTTGGCTTTATTTATTCTTCTCCTACCTTCCAGCTGTCAGTTGTTTGCTTTTTTGCACATGGGTAAGTGAAAAATGGGACTTGTAGTATTTGTGGGAGTTGAGGGAAAAAACACCCCAAGATCCTACTAAATCTTCGCTTCTCTGTTTTGACTATGGCCTTCTCACCCTTCAAAATCTCAGTGCGCTCCTGGCCTTGAAACACACACAGACAGACACACACCCCTCTGATACCATCTTGTATGTGTGGTCCCAGGGTCATGGAGTGCAGGTCATAGATGCAGAGGGTGGGGAGTACAGAAGAAATCTTACAGCTGAGTCATTTTGTAGAAAGCAGCCAATTTGTTTAAAGCAAATATGCAATTCTCTCTTTGGCTTTGAAAATCATTCATGGTCCAAAGGTGGCCCCATTCCAGCTAAAGTAAGCCAAGGTTCCAAGATTGACGTGGTAGGGAGAGAAAACAATAGGACTTCAGACTGAACAGGCACTCGAGTGGATTTGGAAAGGAAGACTGGGAGAATGTCTGAGGCCTAGCAAGTACCCAAGAGGAGAGGTTGTCTGCATATTTCTAACAGGTACTGTACAGGCCATGGCAGGGATGTATGTCATAGCTTGGGGCAGCGGGCGGGGGGAGAATTAAACTATTACATGCTAGCAGAGTTATTGCTTCTCAAGTCTGATTTGTCTGCCTTTGGAAGCGCTGTCATGAAAGTAGTGAAGTATACAACATGGGGGGAATTTAGTTTTTCCCTGAAAAAGGAGAACATGGAGGTGATGGATGCCTTTGCTTGTTTTGAGGTGTTCTTCCAAATGAAACGAGAAATTCTCAACCTGCCTGAGCTATTTCACAACAAAAAGCTGTTGTGGGGCTAAGAAGTCGAAAGAAAGGGAATGCAGAGGTGGGAGAAATGGATGTTGTCTGTAGCTGTGTTAGTTTACTGCTGCAACACTAACAAAAAATACCTTAAAGATCAATGAATTGATTCCGACATAGCTTTTGTGGACAGTCTCCACCACACACACAAAGTGTTAACTTCAAACTGTCAGATTTATAGGCACATGTGGGTAGAGGGGCTAGGAATGCAAATGGTATGGTCTGAGGGAGCTGAAATACAGACAACAGAAAAATAAGTATCTTAATGTTTTGCATTTTAATTGTAACAACACAGCTGACATTCCCTGCAACACGTACACATGGATAAATTTGCCAAGTTGAGGTTAATACTTCATGCATCTGTTGAAGTTGAAAGTGCTCACAAAACTGAATGCCAGGTTTAGTTTGTTAGTCTTTATGGTGCTACAGGACTCCTATTTTATTTTCAAATTCAGGCAGCTTAGGAACCCTAGTGGAGGGGTGGGAGTGAGTTGTATTGGGCTGAGATGAAATCCAGATTTGCTGTTCAAAGACATTCAAGAGTCAGATCTGTCAGGGAAAATGCTTGAAGCATTACTCTCTGCTGTATTAGTTCACCTAACATAAATTGCTACTTTCTTTCATTATACCAACAGGTAGTGCTGATAAAAGTGACTGAAGGAGCCTAAGCCCCTGATTGTGTATCACAGCTATGAATTTCTCACTTCTCTCCTCACCCAGTGCCTCCCATTCTATTCACTTACATTTTCCTATATGGTGACTTTGGAAAATTCCTCTCTGCATAGAAAAGGACAGGAAATTCTCTTTGGGAGAGAGGGTTGCCTATTTCTTTCCCTCGCTCCCTCCCTCCCTCACTCCCTCCCTCCCCCTTTCCCTTTCTAGTACTGCTGATCACATCTGGAAAGGATCTGACTTGGGAAAGGGGGAAAGTGTTCCACGCTTCAAATGTGTAAGTGACATGGCATGAGCAAACGAAGCCTGTCGGGGGGCAAGAGAAACACTTTTATCTGGACACGTTCATTACTATCTGCTAAGCAAAGGTGAGTTTGTTTCAGCACTTTTACTGATGTGTAATAGCATAGCACTTGGAGGACAATGAACGGCTCCTTTGAATGTTACTGCAATAGTTTGAAAACTCACGATCTGCAGACACAAGTATGCATAACTGGCTAATGCTTCACAGAAAAGTTAGAGGATGTAATTCTATTCTACAGCAGAGAGCTGTAGGCACTGGAACTATTTACAATTCATACATGTATGTGGTGTATATCTGTGTGTGTTTGATATACCGTGCATGCCTAATTGCCTTTAGTCCCCTGGAGAAAGGTTTTTAGTATTTCCCGAAAGTTTCAGAAGCTTCTAGGTCTATCATAACCTCTTTCTCTGCTCTGCATCTCTTGGAAGAATGCAGAACTTGAGAGGCTGAGGTTGCTGTTCTGGACCCTGAAACAAAACCAGAATGCAGCCACTTTAAAAACATAAATCTTATATATAGTTCCAGCTGTAGTTGGTTAGACTGATGTCGCAGGATCTGAATGAAGCCTTTGCACAGACCTGAGAGGAGGCCATGGCAAGATGACAAGTTTTAGATAAGGCACTCGGTGCCTGAGTTGAGGGTGGTTGTTGTTTTAAACCCAACAAGAAGCATGTTATAGTTTTCTTTGAACAGAAAAAGAGATCAGAACAGCTTGCTTGGCTTTACTACCTTCTCTGCAAAAAGCAGCAGATGTTTCTTTATCCCAAGTGTCTCTCTGAGGTATTACAGCAACCAATGCAAGGGTGAAGGGAAGTTGTGAATCTTCCAAATTAGTGGACTGAATCAGGTGAAACTCTTCAGCACTCTCATACCCAGTAACCTCTGAATTTTTACACCATTCATTTGACTTATTACTCCAGTGAATTGCATCTATGATAAAAGGTGTTCCTGCTTTGCAGTGAATCTGTTATATCAGATCTACATCTGACATGTTCAGAAACACGTATTGCAACCCCTTCTGCCATTCAACTTGTTAAAACAAACAAAAGGGTAAGACATAGCATGTCAAGAGGATACTCAGTAGTGGGTGCTGCATTTCCAAGAAAGGAAGTCATTTAAGGTTGGATGATAGAAATTGGAATGTGGACAACAAACAGCTTCTAAGTCTGAAACTAAAACAAAACCCCGTACTGTTCTTTAGGGAAACTGAGTTATGTGGGGCATAGACTTAGAGATCAAAGACATAGTCTGCCATGTGCTTACTGTGTGATTTGGAGGTAAAAATTTTGTGGTTTTTTTTCTCTGTTCAAAAGTAAAAACATACAAAACAGGAACTTACAACCCAAGCATGAGTATTCACTTTGTGCATGAGACTTGATTCTTAGGAAATATGCCTGAGATTTTGGTCTAACACATCAGCTTTATAATTTGTCTGAACATTTTGCCTTCAAAAATGTGTTTGTCCCTCACCAGTATAGCACAGAGAAGCTCCTCTATGGTTCACATAGTCATTTTGTCAACATATACAAGTTAAAAATTGTGACCAACTCTAGTAATGGGAGTGGAGTTATTAAAAAGGTTTCAGGTAGCCAAATCTGATCTGAAATAATTGCTCTAGAATAATTGTTCCTGTTACCTAGCAAAGATGATGAACTCAGGGGTTTGTACACATGGTGGAGAATCTGTAGCCAGGGTGGGAAGATATAGTAGGTGGTAGGAATACAGTGCCTCAGTTACTGGGATGATTATGAATCTAATGATGATGTTGTCACTATATTATGGTGCCATTAGTGTGAATTGCAAATTACAGCATGTACTAAGGAATTTCTTGGACACCAACACTATCTGCCTTAGACAGTGCAAGCCAAAGATTCAAGTTGTAGTCCAACATTTGGAAGGCCACAATTTTTCTTTCCTCTGGTAGAAGAGAACAGGTTCCTGCTCCAAGATGCCTGCAATCTAAAATAGATCTCAAGGGAAATAATGGAGGAAAGATATGAGAGGAGGCAAAACAGGAAAGCCATTTATGTGGTTGGTTCCATTACATACGGTTAGCCATGGTTACAGACCTAATTTCAGGAAGGACTTGAGAACTTTTGGAAAACTACAAGGAGGCTAAGCTGAAGATGTGCAAATCTTCACTATACCAATGACTCCATAGCTGTGCCAATGACTTCATAGCTAGACCAAGCCATCCTACTGTACAGTGGATATTTAATGCCTAATAGCACATGAGGCTTACCCACTTCATTTTTCAAATTTCCATGTTACTTTGTGGTATTATAAATGTTGGTGCCAATCTTTTAAAAAGAACTGATAGTGATCCCCAACTCACTGTGATGTTTCCTTAGTTTCAGTGGAAATGTACCCAAAGTTCAGACCCCTGTTTCCTGTGCTGTGGCTGTTGGTATGGAGCTCCACCAGGATTCAATGTCAGAAGAATGAAGACAGCAATGAATTCCCAAACATGTCATCTGAACTATTTGATCTGGATCGCAATTCCTTGGCACCAGATTGTCCTAAAAAATGCACTTGCAACCCAGAGGGAATTGTGGATTGTGGAGGGTTTTCCCTGAAAGTGTTTCCCATAGATGTGCCAGAAATGACAAGCCACCTTTCCTTACAGGTAGAGAAAACTTAAGCAAGAGCTGCAAACTATTCATGGAATCAAGTTTCCTATTGCCTTAAAATATTTCTATAGGGCATGGATTGTCAAGACTGGATAACAGAAAGGCATAATTTGATGACTGATGGCCTCTTTGGGGCAGAATGGAGTGTGAGCTAAGATGCTTTTCACAGGTTGTACTATGCACATTGGAGATGAGCTATTTTCAGGCAGGATCAACTTTTGATAGGATAAAAATGGGTCAGAAAAGTGAACTGCATGGCTAGACCACTTATGCTTCAGGAATGCTCAGCCTTGCATATTACAGCAACCATTTCCTTGCTTTCAAGCTTAAGGAAGTTTCCAAAGCAGTTTGGCATGAGACATGGGTACTCCCAAGCTCTTGGGCACAACTAAAGTAGCCCTTTAGATCATGGCCCATATGATTTGCCTGGTGCTATGCTGGATTTACCATCTGCTGCACTGCAGGCAAAGGCCTGTGCAGCACAGCAGGAGCATCCTGCATATGCAAGACAGGTGGGGCAGAAGGACTGGACAATGCTACCCTGCAAGCCCATTTAAGAAAATAAGCAGTCCTGCCATTCAGATCTGGGTAAAGATTCCTGGGAGAGCCCTTTTTCCAAAGAGGTTTCACTTTAGCACCTCCAGATCTTCATCATGCTCTTCTCTTCTTCCAGAACAACCAGATAGAAGAAATCTTTCCAGAAGAGTTGGCACGTCTTTATAGGCTAGAAACCCTCAACTTACAAAACAACAGACTCACTTCCAAAGGTACAACAGAAAAATTCTGGAACTGATTCATATAGTAGAAGTAAATATTCTAGAAGTGTGGCACGTTTTCTGCAGTGGCCCCATGTCTCTGGCATCATTTGCCATCAGGAATTCACCAGGTCTCATTACTGCAGGCTTTTTAGAAGGTCCTGAAGATTTCTTTACTGTGACCATCCCTAACTATGTTCCCTCAGACAGGACTGTGGCTGCAACTGCGTCACTGGTTCTGTCTTCTGGCAGCATTTGTTTTGTGGAACTTTATTGGCACAGCATTTTTATTATGAATCATATGCATTTTACTGTTGCATACCATTGTGAGAGGGCTTTGACCTGGAAGGCAGCCAATATTTTTTTAAATAAATGAATGCATAAAATAATAGTCAACTAGCCTGAGCATAGAGAGAAAGTCAGGTGAATGCTGTATTCTGGCATAGTGAGTTAACTGTTCTATGTTCCCTTAAATATAGCCCAGACTCCAGATTCTTCCTGTTCTCTCTTCTCTTGGACTAGGGGAAACTGCATTCAGAGCCCTACCATGGAACTGTGTGCATCCCAATTTAATAAACCATTCCTGCCAAGGATCTAGTCAAAATTCAAGAGAGAGGGAATGAAGAATATTTTATTTATTTATTTATTAAAGCATTTCTATGCTGCCCCTTGCCGAAGCCTCGGGGCGGCTCACAACATAGAATAAAATACACAATAAATGCCTTTCCCTCTGTTTTAAACTGGGGATAAAGAGTGATGAGCTGAGCTAATGACCACCAAAAAAGAAAAGAAAAGCACAGAAAAGAACAGAATGTGCAATTGCATGGAGGATGCACAGAAAGTGAGAGCACTTCTACATGTTCAAGGCTTTCTCTGTGGTGGCGCCCCATCTATGGAATGCGCTCCCCAGAGAGGTCTGCCTGGCACCGTCGTTATTTGTTTTTCGGCGCCAGGCGAAGACCTTTTTATTTAAAACTTATTTTAACTGTTAAATTATTTGTATTTATAGGATTTTAAATTTTTAGCTGAGATGCACCGGGGGTTTTTAAATAATTTTTTATTGTTATATTGTTATTATTTATGTATTTATGTATTTTGTTTCTGTTGTGAGCCGCCCCGAGGCTTTGTTGCGATGGGGGCAGCATGAAAATGTTTTAAATAAATAAATAAATAAATAAATACATACATACATACATACAAATGGAAGGAGTGCTACATAGAAGTGCAGCATAGGCAAACGGGCCTGGAGAGGTGGAACACAGTGGCAGGGAAGCTGATCCAGCTGCCCAGAGTGCAGGGCATAAGCCATGCTCTTTTGGTTCTCCCTGGGAGGAGGTCCGGGGAGCACACCAACCTTGCTTGGCATGGGACCCTCTGACTGGGCACAGTCCTGAGTAAGGGTAGGGGAACAAACCACATTCTCCTGGGTCTTCTCTGGTGGAGACCAAAGGGAATATCACTCAGAACCCAGCACAGAGGGTTTTCTCAATGAAAGTCCTTTCTTCTAGGATTGTCCTCACTGCTGCTTCACGTCAGTGGTGGAGAAGGGACTGCCCCGGTTAGCCCTTTCTGCTGGGTGTGATTATAAGCAGCACCCAGTGCTCCCCCATTCCTTCCACTACCTGGCACCACTGCCATGTGGTAGTGGGGAGGATGAAGCCTCAGTGCTCTTGCTGTGTCTCCTGGGATGCCTGTGGAAGGACCTAGGTGGAAGATGCCTCAAGATCCCAGCTGTGTCAGAAAGTCGGTTGGACACATCATGGGCCCTGGGGCAAGCCAGCCACCCTGCAGAGCTTTCTGAGTAGTACGTTTTGTTGTGTCATGAGAACCTGTCCAGAGGGAGAAAGGTGCCACCTGGCATGCCAATCCTTTTGACCATCCCAGTGGTAGCAAAATAAGGCAAATAAAACACAAGTCCAATATTTTTAATTGTTTTTAAAGAAAACACAAATATTAACAGAGACAGAAATCCTTCAAGAGAAACAGTTTCCTCTTTGGAGCCCCAGTCCTGTCTGCTGATTGTCAAAATATTTCTGTTATTTGAAGGACTGCCAGAGGAAGTATTTGACCAGTTGGAGAACCTGAATTATCTCTATCTTGCAAATAATCAGGTAAGCAAATGTGCAGCACACATCTTCTCTGGCCAGCCTGGCCAGTGGAGAAGATGTGTATTATGCGAGTTGTGGTTTAGCACATCTGGCTATGCGGGATGGCTGGGAATGATAAGAGCTGTATTCCAACATGCCCAGAGGGCACCAAGTTAGGTAAGGCTGGGATGTAAACTATTTCCATGTAAATCCATGAAGGCAGTTCTTCTGTTTCATAACTGTATCCAGTAGCCTTGCATTGTTGTGCCTAAGGAGGTAAGATGTAGCAGGGGGTCATGGCAGGCTACAGATAGAAACACAGAAAAGTTCCACAATGGCCATTAATATTATTAGATTTCATACCTTATATCACTCGAAAAGATGATTTTTTAAAAGTTGAACTGAAGGCTTTTTCATATACACGGTCAATTTAGCACTGATAAAAATGGAATTCATCTTTGCATGCTGTTCCTTATGTAGCCACAAAAGCTCAGCTGTGTGCCTATGTAAAGCTCTTTATTGACCGCATTCTGCAAACTAGCAAATGTTCTGTCATGTGAACACTTAGTAAGCAAGATATGCATTGGCAGTTTTAATTTTTGCTTCACTTGAGATTTTGCTATCAGCTTTCAATGTGATTGTCATCATTTTTAATTTTCAAATTCAGGTCTCTTCTTTGCCAATCTATATTGGAAGCTGAGTTATAAATTTGGTTCATAAGTTTGGATAAATCTTTCCAGTAAATGGCATTTTAATTCATTTTGTGGGAGATCCACCTAATGGCACATAAATAAGGATGTGCTGATGCTGGGAGGTCCAATTTGTTAGAACGTGATGGATTTCCTGTCTTCTTCTGAACCAATGATCAAAATGGGCCAAATTGGGTACTGGAAGGGACTCCAAAGAATCCTACAGCCTCCTAGACAATGTTGGAAGGCCACAAGATTATGCCCTTGGTGTTTACAAATAAAATGTGCAAACCGAAGTCCATCTTGGAGATAGAAGTCTTTGAGCTGGCTTGACTCATGCAATGGTGAGTTGGCACTACCATGGAGCTAACGAACTGGAATCCAGGGGACCAAATCAGATTCTACACACAGTTCCATTCTGAAACATTTGGTATGTTAACAGTGGGCTGCAATAAGTGTCTAATGATCACAACGGTTTGGGGGAGTCCCATATGACATGAAACTTCTTGGCCACAACATATTCTCCTTTCTATTCAAAAAAATGTGGAATGCATGGGGAAACCTATTTGTGCAGAGGCTCACTGTGCAGTAGCAGGGCGAAAATAACAAGAGAGTGGATCCAATGGCATACCATACTGGAACTTGTATGGAACTTGGAAAGAATGTACTGTAGCATAGCAAAGTTTCTGCTAGCTGCTAGTAAACTGTTGCCTGGATCATATGACTTGATTCTATGTTAGTTCATAGCCAACAGTGCAGAGGTGAAACCATGAATATTCTCATTGTAGCACAACCCTTCAAGTGTTGAAAGAGACTTTAAATGCTTTGGGTGGACTGAGCTGTTTCCCTGGCTTTTTTAAAAAAAATCTGTAATCAGTCCTGAGAATTGTTTGTGATTAGGTGACCAATAAATAATGAAAACAAACAAATGGATACATCCCCCTCCACCTTTCTCAGAGTAGCCCTCCTGCTCCTGACTTGTCCCCAGCACATTTTGTAGAGGTCTGGCATCCATACAGGTGTCCATACCTATTCAGGGTTCAGGTTTATAGTTGGAGCTGAGTTGTGAAACTCTGCATGACTCCAGGAGACTTCCTTTTCCCCCAGGACCCCAAGCCTTTCCAGCCAGCACAGTCATACACCTGCACTGGCTGAAACTACTAGGCATCAGAGCAACATATCTGAACGCACCAAGTGGGGAGGAGGTTGGTCTAGCTGAAAATTGAGGATTTAGGTGGAATATACCCTATTGTGGCTGAGGTGTTGAACCAAACTGCATCTCCCAGTAACATCACACCCTTTCTTCCCATATACAGCAATTTTCCATGTAGCAGTTTTGGCAGTGAGCAGCTCCATAAAAGAGGGACACAAGCCAGGCTGTGACTAATATTCCAGAACATTTTTGTCCAGTTTTCCCCCTCTATACAATATAAAAGTCATTGACCTTTCCTGCAACTGCTGCTGTAGAAGAAAATGGTGTGCAACTCAAGATGGCTTTAAAAATCTTACTAATATGAATAGGAATGACTGACTGAATGATGATGTTTGAAATAGCTTAATGGTGTTTCATGTTCAAGACTAGGGGAAGCATACCAAGAAGTAGCACACCAAGGTACACTCTGCAATAGGAGATGCATAACGAAGACCTATCTTCAGTAAGAGGATAGGGATAGGCTGGATACTGATATTCCATATCATTCCCTTTCCCACTCAATGTTCCATTTTTTACTCTGCAACACTAAGTCAATAGTTAGCATGTTCAGTGTCATTAGTTTATTTTGGAGTGTTTCCCTCTCACTCCCTTTTCCTCACTAGCACTTTTCTGCTTTTGCAAACCCCAGGGCTCATCCAAGCCTTGTTCTGAGAGAACCTTCAGTTTATGGGGTGGCATAGAAATGGAATCAAATAAATAAATACATAAATAAAAAAGAGAGCCAGTGTGGTGTATGGCTAAGAGTGCTGAGCCTGGACTCAGCAGCTCTGGGTTCTACTTCACATTCAGCCATGGAGCCAGTTACAGACTCTTGCTGTGAGCATAAGGTCGAGAAGAAGAGAATTATAAGTTCCTTGAAAGGAAGAAAGGCAGCATATAAATATAATCAATAAATAAATGATTAATGACATTTTGAATACATAAACATCAGCACTTATACTTGAATGTCAGCAATGGAAGGAATTATACACAAATTTGAATAAAAGTACTTAATTCAGATAATGCATAGAGCTTCTTATGTTGACACTGCACTTTATTCTGAGAATTTTTCTAAACTCTTTCCCAAGAAAATGATGTTATATAAATTACCTTATCAAACTGCTGCTACACAGATACTTTGATTCAAATTCTAAAACCAAATGGCTCTATAATTACATTTTTAAAAGAAACTTCTTTAGAAGAATGCATGTATAAGTTTCTGTATGCAAATTCAAATTAGAAGCCCCTGGGTAATTTCATTCCTTTCATTTCACACTATTACTATGCTCATACATGCTCAATATATAGCTGGCATTAAATAGATGTTCGATAATATGCATAGTTCTCACATTGCATTCTCTGCATATGCCTGCTGCTAAAGAGCAGAAGGTTCCCAGGAAGCCCTGAAATGTGCAAAAATGTTCATTTCTGGAAAAAAGCAGGTAAGTAGAGCTCCACCAATCTGCTTCCTTCCAGAAGTGAATATTTCTATCTGTTCCGGATTGCCCTACTATTGCAAATTGCCATTGTACAAGAGTGAGTAGAAGACCTTTTACAGGGGCATAAGTGCCCCATTGGGTTCTGCCCATGGTTATTATCTATTTCTTATGTTGAAGCTCTTCACATTTTTGAGAAAATCCCAGTTCCAAATATAGACATGTGCAGTTGCTTATATATTTTCTGACTAATTCACACATACATGCAAAATAGCACACACTTGCATGTGCTCTTTTTATATGCTATATACATTGTATATATAGAGATTATGCTCCTACTTCAGCTGTTTTACTGAAAATGTTCCTTAAGCATATTGTTATGGACTAAGAATTATAATTATAAATGAATGAATTCCTTTATTTCTTTAGTGTTCTCAATTTATTATTATGTATCTTCTTTGAGTTGCCTTTATTTTCTTAACTTTATTTTGAGATAGAATAACATTTCACATGGACAAAATATGTCAGTGGCTTTAAAAGGTAGCACAAAACATTTCCTCAGAAAGATTGTGGTCTATCTATCTTGCAATCTGCCAGAGATTTGGGAATTAAAGTTTAGGAAGACCTTCCCATGCAGTCTTGTTTTCCCCTGGGAGATTGCTCAAGAAGGGTAGTGAACTATTTCTGAAAAGAATGATAGATCTAACATGAAATACATTTTCTTTCTGAGTCCACTTTTCTTCTATCTTAATAAAACAAAACCCCTCAGAAACATTCTTAATCCAAATAAAACCCATTCCAGGCATGCTGAAAGAACAACTTAACCATTTCCGGCTGTGATTGCTTACATTTGTGAATGAGGCATCTTTCAGTGAGGGAGGTACTCTGCTATGAAGAATTTAGGGGGTTCTGATAGGGTATTTGAAACAAATAATCTGTTGCAAAGATGATGAAAGGTGGTGGCAGAAGCAATTGTGCCTCAGGCAATGATGTCTTCCTCTGACACCATGCTTCTTTTTCAGCTTACAGTGGCTCCAAAATTCCTCCCCAGGGCCTTGATCAGTGCTGATTTTGCAGCGAATAACCTCACTAAGATTTATGATCTCACATTTGGACAGAAGCCAAACCTGAGGTAAAAAAAAAAAAGGAGGGGACTTAACAGGCAAAAGAGCAATAAATGTATCACTGCTTCAGTGGTGGATGAGAAAAAGTGATTGATTGGTACATCCATGTGTCCTACAAATAATATTCAGAGAAAGATGTATTATCTTGAAAGGAATTCATAGCAGTGGTGTCTATTGGATTTTGCTTGCTTGCTTACACACAGATAATAACTATTCTGAGAACTTGAGATTGCTTTCAGGCTAGCACATTTTTTCATGGTCAAACTTTCTTCTGGCTCTGAAGAAGTAAGAAATTGGGATGAGGCTGCATGGTCTTTGGGTGTCCCAACACATCCAAAGTGATCAGATTAGGCTAGCAACCATACTTCCAGAAGGGTGACTAATGTCTTACTAAAGCAAGGACAGATTCAATCCAGCCCCATGACTTTCTCACCTGCACCTACCTTGATCCCCTTAATATACACATCATCTGCAAAGAGAAATAAAGGCAAAGCTTTCTTTCCGTGCCTCTCTCCAGTGAAAATGGCAAGCCAGGCCCTCCCATTAACTCCCAGTCATGAGCTGGGACACAACCAAACCGCAGCATGTAGCTGAGCAAAGTAATCAGGGAAAGGACCACCTAGGACATCTGCTGCTGTTTTTGCCAGGAAGGAACAGGTGTTCGAAGAGCTCTTTGCTGGTGCTTTTGCTCTTGGCAGAAAGAACCAGGAGGTGGAGACAACATAGCTGGGATTCCAGCGCTTGCTCAGTTCAAAATAGGAACCAAAGAAATTAGGTGTTGGTCAGGTCTCTAAAGCCACCTTTCTCTCATAGGCTGCATGCAGTGGAAGGACAAATGTATCCAGGAATTTGCCCCACAATGGCCAAACTCTGGGAACACTTGTTTGGTACACTGCTAACAAATGTCCCAGCAGTTAAGCATGGCTTCATTATGCACCTCTCCCCCTTTCTTCTGCATGCCTACAGGACAAATTCATGAAAACCTGCATATTTTATTTATTTGTTGTGTGCACTTCCCTCCTCACAGTAGGGTGACATTTTAGCTGCACAACAACTCTGGAAGATTAGTGAAGCTGAGAAACTGTGATTTGCCTAAGAGCACACTGTGGACTTCCTGGCTGAGTAGAGTTTTAAAGAACTGTGCATTCCTGCACACCATCATTCTAAGCGTTCCACATCATCTGAAAAGGGCTGTATAATTGTTTCCAAAGTTCTCCTCAAACACTGAAGAACATTCTGTTTGTTTCCCAATGTAAATGCCAAGCAAGAAGGAATGCCTGCATTCCATACTGTTGAGGATGTGCTCTTAGGGTTTGTTTGTTTGTTTGTTTTTTTGCATAAAAGGTAAAGCTTTCAGAAACATAAATATTTAGGAGCACAAGCCGCCTGGCAACTGCAAGAATATGCCAGTTTAAATCAAAGGACTGCCTAGCATGAGCTGAGGAGGCGACATTTTAAAGGAGCCAAACTGGATTTGATGATTTCAGTTTATTATGTTTTACATGCAGAACTGCTCCAATCATATAGAAAATGGGGGTGAGGGTCTGCTTCTGACACTGAAAGAAAAGCACCAATAAAGAGACCCTTATCTCACCTTACATCCCTACAGTTCCACTTGGAAATACAGGCATATGTTAAGTCACACCAATGGTCCAAGTAGCCCAGTATTATTGGCACTGACTGGCAGTAGCTTTCCAGCTCTGGAAGGTATCCACCAGCAGTGAAAGCTCCAGTGCATGGCATTATATGCAAAGTTTTCTTGCTTGCTGCCATTTTACTGAGACCTGCAACTGTCTAGGAGGGAATTACCTCTCTATGTATTTGTTGCTTTCAGTTCCATTAAGGTCAGGTGTCTGGACATTGTCTAAGACATGGAAAAAGCCTGGCTGCTAACTCAAGCAAACATGCTAGCTTGTGGTGTGCCAGTGGTGAGAGTGGACTTGGGGAGCTTCAAGTCCACTCATGGGAGCTTGGGGAGCTTCATGTCACTGACTTACAGCCTAACCTACTTCAAAGAGTTGCTGTGGGAATAAAATAGAAGGGAAGAGGATCATGTATACCACCTTAGGCTTCCTGGAGAAAAAGCAGGATATAAATGTAACAATAAATGTATGTTCCTGATCAAGAGAAAAGCTCAAATCTCCTTTCTCCTTCCTTTCTTTCTGGTAGGTCAGTTTACCTTCACAACAATAAACTTGAAGATGCAGGGCTACCAGAGAACATGTTCAATGGTTCTGACAATGTGGAAGTCTTGATTATGTCCAGCAATTTTTTAAAAAATGTTCCAAAGAATCTGCCACCAGCACTATATAAATTGCATCTAAAGGTGAGGTGTGGTTCCATTAGTTCTTTAACCTTGGTGTGGGATTGAATCTCACTATAGGTCAGAAAGGCTTTTGTAGAGCAGATTCTGTTGGATTTAGGGGGATTCAACTGCCAGCCTACCTAATGATTAGCAAACTAGCTATCTCTGTCCCCCATGGTCATGCTGTCTGCCCAAGAGTATCCAAGGTGACAAATAAGATTAATAAAATTAAGAAAACAATGCAACATAAGAAGTTAGGCTCAATTACAAAAATAGCAGCAGCAGCAGCAGCAAAAGAGAAGCATCAGCAGATGGGATATAACTGACTCAGCTTCTTCTATATGACAGCTGTCTTTACTTATGAGTGGTGAAACAGTTCTTCTCTGGAAGGATATTCTGGAGTATGAATGCCAAACAGAGAAGGCTCTGTTCCTTGCTGGAACTGCAATCAAGGCAGGGAGAACAAAGGATCTGGTGATGGTGGTGATTTGCTTGCTTTTGAGACCAGTTACCAGAAAACCAGGCGCGCAAGGTTATTTTCCTTCCACAGCAGACTTTCAACATCTGTGCAAAATCAGAGTTAGGCAACCTGATCTCATCCAGATGTTTTGGATTATGGCTCCCACGACATGGGAAGTAGACAGGGATGGTGGAGTCTATAGCCCAGAACATCTGGAGGTCACTTTGATGCCCACACCTCTAGGCATTACACGCACCACCTTGGAGAGCTCCCCTTTGACTGAAAAAGTGCATCTTTTTCTTCTCTTTCTTATGGCAGAATAACAAGTTGGAGAAGATTCCCAAAGGAGCTTTCAGTGAGCTTTCAGGACTTCGAGAACTGTATTTGCAGAACAACAAATTGACAAATGAAGGCATGGACAATGAAACCTTCTGGTGAGCTTGTCAATACCTTTGTGCCCTAGCAGCTAAGGGGCTGTATTCTTCCCTGGTACTACAATAACAGCTGTCTTCTGGTGGATCTTTATGGCAAAGATCTCAAATAAGATATGAAAGCTACAGTTTTATGCACATTTACTTAGGAGTAAGCCCAAGTCAAGATAGTAGGACTTATTTCTACACAAAAATGCGTAGGAGTAGGGTCTTATGCACTGTTTCATTTCTTATATTTTCTTCTACTTCATTGATAATTCATCAACACATGAAGAATAATAGCAATACTTTACATGAACAACTCTAATCGCAAGTGGACATGGCATTTCCTCTTCTTATTAAAGGTAATTAGAATCAGTTTGCCACCACTTGGCTTTGAAATGAAGTTCAAATGAAGTACTTCGCTCCCCAGTCCATAAGTGTCATGAAAAGGGTTGTATAAACATTCAACTCTCCACAGAGCAATAAAACTAAAGTCCTTTAATGTTAATTGTCTACAAGATTTACGATACTATAGATAAGTTCCCTAATAGTGGTCCCTGCAGAGCAGATGTCAGTCCTATAATGGCTTCTCTTTCTGAGCCCACGTGGGATCATTCTCCCAAGTCACGCCTTTCCTCTCTCTTACGCTGCCTGCTTTGTATTTGTTCAAATCTGCATAAAATACGTCTGTTTTCAGCTTTTGAGAAATCTATGACACCTGTAATGTCTTCTGTTTCTGGCTCGGGGAGATCAGCATCAGGAGGGGAGGAGGCAGTTTGCTCTGCCTCTTTCTCATGACTCTCTGTCTCTGATAAAGGTCCAGGCGTTTGCTCAATGAGCTGGGGCTCAGGGGAAGACGCAATAGCTGGTTCAGCTGCTCCTGCATTGGGTTGTGGGGGCGACTCTTGGGTACAAGGTGCCAAGTGCAAGGTCTCCTCGTGAGTCACTGTTTCTGTCGGGACTTCATGCATGACAATAAGGCATGCTTCCCACCAGTCTCTCACTTCCCTTTCCCCAGAAGTGAGGATCGGCTTCTGGTTTTGTCTCCTACTTTGTAGGAGACTCTGAAGTTTCCCACTTTAGATTTAACAGGGAATTGTTAAAATATTTAAACTCCAGAAGCCTTTCATTATGGCTTCTTTGTCTAATAAACCACCACATATATACACATGTGTGTGCTTATATTGCACATTGTGAGGTATCTTAATAGTAAATGGACTTGGGAGACAAACAGGCCTGAAAAGCAGAGGATAAAGACAATGGTTTGGATCCAGATTTAGTCCTGCTTAGAGTTGTTGTTGTTAGTCACGAAGTCGTGTCTGACCCATTGCGACCCCATGGACAACATTCCTTCCTGTCCTCCACCATCCCCCGGAGTCGACTTAAGCTCACACCAACTGCTTCAGTGACTCCATCTAGCCACCTCATTCTCTGCTGTCCCCTTCTTCTTTTGCCATCTATTGTTCCCAACATTAGGTTCTTCTCCAGGGAGTCCGTCCTTCTCATTAGGTGGTCAAAGTATTTGAGTCTCTTCAGTATCTGGCCTTCTAAAGAGCAGTCAGGGTTGATCTCCTCTAGGACGGACCGGTTTGATCGTCTTGCGGTCCAAGAGATTCGCAGGAGTCTCCTTCAGTGCCTCAATTCTTTGGCACTCAGCCTTCCTTATGGTCCAACTTTCACAGTCATACATTGCAACTGGGAAAACCATAGCCTTGACTATATGCACTTTTGTTGGCAGAGTGATGTCTCTGCTTTTTAGTATGCTGTCTAGATTTGCCATAGCTTTCCTCCCCAGGAGCAGGCATCTTTAAATTTCTTGGCTGCAGTCCCCGTCTGTGGTGATCTTGGAGCCCAGGAAAATAAAATTTGTCACTACCTCCATTTCTTCCCCATCTATTTACCAGGAAGTGAGAGGACCAGATGCCATGATCTTAGATTTCTTAATGTTGAGTTTCAAGCCAACTTTTGTGCTCTCCTCTTTCACCCGCATCAAGAGGCTCTTTAGTTCCACTTCACTTTCTGCCACTTCACAGTGGTATTGTCTGCATATTTGAGGTTGTTGATATTTCTCCCGGCAATCTTAATTCCAACTGGTGATTTATCTAGGCCCGCCTTTCTCATGACGTGCTCTGCATATAAGTTAAATAGGCAGGGCGACAGTATACTGCCTTGCCGAACTCCTTTCTCAATTTTGAACAAATCAGTGGTTCCGTGTCCAGTTCTCACTGTTGCTTCTTGACCCGCATATAGGTTTCTCAAGAGACAAATAAGATGGTCTGGTGCTCCCATCTCTTTAAGAACTTGCCACAATTTGTTGTGATCCACACAATCAAAGGCTTTAGCATAGTCAATGAAGCAGAAGTAGATGTTTTTCTGAAACTCCCTAGCTTTCTCCATGATCCAGCGTATGCTGGCAATCTGATCTCTAGTTCCTCTCCCTCTACCTGTACTTCTGGTAGTTCTCGGTCCACATACTGCTGGAGCCTAGCTTGTAGGAGTTTGAGCATAACTTTGCTAGCATGTGAAAAGAGTGCAATTGTGCGGTAGTTTGAGCATTCTTTGGCATTGCCCTTCTTTGGAATTGGAATGTAAATTGACCTTTTCCAATCCTGTGACCACTGTTGAGTTTTCCAAATTTGCTGGCATATTGAGTGTAGCACTTTTACTGCATCATCTTTTAAGATTTTGAATAGCTCAGCTGGAATACTGTCACCTCCACTAGCTTTGTTGTTGCTCAGACTTCCTAAGGCCCATTTGACTTCACATTCCAGGACATCTGGCTCGAGGTCAGTGACCATCCCATCGTGGTTATCAGGGAAGTTAAGCTCTTTCTTGTATAGTTCTTCTGTGTAATCTTGCCACCTCTTCTTAATCTCTTCTGCCTCTGTTAGGTCCCTGCCATTTTGGTCCTTTATCGTGCCCATCTTTGCATGAAATGTTCCCTTCATATCTCCCATTTTCTTGAAGAGATCTCTGGTTCTGTTCTATTGTTTTCTTCTATTTCTTTGCACTGTTCATTTAAGAAGGCATTCTTATCTCTTCTAGCTATTCTCTGGAATTCTGCATTCAATTGGGTGTATCTTTCTCTTTCTCCCTGGCTTTTCGCTTCCCTTCTTTCCTCAGCTATTTGTAAAGCTTCCTCAGACAGCCATATTGCTTTCTTGCATTTCTTTTTCTTTGGGATGGTTTTAGTTGCTGCCTCTTGTACATTGTTGCGAACCTCCATCCATAGTTCTTCAGGCACTCTGTCTATCAGATCTAATTCTTTAAATCTATTTGTCACCTCTACTGTATATTCATCAGGAATATGATTTAGGTCATACCTGAGTGGCCTAGTGCTTTTCCCTACTTTCTTCAATTTAAGCCTAAATTTTGCAACAAGAATTCCATGATCTGAGCCACAGTCAGCTTCTGTCTTGTTTTTACTGACTGTATAGAGCTTCTCCATCTTTGGCTGCAGAGCCCATAGTCAATCTGATTTCTGAGTTGACCGTCTGGTGATGTCCATGTGTAGTGTCGTCTCTTGGGTTGTTGGAAAAGAGTGTTTGCTATGACCATCATATTCTCTTGACAAAATTCTACCAGCCTGTGCCCTGCTTCATTTTGTACTCCAAGGCCAAACTTGCCTGTTATTCCAGTTATCCTTTGGCTTCCTACTTTAGCATTCCAATCCCCCATGATGATAAGGACATCATTTTTTGGTGTTAATTCTAGAAGGTGTTGTAGGCCTTCATAAAACTGGTCAACTTCAGCCTCTTCAACACCAGTGGCTGGGGCATAGACTTGGACTATTGTGATGTTGAATGGTTTTCCTTGGATTCGAACTGAGATCATTCTGTCATTTTGGAGATTGTATCCCAGTACTGCTTTTCCTACTCTTTTATTGACTGTGAAGGCTACTCCATTTCTTCTGAGGGATTCTTGCCTCAGTATACCTGATGGTCACCTGAATTAAATTCACCCATTCCTGTCCATTTTAGTTCCCTGATTCCTAAGATGTCGATGTTCAGTCTTGTCATCTCTTGTTTGACCACGTCCAGCTTGCCTTAATTCATAGATCTTACATTCCAGGTTCCTATGGAGTATAGATCTTTACATCATTGGACTCTCCTTTCACCACCAGATACATCTGCAACTGAGTATTCTTTCGGCTTTGACCCAGTCACTTCAATCTTTCTGGTGCTACTAGTACTAGCCCTCTGCTCTTCCCCAGTAGCATATTGGACACCTTCTGACCTGAGAGGCTCATCTTCTGGCATCATATCTTTTTGCCTTTTGGTACTGTCCATGGGGTTTTCATGGTAAAGATACTGGAGTGGGTTGCCATTTCCTTCTCCAGTGGATCACGTTTTGTCAGAGCTCTCTGCTATGACCTGTCCATCTTGGATGGCCCTGCACGGCATAGCTCATAGCTTCATTGAGCTACACAAGCTGCTTCACCACGACAAGGCAGTGATCCATGAAGGGGCCTGTTTAGAGTAGACCCATGTAAATAAATGGATAAGTTAATCATGGCTAACATAAGCAACAGATTTCAGTGGGTTTACTCCAGTTTTGCTCAAGACTGAATCCAAATAAGTACTTATACAGGAACTGGAACTAATACATGGTGAGCAGGGATTCTTCCCAACAGAGCTTTTATGGGTTGCCTCCTTCGTTTGCCTCATTTTAAAGTGGGAATTAGCTAGACCAGTTCTAGCCTTGCCTTGTTTTCCCACCACTTCTTTCATCTTTCTTTTTTCAGTAAAATACATGAGTGAATATACTGACATAGCAGTAGAGCCATCAAGGATATTAAAGAGGAAATAGTCTCATAATACCCTTTGTCTTTTCATGTTGAGTCTCCCCTCCAGTTAGTGGCACCCCAAGCAAGTCCTCAGGATCTGCCCAAACCAAGCCTATTCTGAGCATGCATTCAACTAGCAAGCTATTCTCTAGCTTGGCCCAAAAACTTTTGAAACACTGAAGATTTTGTATAAGAATATGTGCTCTCTTGATGGGTTTTTTTTCCTTAGTATGGACCCAGAGTTCTACCTCCAGCTTCCTGTCATCATGTTACACTGATTACACATCTCAGTGGGCAAAAAAACAGAGGCTGAATAGTTTTATACATTGCGCTCTCTCTCTCTCTCTCTCTCTCTCTCTCTCTCTCTCTCTCTCTCTCTCTCTCTCTCTGTATAGATATGTATATATTCTAACTGGGAGCATTTGTTTTGTTTTTCCAAGGAAACTCTCAAGCCTTGAGTACCTGGATTTGTCCAGCAATAATCTTTCCCAAATACCTAGTGGCTTACCTCGGAACATTGTCCTTCTTCATTTAGAGAAGAATGCAATTAAATCAATTGGCAAAGATGTCTTGACTCAGATCAAGAACCTGGAATACCTACTGCTTCATAATAATAAACTGAAGGCCCGTGGGATTCATCCATTAGCTTTCCAGGGCCTGAAGAAATTACACACTGTCCATTTGTACAATAACCAGCTGGAAAAGATCCCAAGTGGATTGCCCAGGCGGGTGAAAACTCTTATGATTCTTCACAACCAAATCTCAGAAATTAGCAGGAATGATTTTGCTACAACTTATTTTATGGAGGAACTAAATCTGAGTTACAATAAGATCAGAAGCACACAGATTCATCGGGATGCCTTCCGTAAGCTGAGGCTACTGAAGTCCTTGGATCTTTCGGGCAATAACCTCCACACCATGCCCTATGGCTTCCCAAAGAACCTTCTGAACATGAAGCTTAAAGTGAATGAGATCAGCTCTATTCCCAAGGGCACATTATCTGGAATGACAAAGCTGCAGGAACTGTACCTGAGCAACAACAAACTGAAAGTCAGTTCAATTCATAGTAGCTCATGGAGGGATCTCCTCAGTCTCAAGGTACAACCATATTCCTAAGTATATTGATTGTAATTGACAATTTAAACAGTGTCATAGGAAAAACAAAGCCCCCAACAAATTCTGTAGCAAGGAAATGCAACTACCATAGCTAGAAAAGTTTTGGCAAGGTTAAAGGATTATGCAAGTGTGTGTATGAAAAAGTTGGATCTGGAATATTATTTCACCACAAAATCTGGAAGTCCAGCATGAGTGAGACCTGTGAGCAGTCCTAATAGGAAAAGAGGGAGCAATACTTCCATATTAGGTGGGCTGAGACCCATAAAAAAGGGCAAGTAGTTGCTATTATATGATGCAATTTAAAAATGGATTTTAAAGTTTTCCAATTGGTATTGATATGCTTGCATGTATACTTTTTCCATTTTTAAAAATATGAATCTGAGACAAATGTCTAGGATAAATATATCATTTTCTGCTACATTTATTACTGGATTTGGAAGACTCTTATCTCCTGTTTATGAATCTCATACCTAAAGGGACATTCAAATAGCCAGCCTACCTGCTTTGGACAAACCATAAGAAATTCTAAATATATCAAAATGTTTTACAAAGTGTAGTGATGGGAATGATATAGAAAAGCTTTAGTTGTAGTTTACATATAGACATAGTTCATGAATGTACAGCAAGCAAGTCTCCAGTGAAAGCATATCAATGTTAAAAACAAGTGAGAACAACTTAAATTTCCAAAATTCATTTGCAGTGGTGTAAAAAAAAAAAAGTATTTTCCTCAAAAAAATGTTACACTTCAAATTAATTTTTTGAAATGTTGAAAGGATAACATATTTGATCCCTTAATACTAAAACTGTGCTCTTTAAATGATAATCTAAATACAGATTTTCATTCATCAAAATACAAAGAACTTTTGTACAAAGAACTGTGCTGTCCTTTTGACAGGCATGGCTTTCCTGAAATCTTTTTCATGTTCATTCCTTCTTTAAGTTAGGTTATTGCTTGGATATGTGAAGGCAAGGAAGGAGGAATAAGGAGGGAAATGATAATGATTATGAATTTTGAACAAAATTGCACACACATATTCTGCCTGAAACAACCAGTCCTTCAGGATCTGAAGGCTTGAGGCTTGATAGAGACAAATGGATGATCCAAACTTTAGCAAAGTATGCTATCTTTAAATAGTTCTGCTCTCATCACCCAAGAAGCTATGCACATTTTTTTCCTGGAAACATGATGTCAAAGCAAGCTGTTCTCAAACATTCACAGCATTCCTTAGACTTAGATGGGGAAATGCTTATCATAAACAAAGAACAAAAACACACCCAAGTTTATACATCCTGTATATTTCAACCCACTCTCCAGTATGTAGCTGTTAAAGTTAGAAGTCCAGTCAAGTGCATTCACCTTGAAGTGACATCATTTAAATTTCCAATTGTAGATGTGCTATTTATACACAGTGTTCATTTTTCCCCAAAGCTATGGAAATTTTAATGTTAACATGTGATACATAGCATGTATCTTTACATGTGTTATTTTGCAGAAAAAATAAGTTGTGCAATTTCGCTAACCTGGATATTCTATGCAGTCATTTCATTGTTAGGCTGGTTCCACATGCTCTTGGTCCTGCAAGACCAAGAGACTTCTGAAAGCTTCTACCTGACTCAGAGTTCTGCTCATTTAATTGTGGAGATATGGCTCAAGTGGGTGAGCCAGAATTATAAGCTTACCAGGAAATAGGCAGGACTGGATATATTCTCAAAATATTGTCTAGAGGATTTGTTCAGATAAAAGGATGTTCTAGTCAGGGGCCTAATTCTGAAGAAGCAAACTGAGAAGAACAATGATAAAAGAATGAAACAATTGAGATGCCTGGAAAGGAGATGAGGAGAACCAGAAGATATCCAGGAACTTGGTGGTGCCACATAGAGGGCTCAGAATCACCTGGGAAGCAGTGCTAAGAATTAGTCAATAATATCTCAAAAATTAATTAAAAATTTAAGAAATTTCTCCTTTGGTGATTGTGCAGAAAACAGTTCTAGGCTGGACCTGAAAGTCCTGAGTGGTAGTCCATGGCTACCAAATGAAATAATCAGAAACTCTTGCCACAGTAATGCAATTCAAACAGAAGAATGTGTGGACATTAGTACTAGCACTTTCTGCAAGCCAAAAACTAGGGGTTAATTGAAACTGATTCTTAATTGTCAAGGTTGCAAAATTATAAACAAATCAAAAGTTAATACATCACTAAGCCACAATGATACCCATCCTAAAGTTCTTAAATAACTCAAATAAGAAGTTGTTGATCTTATAATAAAAATATCTAACATGTCCTCAGGATCAACTTTTGTACCAATGGACTGGAGAATATAATATCAATGCTTTAAAAGGATCTGGGGTGATCCAAGAAATTACAGGCCTGTTAGCTTAACACGTCTTCTGGACAAACTGTTTGAAAGCATTAGTAATCATATAGAAGGAGAAGCATGCTGGGGAAAAAAAAGTTATTTCAGACTGGCAAAGGATACTCTGAAAATGTGGATAGGGCTGATCCATAAGACATTGTTTACTGGACTTCCAGAAGGTTCTTTACAAAAGCTTTGTAATATATTAATAAATCATATGGAATTAGGAGTGAGCAATGAAATGGCCAAGTTTGTTGATGTCACCAAATTATATGGGATAATGAAAAAAAAAGATTGCAAAGCACTCAAAAGGATCTCCGTGAACTGGAAAAATGGGCATCAAAATGGCAGATGCTGCTCAATGTAAGCAAGTGCAAAGCGATGTGTGTTGGGGCAAAAAAAGTGTAAGCCGATGGGATCTGAGCTAGTAGTGACTGACAAAGAAAGAGCTCTTGGGCTTGTGGTGCACAACACACAATGAAAACGTTGACCTAGAACCATCATGTGTTTAGCTGACTGACAAAGCATTCCTGCTAAACACTAATATTCCACATTAACCATCAGTAGTACATTTCCCTTAAGTTTACTGCCTATACATAAAAGTTTGGAGAGAGTTAGGAAAGACAGTTCTCTTCATTTCAATCAATTAGATATTTTGGAGTTGGAATAACTTCAGGGAGGGGAAAGTCTAAGGAATGTTGTGAATGTTTGAGAACCAGCTTGCTTTGACATCGTCTGTTTTCAGGAAAGAATGTGTGTGCATAGCTTCTTGGACGATGAGAGCAGAACTAGTAGAATATTAATGATAGCATACTGTGCTAAAGTTTGGATCATCCACTTGTCTCTATCAGGCCTCAGGTCTTCAGATCCTGAAGAACTGGTTGTTTCAGGCAGTGTATGTATATGTAATTTTGTTCAAAATCCATCACCACTAAGTCTGAACTGGCACCGTTTACCTTTGGTGGTGGTGGTGGATGGTTCTGAGCATGAGAATTATGCACAGGGTATCTAAAGCAGCAGTTCCAAGTGATGCCGTCTTTTCCAAATTGATGCTTCACTAGAACAACTGTTCCGGGAAGCCCATGGACAGCACATATGTGAGTGCCATCCTGGAAGGCCCCCTGCCCCAAATATTCCCATTGCTTCTGAAGAAAAAGGCCAGTGAGGGCTTGGCTTGGCAGTAACACTGAGAGACAGTGGGGAAAGGAAAGAAAACTGACTCCAGACAAGGGCAGCTTTCGTTGCTCTGTGCCTTAGTTCAGCATGCATTCGAGAACAGTTTGAAAATATTGGCTAGCACAGACTGTAATTGGAGATTCCCTTACCTGAGACAGAGTGGTCTGTGGTGTAGGGATGTATGGATTTGTTAAATCCATTCCATCTGTGTTTTGCAGGCGTCAGGTACCTTTTTTCCTGGTGGCAAGTGTGCCTTTGTGCAACCATCACTCCAGAAACTCCACACAAGTTCCTTGTAATCTGTGCAACTGAAAATAATGCTTGTCTGAGGCAGAATCCACAAGTCCTAGAAAATGGGTCTGGCAATTGCACAACTCCACATTCCTAGAAATCCAATTTGCATTTGAATCAGTTGCAGATTTTCCCAACATCCTTAAGTGGGGCCTCATTTAATCAGCTCTCCAGCAATTGCACTGATTATTCTCCTATAAGGATCTATTGAGAACATCTTATTGGTATTAAGTTCAGATAACCAGGAACCTGTGAAGACTCATTCTCAGTTAGCTGCTTTTACAGCCATTAAGTTCTGTTCATGCGACCATGTGGAGAACCTGAGTGTCTCTTGGAAGCACTGCATACCAGTTGCTCAGGAGCCTGGGCAGGCAAAACTCTCGTTCCCATCCTGCTTGAGGGATCCAGCCAGCAGCTGGCTTGCCCCCATGTGCATGGAATGCTGGACTGCATGGACTATTGGGGTGACCAGCCTGGCCTTGCTTATGTTCTAAACCCTGTCACTTGGTCTAGCTTTCCATAACTGAGCTTAAGATGGAAGTGAAGAGAGCTTTAGGATACCTTTTATGATACTGGTGGTGGTGAGGATCATAATAATGCTCTAGGCTCTGTACAAATAGTTCAGTCAAGAAGAACAAACCCTGCTTGTGGGCATGAATTCTAAAAATAAATAGAAGTTAGTGGTTATTTAATAGGCCTATATATTGTTGCTCAGATCAGACAAGCTAGAAATAGCAAATAAATACGTACTGGCTTAAAAATGTGCCATGGGTTTATTTACTTTGCCTTTTAACTGACTCTGCTTTTCTTGCTACCATGTTTCTAGGCAAAACTGCACTTTGACCAGCCTTTTGGAGAATTTTCCCTAGTAACATGCTTGTATGCCATTTCCAGACCTAAATTCGAGAGCCAAAATCTTGAGTAAGCTTTGTGTGAGATCTTGAACTTCTGGCTAGTTCTGCAGTCTGCTGATATTCTCCTGCCATTATCAGCCCTTTCAAGGCTTAGCCATTGCTAGTGTGAATTGGCAGGGCTGGAATACACTTCGGAAAAGCAGAATCTTTTAATTAATAAAAAATATTTATGACTAGAGTGCTGAGGAAGGACCATAGCTCTGCTACAGCACCCACTTTGCATGCAGAATATATGGGGTTCAATCCCCAGAAGGGAAAGATCCCTGCTGGAAACCTGTGGCAGCCCATGTAGACAAGCCATGGGCTGCAACCCTGCCATCTTTCTCTGCTGCAGCTGAGTGACAAGAAAGCAGCTACCAAAAAAATCAGTAATTTTTGCAGGCTAAAAAAAATGTTTTTTTGTGGGGTATGGCATTTGGCAATGAAAGAAGCTGCATGCTTGCTGCATGCCTTGTTTTCCTTAAAAACAAGTGTGAGTCTTTTTGGTGCCACTGCCACTTTCTCTTTGCATGGTGGTTGTTGTGTGTGACTTTCAGCCACAGCAGTAGCAATCGAGCAGGTGCAGCTTCTGGTGGGTTTCAGGAGCTGGTGCAGCTCTCTAGCACCTGGAATTTCCCACCCCAAATAGAGACAATGCTGAACTAGATAGACTAATGGACAGATATAATGAGGCATTTTCATAAATTTGTATGCTTATAAACAAGCATAATGCTAAGGATCAGGCATGAGCAATGCTCAATAAAGCTTCCAATGTCCACACTGCCGTTCTTCATAAAACAGAATTAAAATAATCAAAAGCACACTTATGTACTTAGGAGTAAGTTCCATTGATCTCAGAGTTATTTTTAAGGAATTGAGTTATTTATTTATTTGGTATTTGCAGAATTTCTGTAATGCACACCCAAGCAGATTCCACAATTAAAACAAAGAAACTAATAAAAACAATCCACTATAAGCATTAAACCATTAAGAAAAAAATCATATGAAAAGTGTCTCTGGTTCACAAGAAAGGCGTCCTGGAATAAGAATGTTTTAGCAGATGCCAAAAATAGCACAGTGAAGATGGCTGCCTGAGTTCTCAAGGCAGGGAAATCTGTCGAAATGGGGCCAGCACACAGAAGGGTCTTTTCCTGGTGGACTCCAGTCAGGCTATGTCCTCTGATGACCTCAAACTGGGACCAGGCGGGTTGATAATAATTTAAAGAATTATTCTTGATACTGTAAAGTCATTTAAGTATTATTTATACTAAAAAACATTATTCTTCAATACTAATCTAGAATAATTAGAATTATGCTATAGAATAATATAGAATAACGCTATAATAATAATAATAATATTCCTTGACAATCTTTGTATGCAAGTATGGTAGATTTACTCCTGGATTGCTTCACCGGCATAAGGAGGAGAAGTAAAATAATACTGTTGAGAGAGATAATAAAGTAGTATCTGTGGCTGGACAACGTCAGAGCTATTGCCTTAAGGAAAACCCTCAAAATACCCAGCTGAACAAACTTGCAATGCAGAGCCCCAGCTGATAGACTGGACCTGCCTTTTGTCCAGGTTTTGTCTCTACTCATCTGTGTACTAGATACCAACTCTAAAAGGCCACACATTTCACAATAGCTGCAGCCGTTGCTGGTCAGGCTGCCAGAAAAACCCTCCAGGAAGCAGGGCCAAGAAGAAAGCTGAGGCAAAGCCAGCCAAGAGGGAAAGCTGGGGCCGCTGCCTTGCGCTTAGCCACTCAGTCAGAGCTCAGCTCTGCAGGCACAGCTCGCTCCACGCAGCTAATGTTTTGCAACTTACTTGCTATCATGGTTATTGAAAGGGCTATGGTTGAATAGGATGGAAGAGGTGGTGAAAAGGACATGTTTAGAATCTTTAAAAAATCTGTCAATAGAAATACTTATTTTAAGATGGACATATCAACTGGATGCATGGTTGCTGGTCCTTTATTGGGGTTTGGAGTGATGCGTCATGTACATCACAGCTTCTACATAATGGGGACATGAGGCAAGTGGGAATATGCAATAGTCCAAAGAGATGTAGAAAAGCAGAAAGGAAGGGCCAAAGCTGAGAAAGATGGGCCAAACCAGCTGGCAACAAGTGGGAGCTGGTACTCACCTATTCACTTAACCACAGCTATATGGCCACATTTCCATTCCATTTTGTGGGCATCCCACTAATGGCATGAAATGAATTTAGGCTGTAATCTTATGCACACTTACCTGGAAATGAGTCCCCTCAAATGCATAGTTGCTTACATTTGAATAGACCCACTCAGAGTCTCAGTGTTAATCAAAGGCAGAATGCAGGTGTTAGCTTGCCTTAGAAATTCTGGATAATCCATCTAAGCTAATTTGGAAGCATCACCATGATTTCTGTTCATTATCTCAGTTCATGCTCTGCTAGCTGTCCTTTCTTTCAGATATTAGATATGGCTGGGAATTTACTGAATTCCATTCCATCTGGTTTGCCAGCATCATTGGAATATCTGTACCTGCAGAACAACAAGATCACCACAGTGCCAGAAGATGCCTTTGAATCCACACCTAATATAAAGGGAATTTATCTCAGGTTTGTAGCCCAGGAGAAGGCGATCTCCTCACTCTCACCCCAGTACCTGCAATGTAGGTCAGGGTTCATTGAATTATTTGGGTTTGACCATTCCAAATGAGATTTGTTGCTCTTTTATTAAATCAAACGGCAGAACCCTACCACTCCATTTCTTGTAATTGCCTTGGAAATTTGCCATTGGTCTCAAAAACTGTTGATTATGAGGCACGGGGAGATGTTGAAGAAATACATGTCCAAAGTCCTCCTGAGCATGGACAGCAAGTGTGTACTTACTGGATTATGGCAACAAGGACTTGCAGAGGATCTAACTTTGCAACAGAAAGGCACTTACCTGTTATCTGCACCTAGCAGCTGACCACTGTTAATCCAGATGGGTTGGAATTACAGTCTCCAACAAGGTTCCTGTGAGCACCACCCTCAGAACCTGCCAGTGCTCCTGCCCTCTCCTGGTCTGTATGTAGATTTTTCAAATGAAAACAATTGCTTAGCTGGGAAGTTGCCATACTAGAAAGCAAAGCACCAGCCAATGATACCTCTTTTGTTTCCAAGAATGTTTCTGGACTTCACATGGCATTCTTGGCTAAGTTATTGGCCTCTGGCCCTCAGTGGTTTGCAAGGGGTGGTTTTGTGTTATAGAACTCAGTTTCTACCTCTGCCTTAGAGATTTTCTTGTATAACTTGAATTACAAGGGTGGGTTTTTTGTTTTTTGTTTTGGTGTTAATAAATTGCCTTCTAGGAAGTACATGTCTATCTATTTTGGGTGAGGGACCTAGCAGACCCCTTCTTATGTTAGTGGGCATAAACTGGGGGTTTATTTCAATTTTCCCACAGTGGCCAGAAGTGGCACTATGTCAGGGGCATTGTGGGAAATTAGAATGGCTGCTTGGTGTTGCTATCACCAAGACTGGCATTTTTATCTGCACATCACTCCACCCTGGCAGAGTATAGGGTTCTAGCAACAGCCCAAGGGTGCTGGGTGCTGAGGCTGGGCTTGTTCCACCCTATAAGTGGGAAGTTCTTCCTGGAAGATTAAGGAAGATTAAAAAGGGATGAACAGATATAACTATTAAATGCAGGAGGTCATAACGCCATGAAAGCCAGTGTGGTGTAGTGGTTAAGAGCACAGGGCTGGGACTGAGGTGCTTGGTTCTACTCTCCACTCAGCCATGGAGCCAACTGGATGACTTGGGCTAGTCACAGACTCTCAGCCCAGCCTACCTCACAGGGTTGTTGTAAGGATAAGTTTGAGAGGAAGGGAATTATGCAAGCAGCTTTGGGTTTATTGGAAAACAGTGGGGTATAAATCCAGTAAATAACTAAATAAACAGGGGAAGGTGTGGCCTTGCACACACACTCTTCTCTCTGAATGAATACAAAAGTCTCTGAGCAGCAATAGCACCCTTGCATGAAGAAAACTTATATGGATGAAAGTCAAACAAAAATGTTGAAGAATGCACAGAAAATTGAACAGAGATTATACACTTCTTTCTCTTTTCCAGTACGTCATGATATACAAAATCCTTCTTTTGGATTAAGGTCTATTAGACCTTGAGGGAACATTAATGAATACATTCCACTTATTTACATGGGTAACATGAAAGGCAAAGGATTTGGATTTAATGCCATGTAACTTTTTAATGTTCCAGGTTTAACAAGATTGCATTCCATGCTGTCAAAGAAAGCACCTTCCAAAGATTGAAGCATCTGCAAGTACTGGACATTGAAGGAAACTTTGAATTCAGTGACCCTACGAATAATGGGGATCATTCAGATGAGGAAATGGAAGAAGACGAGGAAGAGGAAGAACAGGAGGTGGAAACAAAATGAAGATAACCCTTGACTGAACCAAGCGTATCACATGGTAGAGGATTAAATGCATTTCTAAGGGGACACAGATGTACCATCTCTTTACTCAACTCAGTTTTCTGTAGCAAAAATGTCATTTTGACCCAGTATTGTACATTGTAAAATTAGCAAATAAGCATCTGTGATGGGGCATAAATCTGTGCTACTGAAATAATGCATTTGGTGACATTACAAATTGATTCAAATAAGGATATTACAAAGGGATAAGAATCTTTTTGAAGTAGCACAGTGGTGTCAAATCCGTTGAGGCTTTCCAGCAAGGCAAGCCATGTGCTGTACATTATCTACAAGGTGGTTGTGCACTGATGATGATTACACCAGTTTCCATTCTGCACCTCATTGCTCAATAAACTGCGGGATAATTTGCAGTACTCTAATGTCTGTGGTGCATGAAAAGCTGCCTATCTCTGGCTGCCTTTGTGCATTATCCATATTGCAAAGGCATAGGAGAGGTAATTCCTTAAAACATAAGTCAGACTGGCAATCCATCGAGCTCAGCATTGTTCACACTGAATGGAAGTAGCTGTCTTGAATTTCAGACGGGGTCTTTTCTACCTCTAACAGGATCCCAGGGACTCAACCTGGGGCTGTCTGCATGCAAAATTTGTGCTCTACCACTGAGCCACAGTCCTTCTCCAATGTTTAAAACTGCTTTTTTCCAAAAAGCCAAGGTACCCTCTGGAAGTCCTCTCCTCTACTCCTCTCCTCTCCTCCTGATCAAGAATGAGTAAGGGCTGTCTTAGTGCAGGCCTGCCAAATCTGGTGCCTTCAATCTGCCTAGCAGATTGTTAGTCTGCTAGTCCCATAATTTCCAACAAGTACAGCGATGGGAAGTCTGGAGGGCTTCAGACCAGGAAATGCTATTTTAGTGGACTGCTTTAATCATGGCTAAATAAAACTAGTTAAGGAGCAATCCTATGCCTAGTTAGACAGGAAAAAGAAGTCCTACTACTTCCAGAATTCTCTAGGTAGCTGTGCTGGCTGGAGAATGCTGGGAAAATTATGACTGATTTCTGTGTAACCATGTGTAGGACTGTTCCCTTAAATCTTCCTTAGTTATTGGGTTGGGAGGAGGGTTGCCCTTCTATTAAAAGTGGGTTAAAATTAAATAAATAATAAAGTAGGATAACATGTAATGAATAGATAGATAGAATCAGGCTTCATCTTATGCAGAAACTGATTGAGAAAAAGGATATGTATTCCTGTGTTTCTACATCCCTATGTATACCTGTATCTATAGGTATACAAAGAGCACACAGCAGAAAGTACAGTGAATCACTCACACTTAAGTGGTTGGCTCACGTGTGGCCAGGCCAGGCCAGGCCAGGCCAGGCCAGTTGAGGGCAATTGTCCCTCCAGTGCCATTTCCACTTATTCTTTTCCAAGTATTTTTGGGATCATCAGGGATTTGGGGGGAATTTGCAAAAGCTGGCTTTTGTTTCCCTTCTTTGACTTCTTCTATGGCTTTAATCTGTAACCAAAAGTGAGGCTTTTGAGAGTGAATGCCCCAAAACAGTGCTACTTTGTCTCTGCATCCCAGTGAACCACTATGCTCAGTGATGGGTGAACAAGGAGGCATCCTGTGCAGTTTCATCTGGTGGAGCAATGCGAGGCGTCTCTCAGCCTTCAAATGGCAGCAAGACAAGCTTGTCACATGGGACACATTTGTCCACTTTTTGGTTCAGTTCAGTATGTATATATGGTTGTTTTAAAAGATACCATATTATGGCTGGATCCCACTCATAATTTATCCCCATTCGCAAAGCCTGCAATATGCACCTACCTTCATGAACTTTTAAAATAACAAATTATTATCTTTTGTGATCATTAAAATCTTTATTTTTGGCTTTCAGAGACTGGTCATAATTCTTTTGTGTGTGTTTCCTAATGAGCAATGGAAGCGGGAGGTGCTTGTCATAATATGAACATGCAAAACTGAGTTAGGCCGTTGAGTCAGGTCCAGAACTATCTACGGTGTTTAACATCTCCATCAAGGATGGACAACAATCCAGGCAAGACCAAAGCACTGTTGGTCCCTAGGAAAGTTATTCTAGTATTGGAAGTACAGCCTGTTTGCAATCCAGAAGCCCTTCTGAACCTTCTTCCACTGGTAGTTCCTGTGGCCAGGCCAGGAGTAAAGTTCTGTAGAATTGTTCCCCAGAGGAAGTTGAGCAGTTGTAGGTAGGCCCTTAAAACCTTTCTGGTTCCGTATGGCTTTTTTCTTTTTTAAGGGTATAATCTCATGCATATTTAGACTGAAAAAAGCCTACAGCGCTCATCTTTTCCAGCCAAGGTGGCTGGTTATTATACTCTTCAGTTTGAATTGAAAGTCACCTGTGTGTGATGAAATTCAACAGATGAATAAATGGATGAATAAATAGAGATGCTCTATTAAACTTGTTTAGCATAGAAAAAAGTGAGATGTATGACGCTTGAGCCATAATCCATCTTCCAATTTCTTTAATAATATCTCTTCCTTTACAACATTTTTGAATGACACTGAAATGCTGAAAGGCCAGGAAGAAGGTGATACCAGAGCAGATCGACTTGTTCTACAATGGAAGGTGCTGAGATAAAGGTCCACAACTGCAATTAGGGTAGATAGAGATATAGAGAAACAACAGCAGTTAGGGTAGCCACTTAAGTGTCTCTCAGAATTTGCATAAGCTAATGCACATGCAGAGATGTGCATTTGGAAAGAACTTGAGCAATTTCAGTAGAAGTGCAATGCAGCTCTCTTTGGCAGGTAAGATTGTAACTGGGTGTCCCATGGGCCTGCTGTGTCTAGTCTCCAGGTGCTAACAAGAAATGGGCAACGTCAAGCCCCACTCTCACTCCATAGTTCTTTATCTTTAAACTGGAACTGGCCTGGACATCTCTTGAAGGAGAACAATGTCCTCTGACAACTTTCAAAATAGATGAATGCCTTGTGAAATGTTGGATATCAGACCCACCCTTTCAGGAATGCTTTGGGAATCATGTTCGTTGCAATACACTGACTCTTTCAAGTTGTCTAACAATAATTCTCTGTGTTGAAATCTGCTTTGTACACTTGGAAATTGTGTCTTTTTTGCCATTCATAATTCTGTGTAGTTTTTTTTAAAATCTTTTAGAACAATAAGTAATTTGTTACTTTTCTGATTAGAGGGAAAGCAGCCCTGCCTCTGCTGGGGCCTAGCAAGCAGCTTGGAACAAGATGCACATCTGCAATCCAAGCAGAGACTGCTTCTGACTAGACCAGCAGGGAAAACACCTGATAAAAATCCATGCCAACCAAACTTGCCAAGAAATTAGGATGGCTGTTGACTTCCTTCCCAAACTGGGCCTCTCCAGAAAATCGTGTTGTTGCACAATAGAAATGCAGCTGTTGTTCAGCTGACCAAGGGAGAGGAGAGCAGGGAGAGGAGAGATGTCTTTTTCTAGGGTATGTGAAGATGTCAATTTTCCTAACCCTTTAAATTGCAATATTTTGGTTAGGAAAATGCTGATTTCTTACAGCTAGTGTGTCTTTTGCAATTTGGTTTTGTGGAATGTGGATGTTCAAGTATCATTTAGGTTACTCCCTGTGACCAATGTACCATTTAAAATTTTCACTGCACATAAACATTCCTTTCTGACACTGGAAATATGCATAATCTAAGGCGGAGGGAGGTAGAATGTAGATCAGACTCTACTGCTTACATTTCAGGGTGTTTTCTGACTTTAGAGACAACAAGGGAATAATAAAGCAGCAGGAACAAACTTCTGCCATGGCTGCTTATACCTCAGGCCCACTGTTCCTCATCTGTAAAATAGGAGTACTAATTTGTTTATTTGTCTATTTATTTATTGGATTTTTAGCCTACCCCATTGGCCACATGGCTTCCTGGGAGGGCTACGGAAAATAAAACCATATCATAGATTCTATGAAACAAAAAAACACACTATTAAACACTTAATCAAAGAACAATAAAAGCACACCCATTTGTTGCTTTTGTCAAGATCTCTATTCAGTTTTACACTGATGTTTCCAAATCCTTGATCTGTGGTGCTCACATGTATTTTTTTCCTGTATTTATAAACCACTTATATTTCAGATTTCAAAGTGGTCTAGATAAATTATCAAAACATCGATACAGCACCAAGGCATAGAACATATAATTTCAACATATTCTGGTGAATAAAAAGCATAGCAGCCAAACCACCCCAGGAAGGCTTGTATAAACACATGTGTCTTCAACATGTGCCCAAATACAAGAATTGGGACGAAGATTACTTTGCATTGTGGCTGCTACTTAACTAAATACGCTGCTGAAGCATCTGGTATCGCTGAGAAGGCCTCATCAGGTGACCTCAAGGCTGCATGGCTCTGTAGGGGCTTGCAGGTAAACATGTCCTACACAGGTAAATAAAACCTTAAATTTGTCCTGGTAAATATATCCCAGTGTATAGTTCATGGGTCACAGTAGTGAATTTATTCTGTTTACTTGCAAACCATGTTGCAAGCAGTATTTGATGGCAGATACCATTAGACTCCTTATGACCAATGGCTGTTTTTTTGGATTTTCAGAAACCATAGATCTGATACACTATCTGTGTCTGTCTTTTAAATGTAAAACCACTTTCAAAAATAGTCAGGAAATATTATATGTGGGTTGCAAGTTGAATGCATGCTACCTGGTATCTGAGCAAGCTACTCAAGTGATCTAGCAGATTGCACTTTTACAACAGCCACACTGACATTTTGTGCTAATGCTCTAACCATCATTCTATTAACTGTGAATATGATTCTTTGGTGTTAGCTGTTTTTTACTTGCTTCATTAGTCCATTGATTGGTTTCCGTAATGTAGTGGTGCCTCATACTTTGAATTTAATTCATTTCAGGAGGCCTCTGAATTGTTCAAAGTCCGAATCAACTTCCTCCGTTAGAAATAATGGAAAGTGAAGTAATCCATTCCTAGACCCTAAGCAATACCCATTTTGATAAACAGCAAATACTCATAATTTAAGATAAAAATAGCATAATGCCAAACACATGCCAAAACTTGAAAACAATTAATAAAATACATAAATATGTACTGTATAATAAAATGAAAATTGCTTCTTCTCAGAAAAGCAAAAAGCACTTCCCTTCCATCTCCTCCCCAGCTCTATCCATAAGGAAAATATTAGTGATTCTCTGGAGCTGTCACCCATTCACTGTGAAATCTCCCGAGGAATCTGTTTGGTGAAATGCATGCACACATGCAAATGCATCAGCCATGCAATATATAATGTTTGTTGCACAGAAAGTTTCCAGTAAAGCCTCTTTAGGCACAAGTTACAATCTGGATGACCAAAACTATTAAACAGATGGACAGCAAATGTTCTGTCTTAAAAAGCCCTTCATTAGAAGTGCTTTGGAAATATTTGTTCTTGTAACATTATTGCTGCGTACGGCAGGTAAACTTAGTTTTTACCAGGATATTTTAAACACTTTTAGAGTGTCCATTGTTTTATGAAACCATGGGAATGTTAGAAATTCATAGCAGGTTTGTTGTTCAACCCAAGAAGGAAGTCATTGCTTATAAATCCAGTCAAAGCCTTGTATGTAGTCAACACTCCATTAGAGCAACCAGTTAAAAATGGTTTTTCTATCAGTTATTCTTTCATCATGTTTTCTGCCAAGCTGCAAAACTGACCTTGGCTGTAGTTATGGATCCATACAACCTTTCCCCTGTTTTGAGAAAGCCAACTGCTTACTGTTCATTTTACAAAAGGTGCTGTATTTGTTTTCAATGGCCATTGATGAAGTTGGGCATTTAACAGCAACCCTCCTGTACTGGTCAAGCAGATGTCCTTTATGTAGCCACACTAATCAGGCATTCCATTTCTGTATTTGTAATGCAATAATTCTACCAAACATGAAATTTAAGTTAGGTAGTGCCCCACTGGAAGCTGATTACCAGGTACAATCTACTTCATTCATTCATTCATTCATTCATTCATTCATTCATTCATTCATTTAGAGGTTTTGTATGCCGTCCCATCGCTTATAGCCTTGGGACGGCTCACATAAATAAATAAACATGATACAAAATACAATTAAAGGGAAGGGACAGCCCGCCGCTGCCGCCGCCCGCAAGGACCCCACTGCCGCCATGGCTGCCTGAGGCCCTGCCCACTCACGACGATGCTGCCCCGAGTGACAGCCAGAGCCCACTGCAGGACCAGGACGCTGCCGGCCTGTGGGCCCCCTACCTACCGGTGAGTGCTCCACATGCCCTGCTTCTGCCCCGCCCCTCCGGCATGGGTGGCAGCTGCACCGGACTGGGGGAGGGGTGCGGGGGAGGGGCCACGGCTTTAACTCACTGGCCGCGGCCAAAGGGCGGTGACATTGTTTGGGGCCATTTGGGGCCGTGTGGGGGCTGGGCTGGCCATCGACGCTGTTGGGTGGGCCTCAGTAGTCGGGTGGTTGCGGGATTTTATTGTTTTTAATTGTATTTTAATCTAGATTTTACTCTGTATGTTTTAATGGATTCACACCTGGCTGCTTCCATGGGGTTGCCTGGGGAGTGCGTGGACGCCGCCATTGGGGTGGTCTTGGGCAATGGTTGTTATGGCGTTGGGGGTTTAACGTGTCGGTATAGAAGAAGGAGGGACAGATGGTTGACACCTGTTCCTCCTTCTGGTTATTCCCCCAGCCTAATCCTGCCACACAACAGGCTGTTGCAACTTTTTCAGACCACAGGACAAACTTCATTTCTGAGAGGCTCTGAGGAGCTGCATTCCAGTGATATGAATGGTGTGGGTCCCAAGGCAGAGGAACAGGACATGTGCCAAAAATGCCCATATATTTTAGTTTAAAGTCTGGAGTGCCTTTTTGTGATAGAAAGGCAGAGCGCAAAGAAAATAAATGCATGGATATTGTCAATGAGCCTGGGCACAGGGAACCCTATTAGAATGGACAGAAAGCTGTGCAAGAACTGGGCAACTATCAAATGATGAGTGAGTGAGGAGGAGGAGGAGGAGGGGGTGGATTTGGCTTCTAGGGCATCAAGCTACAGCATGTGGCACTAGGGCGAGGGCAGCCACACATCTGACGAGGAATGGAAATAGAATTTCATCCCGTCTCCAGCACACATGTGCTTCACATATCCCTCTTCTCTAAACACATCTGTAATCTAATTGGAGAGAGACTAAAGGCAAATTTGCATCAACCAGTGTGGTGAGGGAGATGCTGGAAATCCTCTAGAGTCTATTTTAGTGCTCCGTTTGAATATGAAAGTGGTCCAAGGTCTCCCGTATAATGTATTCTAGGAATGTTACACCACAAATTTGATCTGAATTCCTCTCTTTTTTCCTTAGTACACTTGTCACCTGTTTTAATTTCTGTGTGCCAAGTTTGGTTTTAGGACATCTTAATTGCTTTTTTCATTAGTGGTACAAAAGGCGGAAACAAACATTTCAAATTCAGGGCACCTTGTAATAGATATGTTTTAACCTCTACAGTTATCATTGTGATCTATAGATACTTTGCTTACATTCTGAACCCATTTGTAGTCTCCTGGAAATTTTATGAAAACCATCTTCACCAGTATATCATGTCTACACATACTGCTGATATATTGTAAGAAAAGAAGTGGACCATATGCCTAAACACGAGGTTGAATTCACAGGTCACCAGCCTAATTGGCCCATCTTCCAAAAGACCGAAATAGTTTCTGTTAGGAGCAGGAGTATTGTATTGTATTCAGGAAATGTGGCCCTCCAGATGTTGCTGAATTGCCACTCCTATTCAGTCCAGACAGCATAGCCAATGGTGAGGGTCAGGATGGAACACCTGGAGGGCTAAATCGTTGTGGTAAATAGAGGCAATGTCTGTGACAGCAAGGTGTTTGACTCTTAATCATTCTATATTTAAGGTATTTATTTCCCACTCTTCAGGCAGTCCTCATAAAATAAAACTGATCATTTAAAAATAGATAAAATAATGAAAACAACAACAATAATGCATAAAATTGTACAGCAAAACAGAAAATGCAAGCAAATGTTTGGTCCAATATTGAACAGTTTGTAGTGTCTGGCAGCTTTAGTCAATATTTAGTGTAAATCCTTTTCCTTATAGAGATCTCTGGGTGGTCCACAACATTTAAGTCAGCCACCCAGATTTTACAAATTTTGAAGATAAATGTTTTCCAGAGAGTACTTGAACACTCCAAGTTTTTGGATATTTGATGCAATGGCATTAAGCTAATAGCATATCATAACATGCTATGGCATTTATTGTTTGAGAGCTTATTGTATTCATATCCTTCCCAAATCAAAGCAACTGAAGGATGACAACATGTCCAAAGCATTCAAATTTGAATTCTGCAATAAACATTTTTACATACAAGTTTGAATTTTGAATCAAAATATCCAATTCAAGAACTATGGGCAAACAGAGAATTCACTAAATTTCAGTTACTGATTTCATGTTTTTTCCCCCCAAAATAAGAAATTGTCTCATTTTAATACTGCATGAAAACCTCTTTTCGCAATTGCATGTTTATTAAAAACATTTTCCACTGAAAACACTGGTAATAAATACATGATACATTTGATAACAATGTCAGTACAGAGGAAGTTATTTTATGATTTAAGGATCCAAGAGAGGATGCAGGAAGAGCTTAAAAGAGAAAGAGAACACTCAAATACCTCCATCCATTCATACATATGAAACTAGGAGCTTCAGAAACTTCCCACTGAAATGAAATCTTAAGGTTGGCTCAGATATTGTAGAGATGATATAACTTTTCCTTTCCCCATCAAATGGCTCTATCATGCTCTCTCTCTTCCTCTTTCATCAAACTGTAAAGTATATGACATAAAAGCCACTTCCTCTCCCCAGTAAAGGAATAAGGCAGGGATACGAGCCCACCAAAGTGATCAACAAAAGTAAAAATTTAAGGAAAAGGGGAAGGGAGAGGGGAAAAAGAGTGAAAGACATTGCAAAGACATATGTAGCTCTACTATGATGTCAAGCCATCTTCCATGACCGGCATCTTCTGCAACAGAAGAGCTTCCAGTCCCTGGAGGAGCTGAGAGCACCACAACTTCTGCAGACATTTGCAGCCTGGGAAATGTTCAGCCTAGAATCCAATCCAAAGCACTGCCTGCCTGATGAATGGTGCAGCTGATGACTTGCTTGCAAATAGGCTGCCTTCACACAAAGTGGGAAAGGGTTCTTGGAAAGGATTTTGGCTGATATACCTGAGGATGTAGGTAAGAACAAAGCTGCACCTGCCAACCTTTGGGGGTCACATTGGAACTCCAGTGAGGATACATTATTTGGCCCTTGGACTTGAGGCAGGGAGGCTTGGCATGCAAAAAGTCCCAGGTTCCATTGCTGGCACCTCCAGGTAGGCCTGGAAAAATTCCTGCTTGAACCCCTTGAGAACCACTGCCAGCCAGTGGCAAAAATCCTGGGCTAGATTTTCCAATGCTTATGTTGCTGTAAGATTCTATATCTTATGGAACTCTACACCATGTTGGCGCTCAGTGCTGAAGAAATTCTATTTTCTGCATAGCTCTTAAAGCTAAAGGAACCTTCTCTTCCTCTAACCTTTTCCATTGAGCAGACTGTAAAATTGGCACAGCCTATTCAACATGACCACAGTCCTGCTTCCAATTTCCTCTACTCCTCAAGCTGCTCCCACATCAACTGCATGCCATTCCCATATCAGAAGCGCCATGTGTAGCTAGACATTTGCACTGGACCAGAAGAAAACCTATCTAGAGTATCCTAAATGTGTGTGTGTTTTGGGGTGGGGGGGCGGTTTAAAGCTGGAGATCATAGGAATATTATGTAGAATTAAGGACAACATTCCCGGTGCCACAGTCATGGGCACTGGATCTCAGTCCATGTTGAGTCTGCTCTCTGACTGCAAGAAATCTATTTGTCCAGACCTCTAGGTCATATGTTTAATCATATATACAGTTTCTACAGATAAGAAAACATTACACATTCTCCTTTAGCACCAGTTCTTTTGGGTTTGGGTTCTCATAGTTCAGACGCTGTGAAAACTCACCATTACAGAGCTAGATTTTTAAAGAAGGAAGGAAGGAAAGAAGAAACATTTATCTGGCACTTGGAAGGCAAATATGATGGGCTGTGTTTACACTGTGGCTTAATATCTCCCTTTGAAAGGTCTCCAAAATGAGGCCCTCTTCCAAATAACACATTCATTAAACAAAACAATTCTTAGCAGTACAAAATGTAATATATGTGACAATATACACATTAAAAACCATACAAAATAAAAAGCATCCACCTCCGTTTTAAACTAACTGCTGTTTATTATTATGCTCAGATCAGGAGTTGCAGTTAGTGTTAACTCTAGTTTATTGAAACAAGACAGGTTCATTAAACATGGTTTGAAGTTGGCTTATTTCAATAAACCATAATAAATGCTAACTATAGTTTATTCTGTTTTGGGCATAATATCTGGGATTGCCTCAAAATTCACTCAATTTTGTAAGGGGAATAAGAATGAGATCTCTTCCAAATAAGAGATAATACCTTGACTTCTTCCTAACATTTTTAACTTGTTTTCTGATTAACTGGATGTAAAATATATCTCTCATGAGGCTAAGGTGATGTTGTAATTACAGTAAGCGCATTTCGGCACTAAGCATGGCCATTGAAGTATGATGTGTATATACTGAATGTTTCATGGGTGTAAACATGAATACAGAGTAAAATATTCATGTTTAGTAGGATGGAAAGCAGGTGACCTGACAGAAATCATTTGAAAGGGATCAGAGTTCTTAAAAGAGCATCATAGATGGAATCATATCAGTTTGCCTAAAGTAAACCAAAGTTGTCCGGTTATTAGTTCCTTCTTAATAAAAACAGTCAACATCCCATGAAGGCTTCCACTTTCAAAGATGTTCACGGCTGGCCTCATAGCCCCAGTTTGCACATGGCAGTCGTTCCATACTTTCCCATTCAAGGCAAAAGATTGTTTTCCAATTCCAACTATGAGGTAGACATTAGGTTTCAGATATCATCAGGAGTAAGAGTTACACATTTGTTTCCAGTTCATTGATTTCAATAGTGCAGTGGTCTTTACTACTGGATTTCTCTGTATGAGTTTCTGTGGGGTTTTCTTCTTGTTCTACTTGAATGGGTATGTGACGTTGTAATGTCTTTGCTGGTTCAGGACCACATGGCTCATTCATACTCTTCACACAGCCATTTCTCTGGTAAGCCATTATCTGATGGATGCTGATGGGTTTTGTCTCACAAATCAAAGGCACCTATTAATGGAATGGGGAGATTCAGATTAGCACTGCCCAGCAATATATCAGAAAAGTGTTTGCTTTCCTCTTTTATGCTTAGAATAATGTTTAATTTGAAACTATGGGTTGGTTCATTCTAAATTACATGTCAAATCCATTTTTCAAAGCCACTGCAACCTCTGAGCATCACAGTGACTTCTCAATTGTCTCATTCATTTGCTCCTACCTCAGACCCGTCTTTGGTGAATTCTTTTCTGCAGATGTGTGCCATTATTCCAGCAGCAAGTGCATCCCCTAGGACATTAATCATTGTTCGGAATCGGTCTCTGTCAAGCAAAGCAAGGGCATTCAGAAAGATTATTGGTTGCTTTGTTATGTAAATGTTTACAGACCTATACATGTCTCTTGTAATCACATGCAAAATAAGAATATATTCACAACTGTGATGCTGCACCAGATCACTGGATTATGGAAACAAAGAACTTTTCTACACAAGACATTTATTGTGCATTCCAAATTCTTTACTCACAGTTGTTTGGAAGTTCTTTTGATGTCACGAGCCTCCTATTTCATTTCTCTTTTTAGAGCACTTTTCTATGTTTTCAGAGGGGTGGGGAGTGGGGTACTATTTCTTAAATTGAAGGAAAAGGGATTTTCCTATTTAAATAGTAGAAAATCAGGAAAGGAGAAGCTGCTTGTATAGATCGCAAATCTGTAAGAACATTGAAAGTAGATACGGTGGCTTCTTTATGTGGAGCATTTAAACTGGCACTTCACAAGGGCTTCTTCTGAGAAAGTGTGCATCATTTACATGTGGTTTCCCCCTCCAGGGCTGTGTTTTCTCTGCCTTCCTATATGTTGTATTGCACAACCACAAGTTGGCACTCTGATATAGCACATTTGCTGAATTACACAAGCCTTCATTCCAGTTCGTTGCAATTTTAACATTTATTATATTATCCTTACTCTTTAAAAAGCTGCAGAAATGCATATAAAATAAGGCAGGGACCCTGGATGATGACACCATAGTGTGGTGGAGGCGAACTGATGCCACATGTGCCACAGTGGGCAAGCAGATCCCTCTCTACTGGCACACTAGCCAAGTTGCCCCAGCATCGCCCCAGAAGCCGAGCATCCGATAACAGCGCACATAGGGGCCATGGGCATGCTCCGAAAAGAGTAGTGGTGCAAGGCAATATTGTCACAAGCAACAACTCATTAGCTGTGACGCGTCCGAGATTGCGCATGGCCAGTCAAAGCAATGCCAAGGACATAAATATATTTGATTGGACTGGTTGTGAGATGTTTTTTTCTAAACTAAAACCTCACTTTCCAGGTTTTACTGTAGTGTTGGTACTTTGCAATAAATGAGTGGATTTTGGGTGGCAGTTTTGGAACTTGGTCTCTAAAAGGTTCATCATCACTGGGATGGGGTTAGACAAATGAGGTGTCCGGGCAAGATTTAGATGGTGGCAATGTGTTCAGAATGGGCGGAAATGATGAGCTGCGCAAAAAAATCTACTCAAGGAGGCTTTTTCAAAATCATGCTCTTTTCAATGGAACATTACCCATATATTAGGGTTAGGGGAGTGCACCACTGTAGGGTTAGGGTTAGAAAAAAGAGGTGTCCTGGCATGATCTTGATGGTTGCAATGTGTTCAGAATGGGCAGAAATGATGAGCTGCGAAGAAAAAGCTACTGAAGGGAGGCTTTTTAAAAAACCTACCTCATTCCAATGGAACATTACCCCTACATTAGTGTTGGGGGGGTGCACCAGGGTAGGGTTAGGGTTAGAAAAATGAGGTCTCCTGGCATGATTTTGATGGTTGCAATGTGTTCAGAATGGGCAGAAATGTATTGCTGTGCAGAAAAGGCTACTGAAGAGAGGCTTTTTAAAAACCTGCCTCATTTCAATGGAATATTCCTCCTATAGTAGTGTTAGGGGGGTGCACCAGGGTGTGGTTGGGTTAGAGAAACGAAGTGTCCTGGCATGAGTTTGATGGTTGCAATGCGTTCAGAATGGGCGGAAATGATGAGCTGTGCAGAAAAATCGACCCAAGGAAACGTTTAAGAAATCGCTCTTTTTTCAATGGAACACTACCCCTACATTAGGGTTAGGGGGGTGCACCAGTGTAGGGTTAGGGTTAGAGAAACAAGGTGTTCTGGCATGATTTTGATGGTTGCAATGTGTTCAGAATGGGCAGAAATGATGAGCTATGCAGAAAGATCTGCTCAAGGAAGCTTTTTAGAAATTGTCCTCTATTCAATTGAACATTAGCCCTACAATATGGTTACGCGAGTGCACCAGGGTAGGGTTCGGGTTAGAAAAATGAGGTGTCCTGGCATGAATTTGATGGTTGCAATGTGTTGAGAATGGGCAGAAATGATGAGCTGTGCAGAAAAATTACTGACAGGAGGCTTTTTAAAACCTACCTCATTTCAATGGAACATTACCCCTATATTAGGATTAGGGTTAACATCCAGGGTAGGGTTGGGTTAGAAAAACGAGGTGTCCTGGAATGAATTTGACAGCTGCAATGTGTTTAGAATGGGCAGTAATGATGAGCTGTGCAGAAAAAGCTCCTGAAGGGAGGCTTTTTAAAAACCTTCATTTCAATGCAAAATTACACCTATATTACAGTTAGAGGGGTGAACCAGGGGAGGGTTAGGGTTGGAAAAATGAGGTCTCCTGGCATGATATTGATGGTCGCAATGTGCTCAGAATGGGTGGAAATGATGAGCTGTGCAGAAATATCTACTCAAGGAAGCTTTTAAAAAATCGTGCTCCTTTCAATGGAACCTTACTCGTACATGAGGGTTAGGGTTATGAACCAGGGTTGGGTTAGGGTTGGAGAAACGAGGTCTCGTGGCCTGATTTTGACAGTTCCAATGTGTTCAGAATGGGTGGAATAATGAGCTATGCAGAAAAATCTACTCAAGGAAGCTTTTAAAAACCTTCCGCATTTCAATGGAACATTACCCCTGTATTAGAGGTAGAGTTAAGAACCAGGGTAGGGTTGGGTTAGAAAAACGAGGTGTCCTGGCATGAATTTGATTGGGGCAATGTGTTCAGAATAGAACATTACCGCTATATTAGGGGTAGGGTTCAGAACTAGGTTAGGGTTAGGGTTAGAAAAACGAGGTATCCTGGAATGAATTTGACAGTTGCAATGTGTTCAGAATGCGCAGTAATGATGAACTGTGCAGAAAAAGCTACTGAAGGGAGGATTTTTAAGAACCTTCCTCATTTCAATGCAACATTGCACCCATATTACAGTTAGCGGGGTGCACCAGGGGATGGTTATGGTTAGAAAAATGAGGTGTCCTGGCATGATATTCATGGTTGTAATGTGTTCAGAATGGGTGGGAATGATGAGCTATATAGAAAATCTACTGAAGGGAGGCTTTTTAAAACCTACCTCATTTCAATGGAATATTACCCCTATATTAAGGTTAGGGGGGTGCACCAGGGGAGGGTTGGGGTAGAAAAACGAGGTTTCCTGGCATGATTTTTATGGTTGCAATGTTTTCAGAATGGGTGGAAATCATTAGCTGTGCAGAAAAATAAACTCACAGAAGCTTTAAAGAAATCGCTCTCTTTTCAATGGAATATTAGCCCTACATTAGGGTTAGGGGAGTGCACCAGGGTAGGGTTACGGTTAGAAAACGAGGTGTCCTGGCATGAATTTGATGGTTGAAATGTGTTCAGAATGGGCAGAAATGAAGGGCTGTGCAGAAAAATCTACTCAAGTTAGGTTTTAAAAAAATCGCTCGCTTTTCAAATTGAACCTTACTCCTACATTAGGGTTAGGAGAGTGCACCAGGGTAGGGTTAGGGTTAGAGACATGAGGTTTCCTGGCATGATTTTGATAGTTGCAATGTTTTCAGAATGGGCGGAAATCATTAGCTGTGCAGAAAAATGTACTCAAAGAAGCTTTTAAGAAATTGCCCTCTTTTCAATGGAACCTTACCCCTACAACAGGGTTAGGGGAGTGCATTAGGGTAGGGTTTGGGTTAGAAAAATGTGGTGTCCTGGCATGAGTTTGATAGTTGCAATGCGTTCAGAATGGGTGGAAATGATGAGATGCTCAGAAAAATCTACTCAAGTAAGCTTTTAAGAAATTGCCCTCTTTCCAATGGAACATTAGCCCTACATTTGGGTTCGGGGAGTGCACCAGGGTAGCATTAGGGTTAGAAAAACGAGGTGTCCTGGCATGATTTTGATGGTTGCAATGTGTTCAGAATGAGCAGAACTGATGAGCTGTGCAGAAAAATCGACTTAAGGAAGCTTTTAAGAAATAGCCCTCTTTTCAATGGAACTTACCCCTACATTAGGGTTAGGGGAGTGCACCAAGGTAGGGTTAGGGTTAGACAAACGAGGTATCCTTGCATGATTTTCATTGTTGGAATATTTTTACAATGGGCAGAAATGATGAGCTGTGCAGAAAAAGCTACTCAAGGAAGTCCTTTTCAAAATCGCATTATTTTCATTGTTATATTACCCCTCTATTACAGCTAGGGTAGTCACCATGGTAGGGTTAGGGTTAGAAAAGTGTGGTGTCCTGGCATGATTTTGATGGCTGGAACATGTTTAGAATGGACAGAAATGATGAGCAGTACAGAAAAACCTACCGTAGGAAGGCCTTTTTAAAACCACATTACTTTCAATGGAACTTTCTCCCTAATGTAGGTTTTGGGGTAGGCACCAGGGTAGAGTAAGGGTTAGATAAAAGAGATGTCCTGGCATGATTTTGATGGCTGGAATGTGTTTAGAAAGGGCTGAAATGATGAGCAATGCAGGGAACGCTACTGAAGGGAGGCTTTTTCAAAATCACATTATTTTCAATGCAACTTTCGCCCTATTTTAGGGTTAGGTGTATGCCCCAGGGTAGGGTTGGGGTTATCAAAACGAGTGGTGGCCAACCTATGTCACATGTGCCACTGTGGGCATGTAGAGCCTTCTCTGTCGGCATGTGAGCCATGTCGCCTGAGCATCGTCCCAGCAGCCAAGTATCGGATTATAGCGCACATAGGGGCCATGCATATGCTCAGAAAGGAGTTGTTGTGCCAGGTGATGACGTCAGAAGCCGCGACTTATTAACCACGACTCCTCTGAGCTTTCACCTAGCTGGTCCATTCACTGTCATGTGTGTGTATATATATATTTGGTTGGAATGGCTGTGAGTTGTTTTTTCTTAACTAAAACCTCAGTTTTGCAGTTTTTTTGTAGTGTAGGCACTTTGTGATAAATACGTTGGGTTTGTGTGCCAGTTTGGGCACTTGGTCTCTAAAAGGTTTGCCATCACTGCCTTAGTGTAAAGTTTCTGTGTTTCTATCCCGAGGATATGGAATGGGCTTCCATGGGAGGTTGTGGAGGCTCTATCACTGAGGGCATTCAAGGAAAGATTGGCACCCACATTTTGGACATTATGTGAGTGGAGCCGACTTGCGTCCGGAGTTCCTAGATGGCCCAGGAGGCCCCATCTGATTTGCCATGCTTTGATATTTGTTTCTAAAGGCCCTGCCAACTTCTGTTAGCCCTCAATAAGTGCCTTGTGTAGAGAAGCCCAGTGATTGATTAACAGCCTTATACAGAAAAGCTCTGAGAATAAAGGCACCTGGATAAGTTCATATGTCCCATATCAAACTGATCAAACACAGAAGTCCTCTGAACCAATTTGATATGAAAGCATGGTATCAAAAAGAAGTAAAGGATATCATACTAATCAACACCTTCCAGATACATGATTCTATGCCCCAAGTGTCTGTCTGTTCTTTTGTATTACATTTTGTAATCAATTTCCCAAAGTTCTTTCTTCAAGGTGTATAAAAAGTAAACTTAAAGGGGGGAAGCCTCCATGTTCTCCTGTTTGTCCTCCCAAGTACTGTCATGTAATGTCTGTGAAAGTAATATGGAGCAAAAGAGCATTTGGGTAGTATACTGGTAGCTAAATTGACTCTGAATCCCCCAAAATGGAATCTAATCCTCTCCACCACCACTGTGCTTCTGGTCTCTGGATTCTATTTAATTGGCTCCAGGAATCCCTGGATGGGTTGATCTGGAATGAATTTGGTGCAACAACTTTAAAATGAATCTGTAAAGAAAGAAAGATTCCTTCCTTCCATCAATCCAGAAATATAAAGAATTATTTGTGAATAATGAAGAAAGCAATCCTGAGCCAAGTTTTAAAAATAAACCCGGAACATATTTTTAAGACAAAAACTGGAGAACAAGGAAAGGAAATAGTGCATTTTTAAAAGACCTGAACAGGGGAAACCATTAAGCATGTCCAGATGGAGAGCAGAAAACATTTTGATTTCAACTGGAAAAGAGAACTGGGAAATTTGTGGTTAAGGAATATAGAAAAATGCAGAAGACAAGAATGTATGTTGAGGAAAAAGCTGCAAGAAGATAAACACCATCACTATGCAATTTAGCATGCTGCAATTTAGATTAACTTTTCTCCATTGTTAGCATTTTCTGTTTTCTTAGTGCTCAGTAGCACTTTTGTTTAAAACGTACATAGTACCCCCCCTCGTTTGTGGTCACAAGGTAAAATCTTTTTACCATGACCTGAAGTTTTTCACAGAGCAATGCTTAAAGAGAAACATCTGCAAATGCAATGTTTAAGCTGATCTGAAGAACAAAAATGAGGGGAAAGGGCAGGTGTATTCACTCAATTTAGCCTTAGTACATTATTTGAAGCTGAGTCAAGTTCATCTTGGCAGGGCTACATTAAATCTGAAATACATCATGTGATTTCCTTATTTTTCCAATGCAGACAAGTACATCTGAAAACTCCATCAGAATGGCTAATCCATTGATGTCGGTCATAAAACCAAAATTTAGGAACATCCAGATGTCTGGCTTTGAAAAGTGAAGGATGGTCCAAGAGCAGCACTGTCCCAGTTTTGGCTTGTTTAGTTTAATGGAGAAGGAAGTTGGGTTGAACCAGAAAAGACATACTGTTAAATATGTTTGTGCATGTCTGTCTAAAGGCACAGGTCTGCCACTGTCACAGTTTGTTCTGCACACAGTCACTATTTATCCCACTAACAAAAGGAAAGGCCAAACCACTGTGTCTGCAAGGAGTCCCCAGCCGAGTGGCCTCTGCTGGGCCCTCTTCATCCTCCATGGATCTTGATGGCAGCAAGCAGCAGGAGCACTACCTGCCATTTTAATTTCCCAGCATGCCCCAGAATTATAACAGGGCATGGTGGGAACTTTATACAGTGGCACCAAGCCACACAGCACAGGGGAGCCACTACAACAGCAGACACTGCTGGAGTAGCGAGGTTCAGGCAACTGTCCAGGCTGTGTGCCTTCAATATAAACTGTGACCTATGCATGTGTGATGGTAAAAATAGTTCATGACTGAAGGCTGCTAAATCCTTCCTCTTCTGCCTCTTTCCTTTGCTCAGTCCATACTCAGTTTTGTGAGCATCATTCAGGTTTTGGAACCAGGAATGGAAAAGTGCCTGGAGCAACTGAGGGCAGGGCAATAACATATGGGAAGTTTCGGTGCCCATCTCCTCTGCACTTTTTTGACTGCTGAAGTAAAGACTTCCACACCCTACCTTATATGTGGAAAAAGTGGACATGGGAATGAAGTCTATCAATGTCTTTCAACAGCAGGAACAGACCCTTGACTTCAACTACCTGCTGCTAATCAGCTATGAGGCAGAGACAAGATGGAGAGCGGGCTGTTTTCAAGTGAAGCAGAAAGCAGAGGAATGTGCTGAACTCTGCTGCCTATCCTGCTCATCACTGCACTGTTGTATTCAAGTCCCACTAGATCCACATTCAGAAGTAGATTTCTTAGATTCTGAGAACAACCATGACTAGATGACTGGGAGCAACACCTTTTCCCATGGGCATCTAGTCACTGCTGGAGACAGTGCCCTGAACTTAGATGGGTCCTTTGATTCAGCAAGTCAAGTTTTGAGGTTTTTAATGGACCCATTTTATGTATTGAGCTAAAGAGGAAGCAAAACCACAGGTGAGTTGGGTGACCATCAGTTTCTTGACTGCCCTTATTCCTCTCTTTGGTTCCCAGTTAGCTATAAAAAAGGTTTCCCCTTGATGTTAAGTCCAGTCATGTCTGACTCTAGGGGGCAGTGCTCATCTCCGTTTCCTAGCCGAGGGAGCCAGCGTTTGTCCACAGACAGTCTCCGTGGTCATGTGGCCGGCATGACGAAACACCAAAGTGCACAGAACGCTGTTACCTGCCCACCGAGGTGGTATCTTTTTCTCTACTTGCATTTGCATGCTTTTGAACTGCAAGGGTGGCAGGAGCTGGGACAAAGCAATGGGAACTCACCCCATTGTGCAGATTCGAACCAGTGACTTTTCGATCAACCAGCCCAGCAGCTCAGCCGTTTAAACCACTGTGCCACCTGCATCCCTCAGTTAGCTATAGATGTGTATAACTGGAGCTATCCAGTCCTCACACAATCAGTTTGGTCGGAAGATGGAAGAAAAACCTGCAAAGGCATTCAGTTACTTACAGTGCCCAGTCCACAGCAATTATTAGAGTGATGTCATCTGTAGGCAATCCCACTGATGTCAGGACGATGACCATGGTCACAAGGCCAGCTTGTGGGATCCCGGCTGCACCTATGCTGGCAGCTGTTGCTGTGATACTTTAACAAACAAGGAAGAGGACATTAATGGTTTAACACAGAAGGCCATCCAAGTCCGGAGATAACTTGATTATGTTTGGCCCAAACTATTTGCCACAAGAATAGACTTTAAGCTGAATTTAACTGGAACAGCATTCCACTGAAAAACCTGGATATGTCGAATAAGAATCTACATAGCTATCCGTGATCCACCAGTTGTTTACTATAGCAAAGTTCACCCTACTAACATTGGATCAGGGTCCTTCAAAAGGTATAGTTTTATTTAGAGTAACAGGATATTGCTAGAATTTCTTTTTTTGGAAGAGGAATTGCTAGAAAAGGAAAAATATTCAGAAGTCACTGGATGGAATGGTGGGTTCCATTGTTCCAGGGCCAAAGTAGATGTGACTTTAAGTATGCAAATGTTGTTATGTAGCTAGCATTCATAGGGAAGACCAAGCAGCCTCAATACAATGCGAGGATGTGGTGAGAGGGGAAATTCCTGCCCTTGTCCAGATGAAAATCACCTCTCAGAAGCTACTGTTCACATTTCATGAGTAACCTCCATTGGCATTAATGGGAGCTTACCTAGAAATACAAACAGCAGCTACATAGAGGCACTTTTAGTCAAGGGCAGGGAAGAAAGAAGTAAATTCCCTTCAAGTAAAAATGAATACTCAATGAAGGTAATGTTAATTATTATTAGAACAATTATTTTAACTGTTATTTATAGGGAGAGAAGGATGGATTATGTTTACTGTTTTCTGTATTAGCCGTTATGTAAATTCAGTAAAACAGTTGCATGGCTTTCTAGGACATGCTGGGAGCTGTAAGAATTTTTTTCTTGCCTAACATTCATAGGATGGTGGCTTTATTTATTTATTTCCACAAACTCCCCTTTTCAACCCGCATGGTCCCAAGTCTCCCGAACTGTCCTTCGAAATGAATTTCATCCACAGAACTGATAGTTTGGCTACCTGAGTTTGCCTTCTCACCGCTGGCAAAAATTCAGTGAAAATTGTCATATAGTTATGATACATGCATTTCTACATATTATGAACACATATTTGCGCAGATGCTTATGTACTGTCTGCAAGAAGTGGCAATAAATCAATTGGTGAGATTATGCAGGTGGAACATATAGCAGAGAGAAAACAGGGAGAGTCTGTCCCTCTCTGTTGCAGATACCCAAGTCTGATGACATGAATCCCAACAGTTGTTGTGCTTGTTATGGACAGGTTACATGTATTTTGGGCAATGTGGATTTTACATTCTTAACATTACAGTTCAAGATAAGCAAATAATGCATTACATCTCGTGCTGTAAAGAAGTTAATAATAGACTTTGTGTCCAACTTACAGACCCTGAAATGCAAATACTTCTATGTCTCCTGTAAAAATGGCCTGAGACTTTAAAAATTAGACCTCTGCTTCACTGCCAAAGCTGCTAATTCAGGAGTATTTTATCACTTTGTACATACTGTCCACATAGAGTTATGGTCTATGGAGAGTTATGCATCCTTAAGCTTGCTGAAATAAACAGACTTTAGTTTACTTAAATTGCATTGGATTGTAGAGTCCTTGCACAGTTGTGTTGACCTTTCCCAAATCTGGGACAGAGCAGGATTTAAACATAATATAAAGAAAAACAAGCTCCAAACAATTATCTCAAGCAAACCTGTGTTAGGGTCAATGACACTGCATCAGAACAGATTCAGAGTTCAGTACCTGGTTTTTCAAAATATCCTTAGTCTATATACCTTTGTGCAAATTGTGACCTATTGCACTGAATGCAAGTCGTTCATTCATGAATACAAAGTGAGAAATTGTATAGGAAGAAATAATACCTTACAGAGAGAGAAATCTTACCACCACTATGTAATTGAGGTATTGATCATTATATAGACATATTTTCCTCCTCTATCATCTTCAGAGGTTTGGATCATAGCAGTACTGAAATTTTAGCAATATGCCCAGCATCCACAAGGAAGTCAACATCCTATATTTATGGTGAAATGCCAGCTGACAAAGGGAATTCCTTTATGCATGGCTTTTTACCTGATGGTGATGATCTGCCCAAAGTCCAGTTCATAATTGTTTACTTGAGCAATGAAAATAGCTGCTACTGCTTCATAAAGTGCAGTCCCATCCATATTGATTGTCGCCCCCACAGGAAGTACAAATCTGGCAATCCTCCTGTCCACATGATTATTCTCTAACAAGCACTTGAAGGTTATAGGCAACGTGGCTGAACTGCAAGAAAAACATAGGTAAGCAGAGACTGATTTAGCAGGATGCTGATGTGTACAAACTTGCTTAATTTTTCAAATTACATACAAATTCAAGATACTCAAGATTTTGAACCAATCACTGTGTTCTGTGTTAGAGAACAAGCTCTGGTATTCATGGTGTTGGTACGGCTGTGCAGGTTTCTGGCATTTCATTCATGGGAATCAAAGCCCCTATACATCATCAGATTTCTTTTTAAAAGTGAAGTGAAATTAAAGTTGTTTCTTCTGTTTGGAGATACCACTGAAAATATGTTGGGAGTAAATCTGCAAATATGAGCCACATCTAGCAAGGTATAAGAATTCCATCTGGGTACTGAAATGGATGCCCTTTTCCAGTTGGGTTCTGGTGGATTTCATGATTTTTCTCTCTGTTGCTGTCAACTCAGTCTGTAACAAGGTGATCAAATACATGAATTCTTTTTTAATGGCAGCAATTTGCACAAACTGGACTTTCTGTGGATCTTGAAATTTGCACAAAAGTTCCTTCATTCTTTTTCAAGTACACTGCAGCAGAGAATCAATTGTCTAGTACTTCTAGCCTTTCCTTATCAATTTTCTTAGACGTTTCCAGTGTCAAAAGGCACACCAAAGTGGAGTACATAAGAAATAGACAAAGCAAGCCTACATGTAGGAAAGAAAAAAAATGTAAGAAAAAGGAAGAATTTGTGCAATTCAGAAGCACTGAAGGGCAAGAGAGGTGCTGGCTAAGTAAGTGCACCACAGTGGGGCAGACAATATTTCCCACTTGGCAATGTACAGCCTTTCACTATCAAGTCTTGAACTAACATTTGGCAGTGTCCTTTTTTCTGACAGTTCCCCAAGTATCCAGCAAATCCAGAAAGGTGCATTATTGGATCCTCCTTTTTTGCGATTTCTTGGAGCAGAAACTGATATACATTTACTCTGTTTAACCATCTGGCCTTTAAATTTGAAGAAATTTCTGCTCCCTTTATCTCCTGGCTTCCAAATTTGTGCAAATTTCCCTACCATTTGGAGGCTGGTAAGTAAATTGAGGTGAAATTCATGAAAAAAATCAAGACTGACAAAAAATGAATCCAATTTCTGTAATTTACCATTTTCAGAAATGCCAGGACCCTTCCAAAAATATTCAAAACATTTCTGGAATCAGACAAAAAATCTGAATGGAAATACTGTGGAATTCCTCTAGGTCCAAATGAAATGGAATTCTCACAGTCACACATCTACATCCTAATGGTTTTACTGTTGTTAACTTTTGTTGTTATTATCATTAGGAACACTTAGTACCCTATTTGTTATAATTGAAGAAATTCTAATAATAAAACTGATATTGTTGGAGGAAGGACAGCTATGAAGGAGGTGGCAGGAATTCCTAGGAAGGCATCTGTCCTTCATCTTGAGTCTTTCTATGACTGGCAAATGCCAGTCATAGAATGGCATATTGTATAATTTGGTTTATAAGGCAAGGAACCCAGTATGTCCTTGATGTAATACACTTGTCCTTCACACCGCATCATCCTCATTGTCTGCTGCTAAAGAAAAAGATCATTTGCTGTGACCTCATGGAGGTTTATCACATACCAGATTCATTCGTTGCCTCCTGGCATGTTATGTGAGCCATATTCCTCATTGGATGCTACGGTTCTCATAAGAACACATGCTGTTTTACATGCCTTCAGTTAGCTTTGCTATATCACATTAATATATTACTGTATTGTCCAATAGCTGAAGTTTTCTGGTCAGTTTGCAATAGTTGAAATCATAAAATAAAACTTAAGTTACAATATAAATGTTTACAAGTACAGTATAAAGTGGAAGTAAACACCAAAACAAACCCTAGAATCAATGCAAAGATTTAAAATACAGCAGCAGATTTTGAACAGAACCCAAATGTCTGGGAAAATAAGGTTTTCACCTGACACTGGACGAGCATGATGTGGCATTTAAGATGGTTTCCTCGTGAAACTGCAGTGAAAGGTTTGCAATGAGTTGCCATTGAGAGGCTGATGACACTCAGCTGCAGCACTCTATGATCTGACTCTGGGGAAGCCACCAACACTTGACTACAATTGTGGGCTGGATAATGATGAACTAGCTGAAATTAAATAAAAGCCCGAGAACCTAGCAGTAGATGTCGTGGTATGACCAGATTGTTTAAATGGGCTCTTGTCAAAGTCAGTCGCTGGCCACCATACTTTTCGAAAGGGAAGTATTTGTGAGAGCAAACAGAGAAGAAATCTCATACTTAGTCACCATTCTGTGCACATGAGTACTCATCCTTACAGCTACAGCCATGTTGGTGGCCCCTAAACATGCAAGCTGGCAGCAGAGCTCAGCTTCTGCTGCATGTACTGCTACGATCTTGAAGGCCCAGCACATGCTCCCTCAAGTAGTTGCTTCATTCCAGCAGGACCCCCCACTGAGGGTTGCCCAGGCCCTTTAGGAAAGTGAATGGGCAACTGCAATCACCATTTAAATTCCCCACCCTGCCCTAGCGTAATGCTATGTCAGGAGCATTATGGGAAATTAGAGGCTGTCGTCTAATGCCAATGCTGCTGCCAGCCACTGCCATTATTACCAAGTCCACCAAAGCAAATGGGGATCCACTAAATGCCATTTTACTAAGCCCCACCCCCAAAATCAAGATGGTGCTGGCAAGTCACATCTGCACAAAACTGCAGTTCTACTGATGGCTTCAATACTGGACATGCCCTGTGCTCAGAAGGAAGTCAGGGCCCAAACTTCAAGCTGGCTTCTCAAAGACATACTGCATTTATTACCTTTAATTCCTCCTACATTACTTTGTGCAGTTCAAATACCTTAGTCCCTAAGTAGTCCCTATCTGGAATGCATTAAAGGGAACGTGTCTTTCCAGAGTTCTACTATTATCATATGTCTTGTAACCAGATATTAAAGGAGAAGACAGACTGAAATGGATATACATAATCGGCTTCTGCAAGGTGTTTAAATCCAACCTTCAGTAGTATGTTAAGGTTACCTTAAAATGCCTTTAACAAGACATATGCGGCTTTCCGGATTATTTTTTTATCTACATGCACATGTATAGAAAATATAGGTCTGTGTTCCCCCTCCCCAAGGAGGGGGGAGCTGCAAGGTCAAATTCTGTTGATGACTCCTTTTTTCAAAATTTGGAAGCTATTGCTCCAGTGTTTCATTCACTGCATCAAGATCATAGTACCTGGATGATGTGGCCAGAGCAATAAGCAAGGCTTGAAGAATCCCTCTAATGAAGACAATGGGGTTCTTCTTGGTAATGAAGAAGTACATCATTGGTAAAATAAAAAGTCCATGTACCACCAGGCCACAAACTACAGTAATAGCATAAAATCCTAGCTTCTTCCCAATGGCTGATGGATCATCCATTTCCAAGATCTTACCAGCAATAAGGAACACTATTCCAAATGGAAAATACCTGAACGAAGGAGAAAAATTGAGGGAGAGAGAAAGAGAGAGAGAGACCATATGAAAGGACATATCCACACCAACACTGAAGGAAATTAACATACCTATAGAAGATACTTACTAGGTCTGTGAAACAGCCTTTTTACTGCAATATCCTATATTACCATGGTCAGTTCCAGACTATTTAGAGGGGTTTTTAAACAGTTTCTGTGTGGGTAAATGGCCTGCTATCCCCCTTCACTTCCCCAGAATTAGCAGGGAACCAAACTTCACACTCCAAATAGGAGAGCCTTGAGTAGTTAAGGCTCCCAATTAAAAACAAAACCAACAAAGAACCAACAACAGACAAACAAATTGTACCCTTTGAAGGTTGTAAGTTTTACTGCAGTAGCAACATGGTGTGTTAGTGTGTGTGCTTAATACTTTCATCCTGGAGCATTTGTAGAATTAAAACTGATTCCCCAAGCTGCTGTTTTCCCATGGAAGAGAATGAGGGAAATCTTTTTTTTTTTTAAGCTCATATTTTTCCCTGTGCTGGCAAGCCAGGGAGTTGACTTTAGTTGCAAAACCAGCCCACAGTGCAAATGTTACATGGACAAATGCCCTGAGGGCAATGATCTACTTTTGCAGTACCTGAAGTATACTGCAGTAAAAAGAAGAAAGAAAGCAAAGAAAGAGATTGGAAGCATCATGGGTCTCCCACAGGTTCCTTAGCCCTTACAGCAGTTTCAAAATTATGTCCCAAAGATCCCTATGATTCCTCAGAAGCTTACCATGAGCTTCACAGTGATAAAGTGTTATGAACTGCCCAGAAAGCTTCAGTTCATGGGCACTACAGGAATTAATAAATAAATAAATAATTTATTATAATATAAAGCAGGGAATGGGCAAATCAGCTTTCTTGAAAGAAAACTTTCTTCTTTATTACATCACATTTACATGCCACCTTCCTTTCTCTTGCAAGGAACCCAAGTTCTCCTCTGCAGTTCATTCTCACAACAACAACCCTGAGAGCTGAGTTAGACAGAGAGTCAGCGGCTAGCCCAAAGTCACCTGGTGAGCTTTGTGGCTGACTGGGGACCTGTACCTGGGTATCCTGACTGCCAGTCCAATACAACACCATATCACACCGGCCCTCTTATGGGCATATCTAACTCCCACACGTGGCTTCTTGAGAATCTAGGATTTTAGCTTTGACTCTCCATGTAGGTCAGCAATAAAGCCTGGCCACCATGTTTACCCCTCAGGTACCCCACTGCTGGTGTTCCCTGGCACACTTCAAGAAGAGGGATCAATGCTGAGGTCGGACAGGGTTCCATGAAGCCAGAAAGCTGGAAAACCTGTTTAGAAGAAACATAGACAGGGCATTTGGCACCAATATAGTGCTTGAGCTCCTACTGATAACAGTCAGCAGGCCAGGAAATGGATGGACCATACATATCCAGATCCACCTTATTAACAGCCCTAGACAGACTTAGATGCTTGGAATTTATGTAGCCTTATTCCATGGCTGAAACCAACTCCTCTGAACCAATGGCTGAAATGTGCTTACAGTTGCAAGTGCTGATTTTTCCAAACATGGAATTTACTCACCATACAGCAACAGCCACTATCTTCATGACAGATTCATTTAAGCACTGGCAGAAACTGACCAAAGGAACGCCGCTGTTCCCCATCCTGCCTAGCATTATTCCTGCAAACAGATAAACATCTTGGTTTCATTTTACTCACCTTCATATGAGTTTCCACTAATAAATTCAAGTTTGAACCACCAGATGGAATTATGCTATCTGTTATTTCGACATGTTTGTGTGCAGCACATGCCAACAATTATGAATGATGAATAATGCACGCTTCACATATTTGGTTTGCATTACTTCAGTGCCTGGGCACTTGGGGCCAATTTGGCAAAGATTACCCTCCGAATGTGGAAGGATAGTTAAGCATACTCCTGAGTCTCGCATAGCGGTCTGATCTGTCCTCTCATCACATCCTATTTGCTGTCTTGAAAATGTGTACATGCTATCCGTAGATATTTTTGTATTTCCTAAACAGCTGCCTCCACCTGGGACCTGAATTCACAAAGCTGGAACTGTCTCATTTTTCATTGCACCTATGGAATCCCCGCATACCATGAGTCTCATCTCCACTGTCTACGTTACATGGCTATCAAATGGCAGGAAACTAACAACAGAAAAACAAATAAATGCCAAAATTCTGTTTCTGAGAAATCTATGTTACTATTTCAGGCTTGGATAATTTAAACCACTGAATATTTGGATCACAGAATTTTAAATGGAGTCTTTGGTACAGTAATATAGGCCAACCACTGTTGCTCTCAAAGAAATTTTTGCTTTTTTTTAAATTGTACTCCTGAAAAATGATAGGCAGTGCAATCTTGTGCATACCTTCTCAGAAATAACTTTAGAGGCTTGGCACAAGATGTAAGTGCCCCTTTATTAGTGCGGTAGGCCTGCTTCCCATAGAGGCCTTCTGTAAGCCTGTCAGAGGTGTTCCCACTCATGGATGAGGCCCCAGTTGGGCACTCAGGGGCTACCTCAATGTTCTGGATCTAAAATCCCCTCACTCCCTGGATTGGTCCTCCTATTGTTTTCAATGGTGCCGTTCTTTAAGGAACAAAGTCACCCTGCTCCCCATTCTTCCCCCTGCCCTGTCTGCAGAAGATGGCAGGGCTTTAGAACCGATGCTTTCTGCCCGACATGGCAATTGCTCTGTAAGCCCCACTAAATACAACAAAGTCTTCCTTTTGCAAAGGGGCAGTGAACATACATTAGACATCTGGTGGCAGTGAATTAAATTTGGAGGCTTCAGTCCAAATTATAGTGGAAAATTTGATTGAAAAATCCAACAACCTAGCAGGCTGCACTTAGCTTTCTTCCATGGTAGCCATAGCAGAAAACAAGCAAACGTTTATGAAATTCCAGATGACTAATTTCTATACACGGTAACTAACCAACTAACAATAAAAAACAAAAAATATGTGTTATAGGTAATAAAATAGCATATCTACTGTATGTTTATATTGTATAGATATGCTATATGTAATAAAATATTACATTCTGCTATAGGCAATAAAATTATTATGTTCTGCTAACTTCCACAGTTTAAATTCCCTGTTTATTCAGTGTGACCTATCAGAACAGATAATGGCTGGAAGCAATATCTTTTAAAAATACATTATGAATTATAAAAGCAGACATGTATCTGCTTTAACCCACAGATTAAATACTAAACACAAATGTTTACATTATTTTTGCATGATGTCTGGGTTCAGGCTTGAATGAATCTCCATCAGAAGGGAATGTCATGATTGTTGAGTGGCTGCTGAAAACACCCTCACTGAAGGAGCCAGGAGAGACCAGTTAGCACCCTTTGGTCTTATAATGTACAGTGAACTTGTGGATAGGGCTACATACCCTTCTCATTCAAATTTGGTGCATGGAAGCTACCTTTCTACAGATGTATGTCCCTTGCACCTCCATGTCATGGAATCATCATCCCCTTTAGGGGAATCTGTCACTGTGTTTAGGATCTGGACACCCACAGGGACAGTTCAGGCCTACGGTTTGAATGAGCTACTTAGAAGAATTCTTCTGCTTTCCCTTACAGGAGCTTGACTCACTCCTATTTTCAGTCTTTGATAGAAAGAAAGAGAAGCAGGAGGTTTGTAACACATGTGCAGACACCACCCATTGCTGATTGGCTTGGTGGGCTTCTGAGTTCATATGCACAAGGTGTTTATGATGTAATGTGTATATAATGTAATGTGTATATAATGTGAATTATATAATTTACATGTAATTACACATATATTAATTAATTTTATGTTTCCTCTTATATCATATTACCTTATTCTACTTTAGCTTATTTTATTGCTTTTATTCTTTATTGCTGTTTGCTATATTTTATTGTGATATGAATTTGAATTCCTTATTTTAATTGCTGTATCATATGTTGTGAGCCACCCAGACAGCCTATAGCTATGGGGGCAGCGTACAAATAAATATAATATCGAATGTTAAACCTCAATTCCCAGAATGCACTTTCATGTTACAAATAATCTTTTTGTACTTTGTATTCTACTTCTTATTCTAAAGTAACAATAGCGAGACGTAATTACATGATTAGCACAGGAGAAAATTGCTGCACAGTGGACTCCTTTGCATGTTCATTTTGGAATGCCATTGTGTTCAAGGGGGCTTACTCCCAAGGAGGCCTACCCAGAACTGCAGGCTTGCAGCACAGTCTGTTGCTAATCTACTCAGAAATAAGTCTCACCAGGCTGGTTGGGACTTATTCCAGGCTTGCAGCCTTAATCGTATATTGCCAAAAGATTAGGCCACCTTTCGTGCTAAAAAAACCCAGATAATAGTTCCTTCCAGCACCAGGACACTAAACCAAGAACCAGGTGGAATCAGATGGAGGCCAAGGTTTAGTCATCGATTAGTGATTGGAAAAATGCAGGTTAGACAAGGAAGCATTTAAACAAGAAAGTGCATTTGAAAACAACTGAGTGGGAATGACTTTGTGGTAGAGTTGATATATGTGCCCATCTGCTTGTAGAGTAAATGTGTTTAGATCCTAAGCCAAGCCTCAGAGCTCACATCTGTGGATGTAGAACAGGTTCCAGATTTTTCAGTGTTCTTGATTCAACAGGGAGCAAAATAATCCACTGTCAGACCCAGCCATCTCACAACCATGCTGGTTAGCCTTCATCTAGCCATAATTTCAGATGTTCACACTATATTTTATGAACTATGTCACTCCTTCCTGCTAACAGAAAGTGGAAGACAGTTCAGTGTTTTAGTTCAGCACAAGCATGAAATGTCAGCTTTAGACCAGGGTTAAAAGAATTTCCCCAGTTAAAAGCTATAAAGGGGGAAACATTTCATTTGTATTATCTACCAATGGAATGATATGGTTTCCTCTGGAAGAAGGAGCTTTTCCCTTTGAACATTGGGGTGGGGGATGGAGGAGGAGGAAGGAAGAACTGCAGCCCATATGAAAATTAACTGTGGGCCTATTTCCCAGTGTGACTGACAGCGTGTCCCACCTCCATGCCTGTAGTTTGACATCAGTGTGACTTCACGGATTCTTAGCTATCCTGCTTCTTCCGAATTCCTTTGTCTCCCTTTCCACCAGCTGAAGAGAAGAATGATGGAAAGGTGGGGTAGATTTTACATACATGTTCAGGGGCAGACAAGAATGGATGCATTGCTTTTATCTCACAAATGCTTCCGCAATCCTTGCTGTATTCTGATAGTTCTTCTGCCTGAGACACTCTCATGATGTGTTCATTAGCCAACATCTTGATCTTCCAGTTTCTCTTTTTTTTCCAGAGTGCTTTCCTAGCTATTTGTTTTACAGCATAGAAAACAACTCTGAAAGCCTTGTTCCTCCTTGTAGATTTGTGCTATTCCACTACAGTACAGCTCCACCTAGAGGCCATGTAGTAGATATGTGTGAGCTCAAATTTCAGCTCAAAAGTAGATTGCAGTGATTAGCTGCCTCAGGGAAAAAAGGACTAAGTAGAACACTGCTGCAATTATGGGATGTATTTGACATGACAAGACCCAATTCAGATCCAACTGAACATGCACGAGCTCTTGGTGGGGAGGGCGCAATACTGTGTCAAAAGTTTTGTGCATCATTTTTTTGCTCCTCAATTTGTAAAGAGCTTCAACATTTCCAAAATATAACTCCTCTGATCAAAAACATTTTAATATCTTCCATATGACTGACACCATGCCATTCAAATAACATGTCTTGCATTTGATTCGGTGCAGCCCAATCCTATAAATGTTTACTCAATGGGATGCTTTCAGATAACTGTGTTTAGCTGACCTTCTTGCCAGGAGATGTGCGCCTAGGATTGTAGCCTAAATCCACTCTTTTCAGCTGTCCTAGTTGGAATACATTCATGCATGATATGTTCTCCCAGCAGGCAATGACTGTCATTCTCTGCTGTGGAAGTATCTGTAATAATTTATCTTGGGTGATCCACTATTGTTCAAGTGGTACCAGGCTAGAATTAACTATTTATTCCAAATCAAATGTTCCAGAATGAGCCAAGGGTAATTATAGGGGATGGGTGTCAGCAGTGGCTAGGAAAGCAATCTCCTAGAAAAGATATTGGCATCAAGCTTATGGAACGTATGGCTCACTTGGAAGCATTAGACTAAAGAAAACAGACTGCCCAACCCACAAGAGATCAGGGATATGCTTTATCTGGTTAGCATGAGGTAGTACAGATGGGGCCATGAGGCAGGTAAAAGAACAATACGTGAGGCCTATCCAAGGTAGTTCAGAGCTATGTTTGGTGCCACACGAGGACTTTCCTTTGTTACCTTGTGACTGGAGTCCACCTGCCACCTCTGATCCTAGGACCACATGCATATGAAGTATGCACTCAAGCATGGTGCTCTGGCCGTTCCCCCAATAAGGTCTTCATGTTCCATGATGTAAAAGCAACAATGTCCTTTGGAGGACACTGTATTCTGGACACTGTTTGCTCATGTGATGGTGTGCTGCTTCTCCCTAGCAGAAATAAAGGGAGTAGTTTTCTGGATTCTGGTTGCCTCTTCACAGTTGAAAAGGGTTAAGCAGCTTTTCATTTAGATAAATCTGCTGACATACTTGTTCCAAAATCTAGGGTTTACTGCTGAATGCCATGAAATGTTCTTCTTCATGAGGAAGCAGTCCAGCTCATGAGTCAAACCTCCATCTGAACATGTGGTAAATAATGCCAGCTAAATTAGCGGTTTAAATAAAATCTGTATCACTCAGACTGGAGACAATGCACATTGGAGGTAAACCAATGAGAAGAGAGGGCTAAGTCAGTTAAATATTCCACTGCTCTCTGCAGGACATACTGTGAACTACTTGACTGAACCTTGTATAGCAGGTCAATGAAGCTTTGTTTAAATGCAAATGACATTTTGGAATATGTGAACATTAAAGAACCAACAACATGTGACAGCACACAAACACATGAGCAAATAACGTCCAGGAAAAGTTAGCCACAACTCATGTTCCATTTAAAAAGTTGTTCAACTATAGAAGAAACCACTCTCCCCAGTTTTAGTCTAATCATATCCATCCATCCATCTGTAGCCTAAATAGCTAACGAGGCCATCACACAATGTAAGGGAACCTTGTCTCCCCTGTAATGTAAGCACTCAAATTTGATGTTGATGCAATAGGACCAAGGCTGCAGTCCTATAACAACTTACCTGGGAGAAACCCACACTGAACTCAGTGGGACTTACTTCTATATGTAGGATACTTGCACTGTTAATCATAACTACCAAGTTCTGCTGATTTCAATTGAAATTAGTTACAACCAATGTTTCTTTGTTTGTATCTTGAATCTTGCTGAGTAGCCTGCTAGGAACCACATGATGCATTTCACACTCTATTGGTCTATAAAGGTGTGATGTAAGGTAGACTTTGTTCCATGCAGCTTGTTTTTACTGATGGTGGTGGTGATGACAACTCTCCTGGAAAAGTATAGTGTATTTAATGCACATTGGAAGTTAGTTGTCTGGACAATAGTAGTTCATACACATCTTTGTAATGTTCTACTATTATTTTTTCCCAACCTGAAAAAAGCCAGGAGGGACAATCTGGATAAACACCAGCCTGGTTTGCCTGTAACAACAGCCCACAATATGGTTTGAACATGGTTTGTCACTTAGTTGTTCTATAGGTTCCTGTTATGTGCATTCTGTGCAGTATTGTTTAACTATGGGCTGTTAACCACAAACAAGTCAGAATGAAATCCATGGTTTATTGTTGGGTTGTGAACTCTTTGTTAGCAGTTAACAACTTAGAGTTAAACTATAATGTAGGACTGACATAGTAACTCATGACTGAACAACAACCCATACTCAATCTATACGCAACCTGCTTTTGCTACATGCAAACCAGATTCTTCTATGCCCAGTTGTGCGTCAAGCTAGTGTCACCAGCAAACTATCTTCTAGGAAGCATGCAAGAAGTCCACATGCTGATCCTTCCTGCAGTTACTCTCCTTTTCTGCTCTTTTGTTGAGCTTGGTTGACTGCAATAATATCTCATGCTGGATTTATTTTTCCAGTTTCATAGCCCAATATTGCTGGCAGACTCAAATACTAGTGTGTGTGTGTGTATGTAAAGGGAAATTATCAGACTGTTCCCACATGTTTATTTAAGTTTCTGAAGGTTCTTTTAATCCTGTTGTTCTACTGAAACATCCAAACTAAGCATCTGCTCCTCAAATGTTAACAATAGCATTGTTAACAATCTCTTAGCAAGATTATCTCTTGACCAAATACCTTCTTGTTTGCATTTTTCCCACACAGAAAAAGAGATTTAGCTTTTGAAGGAATTGTTCTTATAATGATTTATCAGCTGTTTCAGATGTAGTCATTGTGACCCTTGTGTAGCAACACATAGTTTCACTTATGCCTTAGGGTAGCCATATATGAGCCTAGCAACAGGTGCTAAATGAAAGTTATATCCTATACACAAACCTCCCTTTGTTTCTCATTCAAGTTCCTTGCAAAATCTCTATGAGTTACAGAGGAAAGCAAAAACCTCCTGGTGGGGAAAGGCAAAGCAAGGTAGGCTTGTTAAAAATAGCACATAGTGTTCCCAGGCCACTGAAAATTCACCCACAATACTTAACTACTCAAAGCTGTGAATCATTTTTTCCTAGCAGAGATGCTGAATACTGATGACTCATGGAATGGGAAGAGGTAAAAATGAAATTGGAAATTCTAAACAGAAAGACGACTTTCCTGTACCAATAACAACTTCAGTCAGTGTATGTGTGTCTTCCATGTATAGGTTTCGAACACATACCCATTGTGGCAGAGAATATTACAATGCCCAACACATTCATGCCTTCACTGGTGCCAGGCTCTGATTTGTAAATCACTTCAGGTGGTGGTGTGATGTCCAAGGCAAAATTCTGGATATTGGATCCATTTTCATCCTGCACCCCATAGATGATGATTCGGTGAGTGGTGCTTTCAGATGCTGCCTTGTTGGCTTTGACAATAGGGATGCTTTTGGTTCGGTACTGAAAGAGCCGAAGACATCTCCATTATATTCAGAAACATCTTGTTTGAGGTTTAAATGTATGGACTTCTCAACAAAGAAAGAAATATCTGTGAGAAATAACTGTCCCCTCTCACATGTACTCCAACTATGGAAGAAATGTGGTTTTCAGTAGAATATATCCATTATTCCGAAATTTGGCTGACGCAAATCATGGTCCCAACCACACAATTGCCAGATAACTGGGAATTGGGTGGTGCTTAGGGGACATTCTCAGAGGGAACAGTAGTTGGGGGAAACTCTCATAGATTTGGGAAGGAAGGTGATGAAATTCTGACTAACCCCAGAAGATATTCCTGGAACTCCATTTAAATTCGCACCTTTACCTGAAGTTTGGAATTGAATCAGTATCGAAGGAAAGGTGAAGTGTGGAGTGCTATTTTTCTTGGTAGAAAGGCATATACAAATCAAGTAAATAAAATAAGTGTCGCCTCCCCTGGTTCTCATCTCAAATACTTTCCCCATGTCCCATGTTATGTGTACAGTTATGAGGGAATCACAGGAGTGACGAACGTAGCTTGGATTATTAGCTGCTCATCTGTTCATACAGTATTGGTGGGGATTCCTGAAAAAAGCTGTCTTCCATCTACACCCCTTTCCCCTGCAACTGAATCCCACGCCTTTCTCAGGGTCTGCAAACCAACAGGATCAGATTTGCAGTGTCACAGAAGCCTAAAGAGGGATAGGAAAGGTTAAAAATCTGCCTTCCATTCCATTATTTTTTCAAGGAAGGGAAGTTAGAATGCAACTCCCTTACTTTCTTCTGAACAAACAGTTTGGCCTTAAGGTGAAATGTTAATTTCTCTTTTGTGAAAGGAATAAAAATAGACTTGCCTGAACAGGTTCATGGCTTAGGTCAGTTTTTAGCCACTACATTATTTTCCCTACACTCTGACACACCATGCAAATATATATTTTGATTGTTGAGAAAAAGTATGTTCATGTGTGTGCTGTGGTTCATGCAAAGTTGTTGTTGCTGTTTTTTTTTTTAATTTGGCTTCCATATTCTAGAAGCACTAGCCAAAGCCTAGGCAATGGCAGAAGTCTCCTTTATTGCATTGGAACACATAAATATAATAAACTGGAGAAAAGACTAAACTATTGGCCTAAAACTGTACAGATATAATGGGAAGTTATCAAAAGGAGTGAGGGTGGCTTGCAAAAATCAAAGTCTAGGGATGTTTTCCAAATTGTAAACCCAAAAGTAAAATTGTAATATCATGATAATGTGTAACCCTGTGGAAATGTATTATAGGGAAAGTCTCACATCTGAAAATGTTCCTATTCCCTATTGCCTTGTCTGACAGTAATTTCCATTGACTGATTTCAGTCATGTGTATACCAAATGAATGTGACACTTAAGAAAAACAGTTACACACCTAATGCTCTAAACACCATAATTAGCAGCAGCACCTGCAAATTTTACTCAAAGCCTTTTCTTACATCACAAGTGGATTCCAAGTAAGGGAAAGGATTTGTTCAAGGCCTTCCTCTTACTTAACATGCTCCGTCTGGAGCTGAAGATGCACACATTTGTGTAAGGTGTGTTGGTCAGTTTCCAGTTCAGGGAATTAGCTTCTCTCACTGGAAATGCTTTAATTGGATAGGACATCCTTCTGCAGTCCCCTGCATCTTAGATGGTCGCTACCACTAACGAGGCAGCTACATTTTGATTGGGGATGAAAATATATGTGACTCGCCCTTAATGCCCTCAGAACTAAATATGAATATACTTTGTGCTTCCAAACCTGTCTGTTCAATGAAACAGGATTACTTTGCTCTCCAGCATAGACAAGGAAACTGAGGTTGCTTCCAGAAAGAGGGGTCTATAAGAAAGCATTGTGGGGCTGCTTCATCTTTCTTATTAAATGCCTTTTCCTCAGTAAGAGAAAAGACAAAAGAAGCAATGGGAAAACATGGGACAGCTACAGATGAAAGGAGTTATTGTCCAGACACCTTCTCCCCTCACACACAAACACAAACACAGAAATCTGTGGATGAGCAGAGCAATGGTGCAAGGAATGTTTAATCTGGAAATACTGTCTCACTCGGTTTATATTTTAGTTTTGTACTTAAAATTTCTCAGTCATCTTATTCCATTGGCAGGGGGAGGGGGCAGGGGAGAACTTGCTATGTCAGTTTACTAGCAAACTTGCTTCAGAACTTTAGAAAAGGCCACTGCAGGCAACACACACACAATATGCAATGCGTAGGGAAGAGTTATTAGCATTGTACAACAGCCAAATGGGGACAAGCTTGCATGGATGAGTATGGGCACATTATGAAGGTTTTCATAATTTCATCTATGAAATTTGGGAACAAACAGGATGAATCAAATCTGGCCAACTCTATTAAGATGTGAAGAATGTAGATTTTATGCTGGATTTATACAATTTGTGTCTCAGTATCTCTCAGAACACTCACCACCCATAGCACAGAAGGAAGAGCCTTTCTGTGTTTTATCTAAGTACATTTGACAAGACAAGCGAGGGCAAGAGAGTGAGCACCTTTTCAGTAGATGCACCCAGAATATGAAACACTTGACCCTTTTTGCACATTGCTGAAGACTGTTTTATTTCAGCAGACTTGTGATGAAATGTTTGTATGGTTTGGTTTAAACAGCCAGCCTGTGCTCTTCCGTTGATTGTTTCATAGTGTTCCTTTTGTGAAATGGTCATTTTTAAATATAACTGCTGAGAGCACTGCTTTTGCCCATATACTTGTTTTATTAATTAAAAATAGCATTTTTTAAAGCAAAACTGGGAGGCTGATAAAATTCCCGAGACAACATTGCAAGTTTCATTTGGCCCAGTGAATCACAAGCTGCCCAGGACTATTTCATGGCAGAGCTGCACAGTCTAAGGATATACATGCAAATCTTGGGAAAAGAGGAGGTTGCCATACAATCGGGTCAGTAGTCTTTAGTACAGTATTCCCTACTGTGCAGGTTGCCTCACAGTAGTGCTCCCGGGCTTCAGGCAAGTCGTTCTGCAACCTAATGTTCCCTGCCAACCCAACCCAGAGATGCCACAGATTGAACCTGGGCCATTTTGCACAGGAAGGCAAATTATAGCCCTTCTCTAAAATCCACATGTTGCAAAATTAACGTTAGAAACCAAGCCCATACTCTACTTTGTGGGGGTTGAAAACTAAAGCTTTCTACCACTTTAGTTAACACCTCTTGCCTCAATCTGATCTACTACCTGCCTCCATGTGACTTAGAGAAGAATTAGCATTAAAAGAGGGGATAATTTAAGAGTTTTTAAAAAATAAATCTGCATTTTCATACTGTTATTTAAAAATATGTGCATACTTCTGTTTATACATAATTTTATATCAGGTATTGTAAGGTTTTTCATCTTTATAAGTCAGCAAGAGAGAGAAATGCAAGACATGTATGAACTGATTACTTGGCATTCGTACCTATAAGGAAGAGATTATTCTTTCTGAATGTCTTCTGAAACGAACAGAAAAAACTCCTTATGCTTCGAAGTGGACTTGCATTACGCCCTGAGGAGCATGTTTATTTAAGGGGAATGTTTCTGTAGTGCCAAAACTAATAATGATCCAGACACTCACCTGTTTAAAAGTGGCTTCAACAAGGTTGGCGGGAAACATGTTTCTGAAAAGAAAAAAATGTGATTTCCAAGGAATTAGACAGAATGTGTGCTCATCAGGCATAAACATGTACAAGCTTTTTCCCCTTTTAGGCAGTCTTTTATATGTGGATTGTATTTTATTTGGTTAATAAAATAGTTTTGGGTCATTCACAGATTCCACTGTTTTTCTGTCTTTTCTGTTGCAAAATTTATAACAGACAAAAGTAGAAAACTGGAACTGTACGACATTCTACAGTCAATTGAAGCCTCAAAATTACTTCTTCTTAAAGTACTGTTATTCCCTGGTAGACATTCAGATGCACAGGAAAAGGCCTTAAAATTACACAATACAGTTTAGGCAAGATATGCTATCTCCTAACTTAAACGAGTGAATCACTATGCATTTCTGTAACTTTACAAATACAGACATTTGGAAATTTACCCAAGTCCTGGCATCTCAAAATAAAGTGGAACTATCATCACACCTTTATACAAATACATGGCATGACCATACTTGGAATACCATGTACATGACTCAAAAATGACTGTAGATCTGGAAAAGGTACTAGAAAAGGCAACCAAAATCATCAAGAGACTGGAATAGGTCCCCTATAAGTAAGAAAAAGTTACAATATTGTGGGCTGAGCAAAAGGAGACTATTGCTATTACATGATTTATTAAAGTCATAAACTGCAGCAATAGTTCTATATAGGATTCTCTGGGAGGTGAACAATTAAATAAGTTAAATAAACAATTAAATAAAAACAAGTAAATACAAAAATAATACAATTTTGGCAAGTACATAGATCATTAACTTAGATTATTTGAAGCACATATAGTAGACTAAAACCATCCATAAAATCCATACAGAATTTAAAATCAGTTCAACACCATTAATTACTAAAATGTCTGGAAAAAAGAACTGTCTTTGCCTGGCACCAAAACTATTGCAATGGGGGTTCCAGTCATTCTACTCTGGGGAGCCTATTCCAGAGATGGGATGAAACCACCAAAAATGCCCCTCTTCTAGTTTCCATCCTCTTCACCTCTTCAGAGGATATTTCTTTAAGAAGGCCCTCTAAACCTTCACTACATGATGTAGTGTAGGCCACCAACTTGGATGGCTTCAAATGGGGGAATTTAACAAATTCATGGAGGATAAGACTGTTGATGGCTATATATGACCTCCAGCTTCAGGGGCATATTCTTCCACATACCAGCTGCTAGTGACACAGGCAAGAGGGTACTATTCATGCATGTCCTGATCTGGACTTCCCATAGTTATCCAGTTGGCTACTGTGCAAACCTTTGGCCTTTGCTCTGACACAGCTCAGCACTTGTGGTTACCTTTTGCAAAAGGGTGTGAAGCAGCTTTACTTAGTTTGGTGCATATGTGCCTGTTTGTCCCATGATGAATCCTGTGTGAAGTCCTGCATCGCATATGTGAATGATGAACTGCTCAAGATCAAATGCCTCAGAACATCTGTATTACTTCAGACCTGCTTTCAGTGCAGTCAGCTAACATTAATCGAACTCTGAGTAAGCAAGTGATGAAATAACGGGTATTTTTCTCAAAATAAAATGATGTGGTTTGAGTGTTAGAAAACGTTATTTTGTTGCAGTAAAAGAACCATCTTTGTGAAAGATGTTTGGTCTCCATGTAACATCAAGGGAACAACACCTGTATGCTTACTGAACAATAAAACAGTTGTCCTGAAACATACATTCACATTTAGTCACATTGTTAACAATTCCCCTTCAATTGCCTCACAAAGATCCAAAAGATCCATGAACAGTTAAACAACCTACTCTAATTCCTCTCAAGAACACATGCTAAGAATTGTCATAAACTAACCCATGACTGTCATGTGATTTTTGGATGAAAGGTGCTACAGACGTGCAAAGGATTATTGCACTGATTAAATTATAGCTCAGTCTGTGGTGAATAATTAATTTGCAGCAACAGATTCCCATTGAGGATTTTTTGTCTACAGCTTTAATTGAAGAGGAGCTACATACAAGGGCTGGGCACCTTTCAGAGCGGAATATGAATTGAATTGTGTCTCGCTACTGCCAGCACAATTGGCAGCATTAAAATGCAACTGGGACTACTCCAGAGAAAAAAATATCAGATGGTCAGTAGCTAGATTTTAATGTCAGCCACATTTGTGGAGGATTACAGCATTTTATTTCTTTATCGTTCTTTATCCTGCAGGAATTACAACTGCCCCTCTTAATACAGGAGTTTGGAATTCTTCCAATATATTTTAAATAGATTGTTGTTGTTGTTCATGATGAACCTATTCTTTGAGGCTAGCTTTGCTGAAGTGACCAAACTGATCTGATAAGAGGATGACTGATTGTGCTTACAAAATCTGTGCAAGAAAGAAGGAAGGAAGGAAGGTTAGTAAAGAAAAAGGAGCAACTGAATGTTGGTACCAATCTTTCATTTCCCAAGAGGGGAATTGAGGGAAAGTCTAATACTTAGGCTACATCTGGCTTGCACTAAAATCCACATTCAATAAAATTTAGTAATAAAAATTATTATACCAAAATACACTTGAGGGAAAAGGCAACTGGCACATAAAGCTGAACAAAGCTTTTGTTGGCAGTATCAGAATTCTGCTAGAAAACTCCAGATTACCTTCATATTTTAGCATTAAATATTAGATTTTTAAGGTGTTCTTTCCATTTTGAAAAGTTAACCCAATCCATGAATCTACATCAGGAATTTCCTTTAGCATTATTTGATAGTGTGATCAATATATTAGAAATATGAACAAGTTTTCTTGAGGTCTTTCCAGCTCTAACATATATTGTATTACATTAAGGAAGCAATC